TGTGTGTGTGCGTGCGCACACGTGTGTGTTGTCTACAGTTGTATCAGCTGCATAGGTTCCTGCATCCACCCCCACAAGGACCCCTCCAGCTGCCCTGTTACCATCTCAGCCCTCCTCTCTCTAGTCCCCTGGCAATCACTCATCTGTTGTCATTTCAAACACGTTACATAAATGGAATTTTCTTTAAAAAATGTTTATTGATTTTTTTTACAGAGAGGAAGAGAAAGGGATAAAGAGAAATATCAATGAGAGAGAAACATTGATCAGCTGCCTCCTGCACACCTACTGGGGATCTGTCTGCAACCAAGGTACATGCCTTTGACCAGAATCGAACCTGAGACCTTTCAGTCCGCAGGCCAATGCTCTATCCACTGAGCCAAACCGGTTAGGGCTTTACACAGAATCTTATGTTATGCAACCTTTGGACTTTTTTCTCTTGCAGTACTTCCTTGGAGTCATCAGGGTTTTAAAAACTCCTGGCGGGGGGGGGGTTGGGGGGCCAGGTTGGCATACCTCCACCACCTGCCTTTTCTCCTAGCAGGGTATATATTGAGGCAACCCACGTGCCTCAGGTTCCTCATCTGTTCACGGAGAGAGGAAAGCCCTCCGTTCCCAGGCGAGTTCCGAGGCTCAAGCAGATGGGGAAGCAGATGCCCGCAGGCAGGACCTGGCCCCGTGAGGCTTTGTGACGTCACACCAGGTTGCTATGGCAGCGGCCGAAAAGCCGCCCAGGATGCTGCCGCCTAGCCTTGCTCCTTGGGGATTAGAGCAGGCATCGGTGTCACGTGCTCCCACGGACCAATGAAGAGGTGGTCCAGAGGCAGGGCGCAGCCGGAGCTTCAGATGGAGGGCGGGGGTAAAGGTAGAATTAAATTAGGGCAAGTTGTTCCTCAGTCTTCAGAGTTAAAAGTGCCTTCTCTCGATTCCTCACACACACACACACACACACACACACACACACACACACACACACAAAAAAAAAAAAAAAGGCCCTGGAGTTGGGATCCATTGCCATTTCTTGAGGCTCCAGCCTTTGGTAGCCCCCCCCCAAACTGACAGCTCTACTTGGAGGTGCACAGTTCCCCCTCTGAAGAGGGCGTCGTGGGCACTGTGCCGTCTCCTGACGTTCCTGTACCTCGAAATAAGAGTCGGCCTGGGAGTTTCAACATTAATATATTCCGAGGCTGGTTTATAGCCCATCGTCGTGGGCGATTCGCACAGATTGTTGCTGTGCCTGCGCCCACGAGCAGATGGGAACGCACACTGTAGGTAGGTCATTCTGCGAGACAGGCAGTTAGACTGCCGACGATGTCTTGTCGTTTTCTCCCCTGGAACCAATGTCCTGGGCAGAAATGGGGCTGGGACCTCGGCATGTTTTGGCAAAGCGCCTATCAGTACACCACAGCTGGCCCGTGTGCCTCAGTGGGTTGAGCCTTGGCTGTGTACCCAGAGGTTGCCAATTCAATTCCTGGTCAGGGCTCAAGCCCCAGTAAGGGGCAAGCAGGAGGTTTCTCTCACCCCCAAACCAAATGACCTGAAACAACAAGAAACACATTTTATTTTCATCACTTTTGTGGGTCAGGAATCCAGAAGTAATTCGGCTCCGTAGTCTGGCTCAGGGTCTTCCATGGAGTTGCAGTCAAGGTGTCAGCCAGGGCTGCCTCATCTGATGGCACGACTGGGGCTGGCGGAGTCACTTCCCAGAGGGCTCCCTCGTGCGGCTGTTGGCGACAGGCTCCGCCCCCTCCACGTGGGCCCCTCCGCGGAGTTCCTGGGTGTCCTCACAGCACGGCCACCGGCTCCCCACAGAGTAAGTAAGAGAGTGGGGTGGGAGCCTCACATCTTGTGTGACCTAGTCAGCCTCGGACGTCACAGACCGTCACTGCTGAGATCCCCGTGGCGTCACAGGCCAGCCCAACTCAGTGTGGGGGGCACTTCACAAGGGAGTGAATACCAGGGGACAGGGCCATCCTGGAGGCTGCCCACCGTGGCATTTTCACACAAAAGACTTATCTGGTTTGGCTCAGTGGTAGAGCGTCGGTCTGCGGACTGAAAGGTCCCAGGTTCGATTCCGGTCACGGGCATGTATTATACTTTGGTTGCAGGCACATCCCAAGTGGGGTTGTGCAGGAGGCAGCTGATGGATGTTTCTCTCTCATCGATGTTTCTAGCTCTCTATCCCTCTCCCTTCCTCTCTGTAAAAAAAAATCAGTAAAATATATTTTTTAAAAGAAGGAAGGAAAGGACAAATAGTGTTTAATATCAAAAACAAAGTTTAAAAAAGAAAAGAAAGAAACACACCACAGCAAATGAAGAGGATGGTGGGATGTTGGCATCCACTCCCCTTGCCACACCCCACGCTCGGTCCAGGAGTCCTGGGGGGGACATGTGACCACGGCCTGGCAGGAAGTTTCAGCACGGAGAAAGCGGTGGTGTGTGTGTGTGTGTGTGTGTGTGTGTGTGTGTGTGGCTGCTGGTCCCCTGGGTTCGCTGGAGAGCACGGCAGCCTGTGCCAGAGGCCATCTTTGTCACCGCACTACAGGAGCCAAGCCAAGGACATAGAGCAAGAGACGGGGAAGAAGTGAGGGACAGGAAGAGCGAGGCAGGGGAAAGGCCTTACTCATCGGAGCCCACGGTCCAGCCTGGCCTGCAGCCATCCCTTCCTCGGAATATTTCAGTGTCAAAAGCCAATCTTTTATGCAGCTCAAAACAGTTGGGAGGGTGGTTTCTGTCCTTTGTAACACGATGCCATCAACAGATGAACAAATAAGTAAAACACACGGGAATATCACTCAGCCGGACAAAGAGCGAAACACCAACACTCAATACAGCACGAATGGGCCTCGAACACGTGATGCCTGAAAGATGAGACAGAAGGCCGAAGACCAGGGTGACAGGCTTTGTTAGAGGAGAAGGACCCGCCGGGCTGTCTTGCAAAGGAAGAGAGTGCACGTACAGGGGTGAACACGCCTTTTGAGGGGAGGAAAGGGAAGGGGTGGGGCTTAGGGTACTCGGCACGCGCTGATTGGTCGTTTCATATAAGGCATGTGATTAGGGACTTAGGAATCAAGAGCTTAGCACATGTGTCAAACACAAGGCCCGCGGGCCAAATCCGTCCCGCCAGGCCTTGCAATGTAGCCCACACCGCCCTGTCATCACTGCACTCCGCTGCGTTTCCATCACAATGACAGTTTATGACTGTTCAGTAAACCATTCGGCCCGCGATTTAGGCTGGATTTTAGATTTTGGCCCCTTCTCTGATTGAGTTCAACACCCCTAGGGGTATTTGGCAGGTGCTGATTGGTGGTTTCATATAAAGCACATGATGATTAGGCATCTAGGGACTTAGGAATGGGGGGGGGCTTAGGGTGCTGATTGGTGGTTCAGTGTACAGTCCATATAAGGCGCCTGGTTAGGTGCTCAGGAATGTCCGGGCCCCAGGTGCAGGTTACGTCACACTCCGTCCATCAGTTGGGGGAAGGGAGGATCGATCAATGCCCCTGAGAGAAGCCAGACACAAAGGCCGCAGAGTGTGTGGATTCCACGCATGTGAGACGCTCAGAGACAGAAAGTGGATGAGTTGCCGAAACCGGTTTGGCTCAGTGGATAGAGTGTCAGCCTGCGGACTGGGGGGTCCCGGGTTCGATTCCAGTCAAGGGCATGTACCTTGGTTGCGGGCACGTCCCCAGAGGGAGGTGTGTAGGAGGCAGCTGATTGATGTTTCTCTCTCATCAATGTTTCTAACTCTCTATCCGTCTCTCTTCCTCTCTGTAAAAAATCAATAAAATATATTAAAGAAAAAGAAAAAAGAAAAAAGTGGATGAGTGGTGGTCAGGGTTGGGGGAGGGAGGGGTGTTCCGAGTGATAGCAGTGTTCTGGAATTCGATAGAGGTGGTCCCGCCCCATTGTGAACGCACTCACTGTCGCCAAGTTGTATACATCCGAGCGATGAGCTGCGTGCCATCGACTGTCACAGCGATGGTGATATAAAGAGAAAGGTCGTGCGCCGCCCGGCACTGCTCCTCCGGCCAGCTCCTCCCCCCACGCCGGTTCACCCGTCTCCAGGGAACCCTCCGTGGCTGCCTGCTCTGTTAAGCAGAACAATTCCTCTTCCCACGTCTGGCCACACCAAGGCATTTGACCTCCCCTGACCCATCCCACCAGTTCCCTCCGTTTCCTCCCAGCCCCTAAAGGCCAGATCTGCTTCATCCCCTCCTCCATTTAAAGGAATAAGGTGAAGCTTTACATACAAACGTAGAAATACATCCAGGCACATGGTGGTGGTGGTGGTGGTGGGGCCAGAATGCACTGGTGGTTTAATTCTACAGGAACATCGTGTATGTCAACGGAGAGAAAAGAGAAAAAGAAAAAGACAAACAAACCCAGGCCCCTCTCCAGGAAGCACCTCCCCGTCCTGCGTTAGCGCAGGTGACGCTGTGCCCAGCGCTGTGCCCTGCCAGGCACAGGCCACCATCTTTCTAGTTCCCAACGTCCATTTTCCCTCTGCCTGTCCCTGAGGCAAATGTCCTATGTTTTAGATTTTTGGTCATTTTATTTTATTTAAAAAATACATTTTTATTGATTTCAGAGAGGAAGGGAGAGGGAGAGAGAGAAACATCAATGATGAGAGAGAATCATTGATCGGCTGCCTCCTGCAGGCCCCACACTGGGGATCGAGCCTGTAACTAAGGCATGTGCCCTTGACCGGAAGTGAATGTGGGACCCTTCCGTCCGCCGGCCAGCACTCCATCCACTGAGCCGAACTGGCTGGGGCGACTTTTGGTCATTTTAGAATGCCTCTCGGGTCCTACCTTCCTGCCAGTGAAATTCTGGCCCCCGTCCGCCCCCACGCGGTCTGAGTGCTGCCTCACCGCGGCTCCTCACACTTCCCCAAAGAGAGGCAGTTTTATTTTCTTTTTAAATATATTTTTATTGATTTCAGAGAGAGGAAGGGAGAGAAACATGCTGAGAGAGAATCATTGGCTGGCTGCCTCCTGCACTGCCCCCTACTGGGGATCGAGTCAGCAACCGAGCATGTGCCCTGACGGGGAATTGACCCCTGACCTCCTGATTCATGGGCCAGTGCTCAATCACGGAGCCACATCAGCCAGAGCAAGTTTCTTTAATGCAGAAAAGCACAACGCTGAACAAAAGTCTGGGTTGCACACTCATACCATGAGGCAAAGAGCCCCACCGCCCATGCACATGCCAGCTCCCCAGCTGCCCCCACTGGCATCCCCTCCGGAGGGACAGACACAGAAATGGAGCCTGGCCCCTGGCATCGCAGGCAGAGGCCACGCTGCCCGCGGGCGCTAGATGCTCCGCAGCAGGCGGAGCGCGCGGCGCAGGAGCTGGCGAGCGGCGGGCGGGCAGCCGCGGCTCCGCGCGGTCCCCGGCGTGTACGAGGCAGCGGGCTGGCCCCGCTCCCAGGCCGTGAGCAGCAGCCCTCCGGGCGGCCCATTCAGCACCAGCTGAACCTGGCCCCCACCGCAGCTGACCTGCGAAGTGAGGAGCGCGGTCAGGGAGCGGGTTCCCCCGGGGCTGCCCCAGGTGTGCCCCCCAGGGAGAGAAAACGCGGATCGGAGACTGAGAGCCCCAGGCCTGGTCTCGGTGGTCGCCCCACTCCTAGGAACGCAGAGTTGGGAGCCCAGAGTTTTGTGTGACAGAAGAGGAAACCGAGGTTCAGAGAGGACTATCCTGCCCTCGGTCACCCAGGGAGACCTCATTCTTTTTATTTATTTAAAAAAATTTTTTTTATAGATTTCTTACAGAGAGGAAGAGAGAGGGATAGAGAGTCAGAAACATTGATGAGAGAGAATCATCGACCAGCTGCCTCTTGCACACCCCCTACTGGGGATGTGCCTGCAACCAACGTACATGCCCTTGCCCGGAATCGAACCTGGGACTCCCCAGTCCGCAGACCGACGCTCCACCACTGAGCCAAACCGGTTTCGGCGAGACCTCCATTCTTAATCCTGTGACCTGGGGAGCTCCAGTCCCTCAGCTACCAGTTTCCCCAAGTGCTCTGCAGAGCCATGAAGACAATTCTCGCCCCCTGAGGCCCAGCCCAGCTCAGGGCATTACCCACACTCTAGTCTGGACAGCTAGAGTTGTTTTTAGTACTGTAATTGTTTTTACATTTTAAAATAATAATAATGAGCGCTAAACAAGTAGCTCCGATGATTGGATCGTTGTCCTGAGGCACCGAGGTTGCAGGTTCAATCCCTGGTCATTCAAGGACCAACCAATGAATGCATGAGTACAGGGACCAGCAAATCGCCAGGACTGCTCGGGAAAATCTCAACTTAAAAATGACTTTCCGCTCAGCCAGTGTAGCTCAGTGGTTGAGTGTAGCGTCAGCCTATGAGCTAGAAAGGTCATGGTTCGATTCTGGTCTGGCCACATGCCCAGGTTGTGGGTTCAATCCCCAGGTGGGGGCATGCAGGAGGCAACAGATTGATGATTCTCTCTCATCACTGATGTTTCTCTCTCCCTCTCTCCCTTCCTCTCTGAAATCAATTTAAAAAAAAATTTAAAAAACTTATTTCCAGCCAAAACCGGTTTGACTCAGTGGATAGACCGATAGAGCATCGGCCTGCGGACTGAAGGGTCCCAGGTTCGATTCCGGTCAAGGGCATGTGCCTTAGTTGCGGGCACATCCCTGTTGGGGGGTGTGCAAGAGGCAGCTGATTGATGTTTCTCTCTCATCAGTGTTTCTGGTTCTCTATCTCTCTCCTTTCCTCTCTGTAAAAAAACGAAAATCAATAAAATATGTTTTTTAAAAAAAAGGAAATGACATATGACAGCTGCTAAATGTAACCACCCGTGAGGATGACCCAAATTACATTTTGCCTTTACTTAAACATATTTTCTTTTCTTTTTTCTTCTTTTCTTAAAAAACACATTTTGCTTTCAATTTTGCAGTTTTTGTGCTTAGGAGTTTATGCTTTGCTCCCCCTGCCAGGAGCCAGCTGTCTCCTGGGGCCCCGAACAGTGCGCACTGGAGCAGCCAGCGTGGTCCAGGGGACAGGCTGCCCCCACCTGCTGACCCCCCGGGCTCTGAGCTAAGGGCCCACGCTCACCTGCACTGTCCCGTCACTGAAGAGCAGCAGCAGGGCCTGCTGGGATGCAAGAAAGCGCAGCAGGCAGAGGCCCGGGCTGGCAGGCGGGGTGGGCGCAGGCAGGCCCTCTTCCTGAGGACAGACCAGCCACAGGGTCTTAGCCTCTCCACTGCCAGTCCCTCTGGCCCTCCCGCCCACTGGCCCCCGGCCCTCACCTCTCGGAGCCGCTGCTGCATGTAGCCAGCAAAGAGTCGCAGGACAGCCAGCTTGGCACCCAGCGGGCTGGGCACATCCCTCAGGGCAAACATCTCCAGCTGCCCTCGGTGAGGCCTGTAGCTGACCTGGCTGAGGGTGGGGCACAGGGTGGTGTCAGCTGTCACGGCCTCTGTCCGGGGTCACGTTCCCACCCAGCCACACCTTTGGATGGTGGCTCTGAAACCCAGGGCGACACGGACCACCCCTCTCGGTGGGTCCAGCCCGGCCCCAGCGCCCCCTTCTGAACCCCAGACTCTGGAGCTGTGGACTCAGCCTGTGCACTGAGATCCTGATGGCCCCCACACCCACTCTCCTGCCATCTTCCCATCTCGCCCAGCGGCTGCTCCACCCTCCCTGCCTGCCAACTCCGTGGAGGTTACAGCTCCCTCTATCTCGGCTCTGCCACCACCCAGCCCACGTCGCTGCCATTGCCCAGCTGGCCAGTCCACCACCTCCCTGCTGGTCCCTGAGTCCCTCCTGCCAGAGATCTTGTTCAAAGTGCGAGGCCTGCCCCAACCCCAACTCCCACCCCAACACGTGGCCCTCCAGGCTGCTGACTTCGCATCCTCCCTGTCTCCCCCTCACTCACTCCGGAGTCCCTGCCATTCCTGACACCTACTGGGTGCATCTCGGGGGTATGCTGCTCCCTGTACCTCCAATGCTGGTTCACCCTCTGTCCTACCTGAACGTCACTTCCTCAGGAAGCCCCTCCACAAGCGTGCTGTCCTGAGCCCCCTCCCCCCCAATCGGTCACCTCATTGCCTTCAGAAAAGCGCTGCCTGAAATGAACGTATTCATTAGTTTATTGCCATCCCTAGCAGGCGGGCAGCACCTGTGGGTGTGCACAGCATGTACTTCCGTACTGGGGGAGCGGAGCAAAAGGCAGGGGAGCCCCTGGCCCCGAGGGGACAGGAGCCCGAGGCTTACCCCCCGGGGGCCCGCAGGGCCATGTGGGTGCCGTCCCGGAACAGGACGCCGCTGCTCCCGTCCGACAGCCGGTAGCCGAAGCCGTACCTGCTGGAATAATCCACCCACTTGGGGGCCCAGAGGGTGGGCCGCGGCTCTCCCGCCGGGTCCTGCGTGGCTGAGCACAGAGACCAGGTGAGCGGAGGGACCACAGCAGCCCGGAGGTGCTGAGAAACGTCCAAACAAACAAAAAACACACAACAACTCCTGCCTCGTCGGGGGAGGATGGGAGGTGGGGAATCGATGGCCGCCTCTGGAAACGAGTCATCCCAGCATGCCTGCAATGCCCCAATACCACGAGGCTGTCTTTTACTTGTTAAAAGCATTTGTGTTAGAAATAAGAATGGCTCAGTGCCGGGCGGGACCCTGTGTTGGATCCTGGGAGAGGAAAGAGTCCTCAGGAGAAGATGGGACATCCGGTCGCCAAGGACAGACACACTCCTGTGCTGTCTCGGTGGTGTCTCTGAAGTTACCTCGAACTCTCTTTTACTGTCCATTTAAAACGTGGACACTATGTGGGCTCCCAGTTGGCCAGCGTGGCTCAGTGGTTGAGGGTCAATCCGTGAACCAGGAGGTCACGGTTCAATTCCCAGTCAGAGGACGTGCCCAGGTTGCAGGCTCGATCCCCAGTAGGGGGCGTGCTGGAGGCAGCCAATTGAGGATTCTCATCAGTGATGATTCTCTCTCCTCTTCTTTGAAATTAGATATAGACATAGACATAGACATAGACATAGACATAGATATATAGATAGATATTTATGAAGGTGGCTCCAGTTGATAAAAGACAAGCTTAAAGTTTGGGGTTCTTTGTTACACCACCAGGGAAAGCTGACCAGAGAAGTGCAGTGGATCCCACGGAAAAGGAAAGGCTTGGGCTCCCTCTGCAGGCAGGGCAGGGACCTGCTGGGGGGGGGGGCAGGGCAGGTGGGTGTGGAGAAGGCGGGCTCCGGGTCTGAGACTCGGGGTATGGGAAAGAGTTCCATCTCAGGGCACGGCTGGGACAGGGGTTCGGGGTTGGGGAAGGTCTGATGTCTCACATCCTCCTCCATTCCTCTCGGTGTCCTCTCTGGCTCTCAAGCAGGACTCAGCTACACACGAGAGACTCAGACCCTGAGACAGCGAGGAAGCCCCCCAGAGCCCTCCTCAGCACCTCACTCACAATAAACAGCCATCACAGAGTGCCTAGAAAGCGGTCTCAGAAAGTTCTAGACTTCTCACACAGGATAGCCTGCATCATGGTTTCATCAGCCTCCTTCCAGGGAAAGGAAACTCCCCTAAAGCTCTCCCAGCGTGGAAGCCCAGAAACACCCCCCGGGGGCCTGGCTGGGGACGGGGTGCTTTTCCTCAGAGATTAGGAGACGGGGTGACCCCGGCGGCCGGGGCTGCGCTCCTACCTGGAGGCCCAGGGTCCAGGCAGAGCTGCAGGCTTCTAATGGCCGCCTCCACCTCCTGTCCTGGGCTCCCCTCAGACCCTGGGGAGACGATGTATGTGAGGTCAGAGCCTGGGTCCCCACCACGAGGGGCCCCTTCAACTAGCCTGGCCCAGACTCTCTCCCCTGGGAAAATCTTACTTCACACCCAGAAGGATTCCAGACATCATTCCCATTTCATAGATGGGAAAGTTGAGGCCAGGAGAGGGGCCATGGCCCTGGCAAGGCCCTGTCTTTGTCTCCAGCCTCCAGACCCTCCTCCCTACCCACAGCCCCCACCTAGGACAGTCTGCTCACCAGCTGGGCCGCTCTGCAGGGTCCCTTGGGCGAGCAGGTGGACGCGGACCTCAGGTCCGGGAGCCCCTCTCTCCAACAGGGAGGCCTGGGGAGGGAGCAGAGGTGAGGGGTGCCCCAGCCCCCCTCCCCAATTTAATGATCCCCTCCTCCCTCCGCTCAGTGCCGCTGTGAGTACCCGCTGTGAGGGTACCCGCCTGGTGCCCCCCGCCCTGAGCCCTCACCTCATTGCCCCACTCCATGAAGTCGGCATCGGGAGCATCTTCCCCTGGACATGAAGCCTCGTTGGGTGTGTAGGGGCCTGAGGGAGGCACAGAATTTGGGGGGCTGCAGAGCCTGGCCCCATGTGGGGGAGGGGGGGCAGGCACTTGCCACCCACAGCTTCCTCTGCTGAGGGTGAGCTGCAGAGCAGGCTGGAGGCATGGCAGGGGTGTGAGGTGCAGGACAGCTATCGGGCGGGCAGCAGGCGAGGGGCGGGCAGGCACGGTACTCACCGGGTAGCTGGCACTGGCTCAGTAGCAGCTGGCCCACCTTTCGGAAGAGCCTGCCCAGAGGCTGAGGAACGGCAAAGATGGGCGGGCTGTGGCAGGAGTGGGCTGGCAGCCGGTCCGGAGTGAAACCCTTCGGGGTGGGGTGGCAGGGGTTGGCACCCCACTCAGACTGTCTGGCTCCCAAGGACCTGGGCCGCCTGGGGTCCTGACCCTCCCTGGACTTCGGCTGAGACGCCCCGGAGAAGGACCCAGGCATCCAGGTGGCGCCACTGCTGACCTCACACACCTGCGTGAAGAAGCTGTCCTGCAGCAGCTGGTCCAGGCTGGGCCGCTCGGCCGGGTTGGGCGCCAGCAGGCGGGCAATGAGGCGCCGGGCATTGGGCGACACGTGGGCAGGCTCGGGGTAACGGCCTTCCCGGATGTTTTTGTACATCTCTGTCAGGGAAGCCGCCACAAAGGGTGGGTCGCCGGTCAGCACCAGGTACCTGAGCGAGGGAGGGGGCCAGGAGCCTGGGTACCTGCTGGCATCTGTCCCGGGCAGGGTCAGAGCTGGCTCACACCTGCCCGTGTTCACCTGGCCATACCCACCCACCTTTCCCTTCTCTATGCAAGCTTTCCCTCCGCGTGCCCATTCGTGCCCTGCGTCCCCTCCCACTGGGCCATTCCTGTCTGCTGGGTAGATACTGGCATCTGTAGGCACCAGCTTATTCCTGTACATACCTGAGTGCACCTGTCCACGTTTCTTTTTTTTAAAATATATTTTATTGATTTTTTTTTTTTTTACAGAGAGGAAGGGAAAAGGATAGAGTCAGAAACATCGATGAAAGAGAAACATCGATCAGCTGCCTCCTGCACACACCCTACTGTGCCCGCAACCAAGCTACATGCCCTTGACCGGAATCGAACCTGGTACCTTTCAGTCCACAGAACGACGCTCTACCACTGAGCCAAACCGCCTAGGGCTTTTTAAATTTTTTTAAAATTATATTTTATTGATGCTTTACAAAGAGGAAGGGAGAAGGATAGAGACTCAGAAACATCGATGAGAGAGAAACACTGATCAGCCGCCTCCTGCACACACCCCACTGGGGATATGCCTGCAACCAAGGTACATGCCCTTGACCTGGATCGAACCTGAGACCCCTTAGTCTGCAGGCTGACGCTCTATCCACTGAGCCAAACCGGTTAGGGCAACATATCTTTTTCAAAATATATTTTTATTGATTTCAGAGAGGGAGGGAGAGGGAGAGAAAAATCAATAATGAGAGAATCATTGATCAGCTGCCTTCTGCACGCCCCATGCTGGAGATCGAGCCCACAACCTGGGCAGGTGTCCCGACCGGGAATTGAACCTGGTTCATAGATCAATGTTCAACCACTGAGCCATGCCAGCCGGGCTCAGTACATCTCTGAACAGTCACACCTCCCTTGCACATACATCCTCCCACATCCCTATTCACACCTGAATGCTCAAATGATGGCTGGTGTGTGCGCCTCGCCCCTACCCCATGTCTGCACATATCTGTTCACATCTGTCATATGTATGCTCATACCTGCTGTCCCCCACTCAGCTTCCTGTGTACTTCCTTATACCTGTCCTTACCTCCTCGCACGTTCCCACCCGCCCATACCCGGCACCATCCGGATGCTCCTGCCCCGCCCCAGGCCCAGGCTCCCAGACCCCACTTACATGATGCAGCCCAGAGCCCAGATGTCTGACTGGCAGGAGTGCCCGTTCCTGGAGACCACCTCTGGGGCCAGGAAGTTTGGGGTCCCGCAGAGCACTCTGGGAGGGGGCAAAGGGGGAGGGGCTCAGGAAGTCTGCCGGACCAGGTTCACCAGTGTGCCCACCCTGAGAGACTGCTCCAGGCTTCCCCCCTCACCTGTGGCATCGGCCCCCCGGCCCCACCCTGGCAGCCAGCCCCAGGTCCCCGATCTTCACCTCCATGTTCTTGTTCAAGAAAAAGTTACCTGCCGGTGGGAAGGAGAGGCGTGGACGTAAGAGGAGGAGTCACGTCCCAGCTCCCCCCGCCCCTCCGGTTCGCACGGCTCCCCTCCCCGCACTCACTGAGCTTCAGGTCTCGGTGCACAATGCGCTGCTGGTGCAGGTAGCGGAGGCCGCTGGCCAGGCCCCGCAGGTAGTAGCGAACCTCAGGCTCCGTCAGCATCCGCCGCGCCTCCAGCACGTGGGCCAGGGACTGCAGGGCACCAAGGAGACAGAGGTGAGCTCTGAGTGCAAGAGGCCTATGAAGGCACCGTTAAGTTCAGGGGGTGGGGAGGCATGGGGCGCGGGAGGCCGCGGTGAGCGCGGGCACGCCCAGGTGGGCGCAGGTACCACGGCGAGTACGAGATGAGCCGGTGACCACAGAACACGCGGGCACAAATGAACACAGGCGAGCCTGGGAGCGGAGTCGGGCCTGGCGTGGGCGCAGGGAAGCAGATGGACACAGGCGGATGGAATGGACGGCACAGCCGACAGGGAGGCTGGAGGCCCCTCGCCGCCCCGGGGCACCTTCCGGCTGCAGTACTCCAGCACCAGGTACACGTGGTCCCGGTCGGCGAAGTGTCCGTGGAAGGCCACCACGTTGCGGTGCCGGAGGCGGCTGTGCAGGGCGATCTCCCGCTCCACCTGCAGGCACAGCCCAGGCGTCCACACCCTGCCCGCGGCGTTCCTGCCGACCGGCATCCACCCGCACCCCCAGGCAGGGGCTCTCCGGGAACCCCCGGGGCCACGGGGACCCGGGCACTGATGGGGGCGCATACCTTCCCAATGGGGCGCAGGCTCCGGGCCCCGGGCCCCCCACGGGGCACCACCTTGAGAGCAAACACGGCGCTGGTGCACATGTCGGTCAGCTTATAGCAGCGGCTGAAGGCACCCTGCAGGGCGGGATTCACAAGCTCAGGGAAGAGGTGGCTAGGCCACTACACACACACAGACACACACACACACACACACACCCTGAGACACAGACACACACACCCTCACACCCGGACACACACACACACACTGAGACACAGACACACAACTCACACCCTCACACCCTCACACCCGGACACAGACACACACACACACACCCTGAGACACAGACACACACACCCTCATACCCGGACACACACACACACACTGAGACACAGACACACAACTCACACCCTCACACCCGGACACAGACACACACACACACACACCCCTGAGACACAGACACACACACCCTCACACCCGGACACACACATACACACACACACCCTGAGACACAGACACACACTCACACCCGGACACTCAGTGCAACACCCGGAACAAACTGACACAGGGACACATCCCCTCAGGCAGGCACATCCACACCAGGCACAGAAAGCAGAGATGTGCAACCATTCACACACACACACACACACACACACACACACACACCTGGCAACAACAGGACAGGGTGGCAGCATACCCACAGCTCAGGGACACCGCACAGCCCGCCCAACTCTGGTTCCCGCCACACAACGCTCGCCTTGCAGACGTTCACCGCAGACCAGGCGCCCAGACCAACGCCCGACCCCAACCCCCGCCGCCACCGCGCACCGTGCGTGCAGGGACCGAGCCTGGCGCGCAGCCGGCAGACAAGCTGGACACACACACACACACACACACACACACACACACACACACACACCACGCTCAGGATGGCGTGTGCACAGCCCGCCCGCCCCGCCCGGCCCACACGCTGGGAGGCCGGTCGGTCCCACCTTGCCGATCAGCTTCCCGCGCTTGTAGACGCGCCCCGAGCCCGGGTCCCGCAGGAACGCAGACACCGGCTGGCGGCAGCTGCGCCGTCGCCGCGGCCGGGGCTCCATCCCACGGGGGCCTGCGGGGGGTAGGGGCAGGGAGTAGGGGGCAGGGGCACGGGGCAGGGGCACGGGGCAGGGGGCAGGGTGGGCACTGTGCCGCCTCCCAGCCGGACCACCTGGCAGTGCAGCGGCGCAGCTGCTCGGGGAACCGCGCTGCGGGGAGCGGATGGAGCGCGTCTGCGGAGAGGGCTGGCCGGGGCGGGAGAGGCAGGTGCGCGGGGCGTGGGCAGCAGGGATGCCGCTGGCGGGAGTTCCAGCGACCAGAGCGCTCAGCCTGGCTCTGCCAATCCTGCGCCTCCCGCCAAGCGGCGAGCTGTCCGCGCAGTTTCGCTGGACCGGACACTGAGTCCAGCCGGATGTCTTACTCTCCCGGAGGCTCCCACGGAAAGGCGAAAGGCGGGCTCTCCCCAGAGTGCGCTGGGGAAGTGAGAGTGCCAGTGACCAGGTCTTTTCTGCGGGTGACTCTGGGGCGTGGTCACCTGGGCGCTGGGGGTGCAGCAGGACTCAGAGGCCAAGAAAGAACCCAGAATCCCGGGCGCTGAGGCTGGTGGGGAGGGGGGAGGCGTGGGGCGGGGGCCCAGAAGGGGGAAAGGCTCTTGGTTGGGAGGTGCCGTATATAAAGGGCACTTGACAGTGACAAGGGACAGGATTGAGGGACCGATGCGTGGCCAGGGGGTTGAGATTCCTGGCTTGGGCTGCCAAAGAGAGGAATCAGATGGAGGACAAGTGAGCAGGCCCAGCCCCCACTGAATACTGTGGGGCATCTCTGAGCTGTGGCCCTCCTTCAGTTCTAGGCACTTTTCTTGCCTTCTCCTATTTCACTGTTACCCCGATCCTGGGACATGGAACCCGCCTGTCTCCATTTTACAGGTGAGCACACTGAGGCCTGGGGAGGGGAGGATGCTTACCCGGCCGGGAAGGGACGGTGCTGGGTTTGAGTTTGGGCTGCTGCCTCTGGCTGCCTCCGTATTAATCCCCAAAGGTTACATAACACAATGGGTGGGGAGGGGTTAGCAGGGCTTCCTGCGGCTGGAATCAGACCTCGGAATTTTCCAGAGACCAGGTTTTGGAACCTGGCCCAGCCATGCCACCAGGGACAGGAAGCACCTTCTGAGCTGTCACATGGTCACATGGCACTTCAAATGGGGGCCCCAGGGCATTTGAGGGGGCAGGATTCAGGGACCTTTGCGGGGGCGGCTTCAGCACCAGAGCCAAAGGGATTCAGGACAGTGGAGGGGGTCAGCTGGCTGTGACGTGGGAACCAAGGCCCCTGCTAATGAGAAGCAGGTACCGCGTGACAGGAGATGGGCAGCCGGGGATGGGGGGAGCTTGGGTCTGAGCAGTCATGTCGCTGTCACCCTGCAATCCCTGAGGGCAGGCATCTGGTTCCTTTTCAATTGCACACCTCCATCCATGTGCTGATTCAGGTAGGCTAAATAGTGTAGGAAGCCTGTGCTCAAGACAGACCCACCCAGCCCTCATGAGGGCTGTCAGACTTAACCGAGGGGAGGGTTCTGTAGGTGAATGTGAGTAAGTCAGCACCCCTTCCTGCAGTGGTTTGTCCTGGAGGCAGATGCTATTCTTAGCCTCATGTTAGAGGAAGAAACCGAGGCTTGCATGGAAGGCACATGCAAGCCAGAGGCGCTGGGTTGTGGCCAAACCCTGCCAGAAGGTCAGTGGGTCCAAAGTCCCTGCCCCCCCAAACCATCCTGGGAAGGAAGGCAGAGATCACATGATAAAGCAGGCGGCTAAGACCCTGAACCCCCAGAAGCTCCCTGGTGGTGAAAAGAACCTGAATTTCCTGGCCCGGTGCCACCCAGCCTGCCTGTCAGCTGGCTCCTCTGCACAGACACCAGTCTCCCCCAAGTCCTGGCTGTTCACCAGGTCTTCCTGCCTGAGCCTCCACCATGGGGCTGGTGAGATCTCCCCTTCCCAGCCTGCACCCCCCATAAGCAGGCACCTACCTCCTCTAGGATTACAGAAAAAAAAAAAAAAAAAAAAAAAAATATATATATATATATATATATATATATATATATATATATATATATATATATAAAAGCCTAAGCGAATGGTCAACTGTTCGACCTATAGCTATGATGCACACTGACCACCAGGGGGAAGATGCTCCAACCTGTAGGTTACATTGCTGCTGGGGTATGGCCAATTGGGACACGCCCTGAAGCCCTCCTACGGTCCCTCCTCCACCCTGATCATGCATCAGTGGGGTCCCTCGGCCTGGCATGTGCCCTCTCACAATCTGGGACCCCTCAAGTTTAGAATAAATGAAACATACTCGTTCACAGCAGCATGATTCACAAGAGCTACAAGAAGGGAACAACGCAAATGTCCAGTGGTGGATAAATGGATAAATTGTGATTCCTTCACACACTGGAATATTATTCAAACTTAAAAAGGAAGGAAACTCTGACACCTGCTACAACACAGATGGACTTTGAGGACAGTGTGCTCAGTAAAAGAGATCAGACACAGAAGGACAAATACTGTTGATTCCACTCGTATGAGGTTCCCAGAGTCCAATTCACAGAGGCAGAAGGTAGATGGTGGATGACAGGTGAGGGGAGAGGGAGGTGAAGAAGTTAATGTTTAATAGCAACAAGCTGTCAGTTTGGGAAGATAAGCAAGTTCTGAAGAGGGGTGGTGATTATAGTTGCACTTAAAAATGGTTAAAATGAAGGGAAAAAAAGTTAAAATTGTAAAGTATATATTATGTGTATTTTGCCACAATAAAAACAGGAAAAACATATTAGATTTCCCACCCTACCCTCAAAAAACACAACCTTAGGAGACTTACTAAAACTCCCATTTTGAGGCACAGTTTGGCTATTGAGCACAGGATCACAGTTTTGCAAAGGGCGCTGCCTGGTCTTCCATGCTGACCCCTGCCCAGGGTTCCTAAAGCTGGTGGTCACGAGCTGAAGCCCGGCCTGGCCACCCACACCCTGAATCCCTACACCCCAGGCCACAGCTTCACTCCCCCTCCATTCTGCTTTCTTGCCAACCTGAGATAACTCCCCAGACTCAGCAGATTTCCCTGGAGAACTGCAGGAAGCTTTGCTCAAAATACCTGCTGCAGGTGAGGCGGCAGCTGCTGAGGCAGCAGCCAGACTCCCAGAGGCAGCCAGACTCCCAGAGGCAGCCAGACTCCCAGAGGTCTACCCTGAGAAACTTGAGGGGCTTGGGCATGGGGTCAGCCTGGGCACAGTCCTCTTCTCCCAGAAGGTGCCAAGGTGGCAGAGGGGACTTTGCAGATGGATTAAGTACCCTGAAATGGGGATGACCCTGAGCTGGGGAGGACTCTGGAGGACCAGAGAGGGTGGTGTTTCTGGCCATGGGAGGCCAGAAAGAACTGACAACGGGTGTTTGGAGGCTGGGAGAGGCAAAGATAAGGTCTAATCCTGGACCAGTAGCAGCTAAGTTCCCCCCTCACAATGCTGGGCCTGTCTCAAGGCAGCGTCCTGCCGCAGTCATGGGGTTTCTGAGGCTCAGAGGCAGGGTTCCCTCCTGCTGACTCTGCTCACGAGGCCCTGTCCCCAGGGGCTAAGCTCACGAGTGCAGACATGAGGAAGTCCACTGCGGTTCAAAGGCCAGGAGACCAGAGAAGTACCTGGAGCCAGGGTGAGTCATGTCTGCCTGGGTGTGCCCACCTTGGCACCTCCTAGGAGAGGAGGACCGTGCCCAGGCTGACCCCAGCCCAAGCCCCTCGAGCGTCCCACAGTAGACTTCTGGGAGTCTGACTGCCTCTGGGAGTCTGGCTGCCTTTGGGAGTCTGGCTGCTGCCTCAGCAGCTGCCGCCTCACCTGCAGCAGGTATTTTGAGCAAAGCTTCCTGCAGTTCTCCAGGGAAATCTGCTGAGTCTGGGGAGTTATCTCAGGTTGGCAAGAAAGCAGAATGGAGGGGGAGTGAAGCTGTGGCCTGGGGTGTAGGGATTCAGGGTGTGGGTGGCCAGGCCGGGCTTCAGCTCGTGACCACCAGCTTTAGGAACCCTGGGCAGGGGTCAGCATGGAAGACCAGGCAGCGCCCTTTGCAAAACTGTGATCCTGTGATCAGCACCTTTTGGGGAAGGAATATTACACGACTGGTGGCAGAGCGTAGATTTTTGTAGTGTCTTTGAAACTTTCTGTAAATCTAAAAGGATTCAAAAATTAAAATTTTATTAAAAAAAAACACATAAGAATTAGGAGATCATTGTAAGAAATTCAAGCAAAACCTATAAGGCAGTGGACTCAAAATCAACTATAACCCTGCCCCAAGATGGTCGTAGCCAGCACTAGGGGCTTTCCTTCAATTTCCCGAGTTTATATTAACATGCATACTTCTTTTATAAAAATGTCATCACATTGTGTATGATTTTGCTAACCTTTCCACCTAAGTGACTAACCATCTCTGAATCACTGTCCCATGCTCCCCAACCCCCCCGCCATGTGAGGCCCCTGCCCCTCTCTGGCCTGGAAGCAGACCCCTTGCTTAATGTGCTCCAGCCACACAGGCTCCCCTGGCCTGGGCCTCACCGGCTCCTTGATCACCTGACCTCTGAATATGCTGTTTCTCTGCTGAAAACACCCTCTCCCTCACACCCTCTCCCATCCAGTTCCCCTTCATCCTCCAGGTCCTGCCTGGGGCATCCCCACTTCAGGCAAGTTCCCCACACTCTCAACCCAACAGGAGCTGAGGGCACCCTTCAGGTGTGGGGATGAAGTCGTCCCAGGGCCTCTGAGTCCCACTGAGTGTGACTTGACCCCTCTGTCCCTCAGGGTCCTGACCCATAAAGTAGGGGTGAGGAGCATCACATCACATAAGAGAGCCCCCAAGGCAGTGGTGACCCTCAGTGGGTGAAGTGCTCAGGCACCAAGTCAGTGGCGTGAGAAGGAGGACCTGTCTGGAATGAGGGTGACGGAAAGGATGCTGCTTCTCCTTAGTGGGTACTTCTTAATCAGAAGTCACAGGCACCCAAAGTTGCTAAAGTGAAAAACAAAACAAAACAAAAACTGGGTTGATAGCTTCAGGTATGGCTCGATCCATCTCGGAAATCTGGCTCTTTCTGTTTCCTGCCTCTCATGTCCCTAGTTAGGGTGACTCTTGCTGGTTGGCAATCCCAGCTCACATGGGTGACCTTGGTCGTGATGGATCCTGGGTCCTGGGGCCATACTAATGCCCAAGGACATCTGAACTGCTCCAGAGATGTGGGTTCTAGGGCAGAGTTGGCAGGAACCATCCCACCTGGTCAACTCAGGAGGCTGAAGGGTCCTGGGACCACATGGTCAGGCCTCAGGGATCACAGGTGGCACCGGGAGTTGGAGGAAGAAGCAAGAGGAGACCATCAGATCTGGTCATAGACATTTCCTAAGGCCCAAGACCCTACGACAACAGGCCGCAGAGGGAGCCCGAGCCCAGCTGATCCACATCTGTCATGGCCCACATGCCTATCCTGGCCCTGCCTCTGGGAGGGGGTCTGGGCTGAAGCTCAGGGTAGGGGGAATCCAGCTGAACTGGGCCAGGGGCCAGGCCTGGGCACAGGCTGGGGGACTGAGATGCCACGTGAGGTGGGCCCAGGACTCCACTTCATTCCACCTCCATCTGGTCTTTCCACAGCACTAGGGTTCCCAGGCAGGGTGCAGTGCCTGCTGTATGCACTTTCTACAGGGCTCAGTGTCTGCTACATACACTTGTTGTAGACAGAGTACAATGCCTGCTATAGATGTGCCCTGTAGATAGTATCTTTTATAGCCCAGCCAACATGGTTCAGCGGTTGAGCATTGATCTATGAACCAGGAGGTCACTGTTCGATTCCCGGTCAGTGCATATGCCCAGGTTGTGGGCTCCATCCCCAGTGTGGGACATGCAGGAGGCAGCCAATCAATGATTCCCTCTCATCATTGTTGTTTCTATCACTCTCTCCCTTTCTCTCTGAAATAAAAACATATTTTTTAAAAAGTGCCTTCGGCCAAAACTGATTTGGCTCAGTGGATAGTGTGTCGGCCTGCGGACTGAAGGGTCTCAGGTTCAATTCCGATTAGGGGCATGTGCCTTGCTTGCACCAGTGGGGAGTGTGCAGGAGGCGGCTGATCGATGGTTCTCTCTTGTTGATGTTTCTATCTCTCTATCCCTCTCTCTTTCTCTCTGTAAAAAAATCAAATATATATATATATATATATATATATATATATATATATATATATATATATTAAAAAGTGCCTTCGGTGCATGGTGCAGTGATTTCTGCATGCACTCTCTTCAGGATACAGTGACTCTTGTAGGCTCTCCTTGGAAGGTTCAATGTCTACTATATGCCCTCCCTACAAGGCTCTGTATACATTCCCTGAACAGCAAGGTGTGTCTGATGTATGATACAGTACTTGCTGCATACATTCCCTACAGAGCATAATGCCTGCTGTATTGCTCCATGCAGGACATAGTGCCTGTTGTATGCATTTTTTGCAGGGTGCAATGCCTGCTGTATACACCCTGCATAGCACCATAGCATGATGGCTGAGGCTTGGGTAATGAGGCATCTCTGAGGGGGTTACAATTGTCTACTTTGTGGAGTCCCTTGGCCAAGCTTGCTTTCTTTCTTTCTTTCTTTCTTTCTTTCTTTCTTTCTTTCTTTTTAATGTATCTCTATTGATTTCAGAGAGGGAGAGGGAAAGAGAGATAAAAACATCAATGATGAGAATCATTGATTGGTCACCTCCTGCATGTCCCCTATTGGGGATCAAGCCCACAACCCAGGCATTCCCTTGATTGGAATCGAACCTGGGACCCTTTAGCCTTCAGGCTGATGCTCTATCCACTGAGCCAAACCAGCTAGGGGTCTTGCTTTTTTAAAATGTATCTTTATTGTTGATTAATATATTTTTATTGATTTCAGAGAGGAAGGGAGAGACAGAAACACCAACGATGAGAGATAATCAGCTGCCTCCTGCATGCCTCCCATTGGGGGTGGAGCCCAAAACCTGGGCATGTGCCCTGATTAGGAATCGAACCATGATCTCCTGGTACATAGGTTGATACTCAACCACTGAGCCTCACTAGCCAGGCCTGATTTATTTCTGATGACTCTCAGGCCCCAGTGCATAGTGTGATACATAATCAATGCTCAGAAGGAAGTGCCTGCTTCTGCTGTCCCCTCACTGTTCTGCCATCCTCTCTTCAGCCTTGTCCAACCACACTTAACTTCATCAAGGTCACAATTGCCTCCATCAGTGCCAATTCATTGGTCCACATCTTCATTTTGCCCACAAAAGCTGTACCTTTTTTCTCCCAGAAGCCCTGTGTGACCTCTGGGACCCCACACCCACCTGTTCTCCACCCCCTGCCCCTTCCTGTCCTGTGACCTCATCCATGACACTAAACATCCTCATGTGCTGAGGACACCCACTTGTTCACCTCCTCCCAACAACATGACCCCTGGATTCCCAGCCTCTTCCTGGTGACTCACAGGCATCTCACTGCAGAGCCATTCAGAAGTGACCACTGGACTCGCTCTCCCCCCTCAGTACATGGCCACCGCCCTCACTAGCCACTCAGGCCAAGTGTCAAACCTTCCCCATGGGATCCATCAGCAACTCTTGCAGACTCCACTCCCAAACAGCTGGGAGCCACCCTGCTCTCACCCCCACGACACCCTGGCTCAGCCCCTGCCCAGAACAACCACTGCTGCCTCTCACCACTTTCCTGCCCACCCCTTCCCCCCCATGGCAGCCAGGGGTAGATTTTCCAAAGCTAGACCGCTCTCCCACCTCCCAGAGCTCCTTTCCTGCCTCTGACCTCATCCCTTCCCCCACTCAGGCCACTTGCCCCACCCACTCCACCTCCCAACTTTATTCTCGTAGTCCAGACTCCAGGCCTTTGCACTGGATGTGCCCTCTGCCTGGGCTGCCCTTCCCCCCACCCCCTTCTGTGGCGTTCACCTCCTCAACGAGGGCCTTCCTGACGCCCCCCCACATCTGCAGTGGACCTGGGCTGTGTCCTCAGAGCACCTGATCTCAAGGTAACGTGATACCTACCCAGGGGCTGCCTCCCTCACTAGCCTGACTGGCTGGGTGGTTCACCAGTGTGTTGGCACATAGTAGGTTCTCAATAAATGTCGAAGGACTACATGGCATTGGGTGGCTCTGTTTTGAGCTGCTTCAGGCTGGAGTGTGGACATGCAACCCCTCTCTCCCTGTGGTCAGGGCTGGGAGGCCCACGGTGGGCTTTCAGGAAGAGAAGACCCTCAAGCTGAGTCCAGCTGGAGCCTGGGGGCAGAGGAGCAGTCCCCCCATGGCCCCCTTGGCGCCCCATTTCCTCGACCTACCCGTCACGTGGGTGACAGTGAGGAGCCGGGGGAGGGGCGGGCGGAGGACGCCTGTGGGCGGGGGCAGGCGGCTCCCTGGAGAGGGTGCGGTGGTGGAGCCCCAGAATAACCCCGATCCGCGCAAAGAGCTGGATTCCAGCTGAAGGGGTCGCGGTGCCCCGCTTGCCCGAATGGGAAAGTTGAGGTCGGAGAGGGTGAGGGCACGGCCACGCAGAATCGGGAACTCTGGACCCGGGTCTGGCTCCGAAGCCACGGCTCACAGTGCGGGGGCCCGGCGGGGAGGCGGGAGGCGGGGTGGGGTTCGTCCTCCGGTGACAGCAGCGCCCGGAAATGCGCCGCCGGGAGTGGGCTCTCCGCCCCTCGCGCCCAACCCCTGGCGCTGAGCTACTCCTCGGCGCGCGGGGCCCTGCACTCGGGGTGGCCCGGACGCGCGGCGGGAGCCCCGGGATCGGAGCGCCAGCGGGCGGGCTCCCGAGCGGGCTGACCTTGGAGGACGGGCCGGGGAGCGGGGCCGGAGCCGTCGCGGGGACGCGATCCGTGCGTCGGGGGAGCGGAGGCAGGGGCCCGGGCTCGAGGAACCGGGCAGGGCGACCTCGGTGCGCACATTCCCCGGCCCTGAGCGCGGCGCCCGGAATAGCAGCCCCGGGGTCGGGGTGAGGACGGCCAGGATCCTCGCGGCGCTCCCGCCCTGGGCTTCCCAAGGTCACCGGGACATGGACTCTCAGACACCAGACCGGAGTTCTGGGGAGCCCGGGCCCGCGCGGGGCAGTCCTCCGCCGCAGACCCGCGCGGCAGCGCTCCGCGGCCTCGGGAGGGCGCGCGGGGCCGCCGCCCCTCCGGACCCCGGGCTGGGCGCGCCCCGGGAGGCCGGGTGGAAGTGGCCGCCCTGGGGTCCCCCCGCTCCCCTCCGAGGGCCCCGCCGCTTCCGCTCATCCTGGAGCGGCCGGGAGAGCCGGGACGCACAGCCAGCGCTCTCCGTCGCCGGTAAGCCCCTCTTCCTACACCCTCCTCCTCCCCTCTGCACCCCGCTATCAGGGCCGGTGCCTCCTGGGTCTCGTGGAGGATGGGGGGGAGGGGGAGAAAGAGGACGGTGAGGCACCCATCCGCAGGGTGGGAGAAAGCTCATCCCACTTCTTCCTGGGGAAACTGAGGCCCAGAGGCGTGGCTTGCCCTGAGATCACACCCTCAGTCAGGAGTTCAGCCAAAACTGGGTGTCAGTGTCCTCCTGCTCTTTGGGGAGGGGGCTCCTTACTTTCCATCGCCTGGATCCTCACCTCAGTGCTGAGTCAGGGAGGGGTTCGGAAGACCAACACCCCTCTCCTATCTTTGTTCCCCCCCCCCCCCCCCCAAACTTCCTGCTTCCTGGGCCAGCCAGGGCCCTGGGTTCAGAAAGGGGCTCAGATGCCACAGGCAGACATGGCTCTGGGGCCACCTCAGCACCAGACCCTTCGTGCCCCAATGTCATAGCCAGGAGGGCCTGAGACCCAGGGAAAATGAGGCTCACAAGGGGCCATAGGTCCCATGAGGTCCAGCCTTCGCCCACCCAGCGCCCAGGAGCGCGGGGCGCAGGACTCCCGTCTGTCCTGAGTGTTCTTTGGGCACCGCTGCCCGCTGGGCTCCCTGGCTCTGCTCACCAGGTGGCCACTTCCCTCTTCCTTCCTCTGCCAATGCCATGGTCACGCGGAGGCTGTGGATGGCAACGGCTTTCTATTTCTCCTGACAGATGGGGAAATTGAGACCTGGGGAGGCAGAGTTGCCAGCCCAGTCCCCCCACCCCAGCGGACTCCCTATTTTCTGCATCATCCTCATCAGGGGCCCTTTTCCCTTCCCAGACCACCCTGCTCCCTCCCGCACCTTCGGCTCCTGAGGCCCTGAGGTGCTGGCTGGCCCAGGGCCAGGCTATTCCTTTCTGCCCTCCCCACAGGGGGACACCCGCTGCCCCGGGTTTGGGATCGAGTGGAGCCCTGAAGGGACCTGGTCCCTGACCCAGCCCCAGGGCCTGCTCCCTCTGCAAGCTCTCAGCGTCCCGGACTGACCCCAGCTGGTTCCCAGTGCACAGATGGGGAAACTGAGACCTGGGGAAGCGGAGTGGCTGGCCCCTGGCCGCACGGGAAGGTAGAAGCAATGATGGTAGATAGAGCGGTGAGGAGCCCTGACCCTGGAGATTCTTGTGCACTTATCCTGGAATGATTTGTTCTGTCATCAGACACTGATTAAGCACCTACTGTGTGCATCATACGACAATAAACAACCAATAATAATAATAATAATAATTAACAATAGTACTTTGAACTCTCCATCTGCATTCCAGACTCTGTGCCTCCCGTTCTTCTTACCTGATCTGAAGGACCCCTCAAAATTTTCCTGTGAGGGGGGCTGTATTATGAATACGTTTTTCAGATGTAAGAAGGGGAGGGTCAGAGAGATTAAGTTACTGCCCCAAATCACACAGTCAGGGCAGAGCTGGGGTTCAGCCCCTGGCCTGCTCACACCTCCCCTGCAAAGACTCTCTCTGCTTCCCCAGACCCCACCCCCTCTGGAACCTCCTGCTCCTGCTATGGACCCTCCTGAACTGTGGTTTGGGGGGCAGTGCTCAGGTAAGGGGGGCCATGAGCCCAGAGGGCATTGGGCATGGAGATCCGGTAGCCATGTGGCGGCTGCCAGCCTCCCCTCCATGCTGACCATGCTTCTCTCTCCAAGTAGGGTCCAGGAGAGTGGACACCATGGGGCTCCTGGAGCCACTGCTCCAGCTCCTGTGGGCAGGGGCTCTCCGTGCGAAGCCGGCGCTGCATCCGGTGAGCAGTGAGCACGAGGCCGGCTCGGCTGAGCGGGTGCCAGGGGGTTCCTGACCCTTCCCACCTGCCAGCCAGGCCCAGCCCCTCGCCACACCCTTGACCTGCCCACACATGCTGTGCCTTTTAATCCTACGAATGCACCTGGAATGTGGGTAGGGTTGGGGTGGGAGGGTGAGGGGGGAGCAGGCGGGCTCCGGGAGGGAGGTTGCTGGGAAACCTGACCACACTCTGGCCACCCTGCTCCTCATAGGCTCCCCAGTGAAGAGTTGTGCTGGGGGGACTCCCACGAGTACCGCCTCTGCCGGTTGCCAGTAAGTTCTGTCCAACTCCCAGACCTTCGAGCCTGCCCGGAAGCCCTGCTGCTTCCCCACTCATGCCCCCAAATGTGTTTGCCACCCTGCCAGCTTTTCTGGACTCCCCTGGGTCTGTCCCAACCTCTGAACCACCCATCTCTGTCCCCAGGACTGTCCCCCAGGAGCCGTGCCCTTCCGAGACCTCCAGTGTGCCCTCTACAATGGCCACCCTGTCCTGGGCCCACAGAAGACTTACCAGTGGGTGCCCTTCTATGGTGGTGAGTAGCCTGCCCTCCTGTTGGTCCAGAGGAAACAACTCAGAGCTGGCAGGGAGAAGGGGCTGCTAAGAAGGAAGGGGGACTTGGAGGGTTGTAAGGCATTAGCACTTGGGCTTTGAAGGATATGTAGGAGTTGGTGAAGGGAAGGGGAAAGAGCATGTGTGAGGTGTAAAGCAGAGGCAGGGGGAGGCCAGGTCTATTCTGCACGGGGCTGAACACCAGACTGAGGATTTACTCAGGGAGAATCCAGAGGCCAGCAGTTCTCAGACTTATCTTGGTAGCAGAAAATGTTGCCAGTGTTTAGCTGAAAATAGTGAGTTATATAACTGCGTGCTGGGGGCAGCATGCCTCCAAGTTTAAGGGAGATAGGCAGCTTCAGATGCCACGTGAGGGCAGACACAGGTAAGAAAAGCCTAGAATGAAGAAAGTTCCATTTGTAAACCTCATCGTGTTTTTGTGTGTTTTTTCCCCCACCTTTGCCCTAAGAATTAGCCCACCAGGGCCAGCTGGGCTCTGTTCCAGGCTGGGTCAGCCAAGCTGAGGGAGATGGGAGGAGCAGGAATCAGAGCTATGAGCTGGAGTGATTGGATTGCTCATTGTGCCCTGCTGCCAAGCAGAAGGGGAAACTGAGTCCTGGGGGGGGGTAAGACACATGCTACGTGGGACCCAGTCAGCATTGGACAAACACTTTTTAAAAATATATATATTTTATTGATTTTTTACAGGGAGAAAGGGAGAGGGATAGAGAGTTAGAAACATCTATGAGAGAGAAACATAGAACAGCTGCCTCCTGCACACCCCCTACTGGGGATGTGCTCGCAACCAATGTACATGCCCTTGACTGGAATCGAACCTGGGACCCTTCAGTCCCCAGGCTGACGCTCTATCCACTGAGCCAAACCAGTTTCGGCTGGACAAACACTTTTTTATTGGGCACCTGCTGGGTGCAGCTCTGCTCAACGCTGAGCCTAGAATCATGTCTGGAAATGGTTATTTGAGTATTTGTGGAATGAATGCATGCATGCATGCATGCAGGCGCAGGATATTTGCCTAGGAGAGTCAGAAAGCTGGAGGCAAAATGCTTAAGCCCAGTCCTGGCTCTGCTTCAACCTCCATGTGCGGTTTTGGCTGAGTCTCTGGGCCCCATCTGCCTAAGGGGATGGCTCTCTCTGGGAGGCTAGCAGGAAGGGAAGGTGCTGTAACTGGGATAGAAGACCCCTGGTCCACTCTGTCCTTCCACCCCAGCGCCCAACCAGTGCGACCTCAACTGCCTGGCCGTGGGACATGCCTTCTACCACAGCTTTGGCCGCGTCCTGGACGGTACTCCCTGCAGCTGGGGTAGCCAGGGACTCTGCGTGGCTGGCCGCTGCCTGGTAAGGACTGCCAAGACCCGCCCAGCCCAGCCCACCCCACCCCACCCCACCCCACCCCAGGCCGAATTCATTTAGTTTTAGGTCCCGCCTTCTCCTAGCCCCGCCCCTCCCACCGGGCCACGCCTCTCCATAAACTCCACTCCAAGCTTCCCTCCAGAGTCCGCCCTTCGCTCTCAAGACCCGCTAAGCCCCCATTCCTTTCGTTCCATTACCCCTCCCTTTCCCACAGGCCTCCCACCTCTCCTTAGGCCTCACCCAGGTCCCTCCTGGGCCCACCCTTTTATCCCCAGGTCCCATCTCTTTTATTTCAGGACCCCACCCTCGTCTCTAGGCCCCGCCTCCTAGTTCTCAGATTCCGCCCCCCCATCCCAGGCCAAGGACCCGGCTGGGACAGGGGCCTCTCTATGACAAGTGTCCCCCCCCCATCCCTTTAGAACGCCGGCTGTGACGGTTTGATGGGCTCGGACGCCCGCGAGGACCACTGCGGTCGCTGCGGCGGCACCAACGACTCGTGCCTCTTCGTGCAGCGCGTGTTCCGTGACACCGGTGACCTCTCGCCCCGCCCTCCCCGCTCTCCCCGAGCAGGCCCTTTAAGAAGCCGCAGGCACGGGAGTGATTCCCGTGCTGATTGGGCAGTCTGCGGCACCGCCCCCTACCGTTCCTCATTCTGATTGGCCACTGTCAGCCCGTCCCGCCCGTCCTAGACAGATGTGGTTCTCACTCTTTCGATGCTTCATTTAAGCGATAATACCTAATCTGAGCTCCAAACGTTGACGGGCCGTTTTGGGGCTACTAGTACCAAGGCTAACCTCCTTAGCCTCAGTATGTCACTGAATCCTCAAAGCATCCCTCAAAAAACCCGCCCCCCGCACCGCAACAACCTCCTCCCTCCCTCCCAGGAGCCTTCGCGGGATACTGGAACGTGACTCTGATCCCCGAGGGCGCCAGGCACGTCTACGCCGCCCACCGGAGCCGCAACCACCTGGGTACCTCAGAGGTCCCGAGGGGGGAGGCGCCCTCCTGGCCGCCTCGGCGAAGCCGGGAGACTGCGGCCGGAGGAGGGGCACGCAGGGTCGGGTTCCCGGGAGCCTAGGCTGACCCTTCCCTTGCAGCGCTGATTGGGGGCGACGGGCGCTACGTGCTCAACGGCAACGGGGAGATCAGCCCGTCCGGGACGTACGAGGCGGCGGGCACCCGCGTGGTCTACACCCGCGCTGCAGGGCCAGAGGAGACGCTGCGCGCGGCCGGACCCACGTCCCAGGACTTGGTCCTGCAGGTGCGTGCCGGGCCTCCAGGGGGCGGCTGGGCACGTGGTGGCGGCGGCAGGAATTAAAGGACCTGGGGGAGGCTGGGCACGGGGTAGAGGAGTCAGGATGGAGAGTGAGACAGGGGAAGCTAGGATCAGAGTCAGAGGGGGAGATCGGATTAGAGAGTCAGACGGGCCAGGGTGTGATAGAGAACCAGAGGAGAAAGGCCAGAGGGTGGAGGCTGGGCCATCAGTTCTGATTTCGGCTCCTTGGTGTGTGGCCTTCTCCCTAGGTCCTCCTGCAGGAGCCCAATCCCGGCATTGAGTTCGAGTTCTGGCTCCCCAGGGAGCGCTATGGCCCCTTCCAGGAGCAGGCCCAGGCCCTGGGCTGGTCCCTGAGGCAGCCGCGGCCTCTGGAGGTGGAGCCCCAGTCCCTTGAGTCCCAGGAAGCCCGGGCTGCTTTCCCCACACGGACCCCAAACCCCACTCCAGGTGAGCAGGGAATAGCCACTGTGGGGGCAAGCAGGGAGGTGGGGCCCGTGCCCTAACTGCACTATCTCACAGATCCCTGCCCACCCTGCCCCGACACCCGTGGTCGTGCCCACCGGCTGCTCCACTATTGCGGCAGTGACTTTGGTGAGAGACCCTTTCCCCCAACCCTCACCTGGCCCCTAATTGACCTAAACTTGGCTACTTTCCTGTTGACATCTGACCCTGCTTTGACTTTACTCTTGATCCAACTCCAACTTGACCCCTTCTGGCCCTAATTTGACTTCTTGATTTGGCCCTTTGCTCTAATTTGACCTCTAAATCCTCATTGATCCTGACCTGATCTTGACCCTAGTACCCTCTGCACAGTCCCTAGGGGCCCCCCATGTCCTACCTGACCCCATGTTTCCTCATATGGCAACGGGGTGCATGAATGGGTGTCCAGATTGGACCATCCAATTGGCCTCAGCACCACCCTGCCCACAGTGTTCCGGGCTCGAGTGCTGGGCCACCTCCGCCAGGCCCAGGAGACCCGCTATGAGGTGCGTGTGCAGCTTGTCTACAAGAACCGCTCGCCGCTGCAGTCCCTCGAGTATGTGTGGGCCCCTGGCCGCTGCCCCTGCCCACCAATGGCCCTCCATCGAGAGTACCTGCTGGCCGCCCAGCGCCTTGTCAGCCCCGATGGCACTCAGGACCGGCTGCTGCTGCCCCATGCTGGCTACGCCCGGCCCTGGAGCCCCGCCGAGGACAGCCGTGTACGCCTGGCTGCCAGGCACTGCCCTGTCTGAGCCCCCAGACAAGGCCGCACCACACACAGCAAGAAAGACGTGCCTGACCAGGCTCAAACTCAACCTCTTTCCTCTCTTGCCTGGCTTCCAAGGATCTCAGAACTGTCTCCCACCACAGCTCTGTACCTCTCCCTCATACACACTTATACACCTTTGTGTACAGTCAGTCAGATCCACTTGCACTGTAGGCAGGCGCTGATGAGAACACACTGAATTGCTTCTTTAACTCTGATTTCTTATCTCTATGAGTTTCCTGACTGCCAGGAAACTCATAGCTACCTTTTACTCAAAAACTTTGTGTCTCCTTGTATTCCCCTTGCCAAACACTCACTTGCTTAGACACACTTTCACAAGCAAGCAGTACCCATAGGAAGACATGCCTAAGGAGACATTGTAAAGACAGTTTCCCCGCTTGCCTTGGCCACCAGGAAGCTCATCACTGTTTAACTCCCTGAAACTGTGCTCTCTCTTCTTGCTGCCACTTACCCATACACCAAAATGTATTCAGAGACAGTGCCACAAACAGACATACTCGCTAGAAAACATGCCTAACTAGGCACAGTAACACCCTCATTTCCCCCTTTGTGCTGACTCCCAGGAGGCTCAGAGACCATCTTTTCTCTTTCAGTTTTGTATTGATTTCAGGTGTACAGCTTAGTGGTTAGTGCTCCCTTTGATATTTTCAGTACCCAATTACCATTATACATAGTTATAATATTATTAACTATATTCCCTATGGTTTACTTTATAACCCCATGACTATTCAAAGATAATTTTAACAGCCTCAGTAATTCTACAAGGGTTTCTTGCAATCCACGCTGCTGTTCACCCCTTTTATATTTCTACTTAATTTTTACAAGCAGTTTTTTTAAAACAAGGGCACACTCGGCCACAGAAATGTGAGGATGCACTGGTAGTCGGATCCACACCTGTGCTCTCACAGCGTGCACACATGTGATCTCTCAAACCACATCCCCTCCACCTGGTCCATTCCCCTCCTCCCCTCAGAATGTCTGACACTTTGTGGGAGGTGAGGACAGGGAATATATGAGGGGGGGGGGGTGAGTATAGGGTAGACATGGCTTTTATAGGTCCCATGCCTCCTTGGAGGCCACACATTCACCTCAGGCCTCCCCAGCAAAGGAAGCAGTCAGAGCCCCGCCCTCAGGCTATCCTCATCTCCCTGCGTTGGCACAGATAGATTCTCTTTGTTTATTCTTCTGGAGCAAGAGCGCAGGCAACAGTCATGTGAGAATGAGGGTGTGTGGGAGTGGAGTGGCTCAGCAAACCCTCCCACTCTGGGTGGGGGCGCCGTCTTCCGCCTCCCCATTCTGGATGGAGTGATCCACACTCTCATTTTGGGACGATCTGCTCTTCTGTGTTTTGCCCGGTAGCATGGATACTGGCAGTGGGCAAGGGGCACACAATGTGCAGGTCTCAGAGCCGGATGGGCCTGAGGCCAGACTGCTCCGCTCTCCTGGCCTTACTTTCCCATCTGTGGGAATCCTTTCAGCCCTGGCTCTGACCGTGGGAATCACACTCTTCTGGATTCCCTCCCTGGCCCCTCAGCTCACTCATGCATTCCTCCAATGGGTATTTATTGAGTGCCTACTGTATGCCAGGGCCCAGCAGTGCTTACACCATCCCAGGCCTGGCTCTGTCATCTGCAATGAGTGCAGAAGCTGGAGAAACCTCAGAGTTCCAATTCTCGTGGGCAGAGTGGGGTGCGGTCCTGGAGGGAGGTGTGGGGCCTGGGCGCCCACTGGTGGCAGGATGGGGTAAAGGTAGTCAAGGCACTGATTACCTGCAGTTCTGAAGGGCCCTATGCTTATGTATCTCCTCCACACCCGCTTCTCTCTTCTGCACTTGCCTTCCTCAGGAATGCCTCTCCCCACCCACCAGCCTTACACCAGCTCCCACTTACGGCTCCATTCTTCCCACCATTAGCCTGAGGTTATCCCCTCAGCCTCCATGCCGTATGGGGATATGTCTGGGAATGAGAGACTCAGGCTTTAGCCCAAGAGCTCCTAATCCCCAATCACCTGGGCTCCTAGGCAGGGCGAGCACCGAGTCTCCTCCCGAGCGCCTCCGCCAGGCAGGATGGCCTGTGGCCACCGAGCAGTGACTTTCCCAGCCCCTTCACAGCTCCTCGTGCAATGATCTTGTAACACTGCCCCGTAAACATCACATGGTTTAGATTTGCTCTGTAGTTTTAAAGCAGTCTAGCCATTTAAAGAGAGAAGAAAACATTGCAATTCTAAAGATGTTCAAATTCAACAGCATGGTGGTTCAGGAAGGCACTACTGTTTGTACTTTGCCGTTTTACATGGAAATCCTAATAACTCCAGGTGGTTACATAGAATGATAGAAACAAGGTGAATTGTTCTGTTTTTCCCTCTCCACAGCCCCCAGCCCCTTTTCATTCGTTACTGTGTCCCCTCTGGCTTAGACGCACACGCTGCCCGGAGTGACAGCAAAGGGGTGCAGGCAGGACCCTCCTCTTGAAGCAGCACAGGTGGCACATCCTTGCTTGTCCAGAACTGGTTATTCTCCAAATTGACTTCCCACAGATGGTGATGTTTATTAAAAGATGAATTAAAACAGGCATGTTTGAAACTTGCATCCATATTAGTAAAATGACAGTAATTGTAATTCTTTCATTAGCCCCACAAAAGATTGTTTTCAACACTATTTCTGAACGCCAGCTCTGGGGTCTGTCATGTTTTTCCTTTCTAATTCTCTGCAGAGGGCACCACCCCGTCACCTGCCCTTCTCTCACTGACCCTGTACCCGACGGCTGACCCGTGGGAGGACACATGTCCACTTAAAGAGCCGCAGAAAGCCCTGGGCTGTTGGAGAGCCCACAGGCTTAGCTGTGGCCGGCAGGACTACTTTGGAAAAACAGTTTGGCCATGTCTGCTACAGATGAGCAAAAACCACAGTAGCAAGTTAGATATGTCCAAGTCCTAACCCCCAGAATCTGTGAATGGAAAAGGGATCCTGGCAGATATAATCAAGTGTCTCAAGATCATCCTGGATTACCTGGGTGGGCACTAAATCCAATGACAAGTATCCTCATAAGAGACGTGCAGAGGAGAGTCAGAGAAAAGGGCCATGTGACAATGGAGGCAGAGACTGGGGTGATGAGGCCACAGGCTAGAGTCCTCAGAAGCTGGAACAGGCAGGAGGGACCCTCCCTGGAGTCGCAGGAGGGAGCGTAGCCCTTTAACACTGACTTCTGGCCTCCATAATGTGAGAGACTAAATCTTTGTTGTTTCAAGCCCCCTCTCCCCACCCCCATCCAGTGTGTGGTGATTTGTTATGGTCACCCCGGAAGACTCCCAGGCTTACCCTACACTCTCCAATCTCTGAGAAATGAGAGATGCACTCACCAAAGGTCAGTTCTAGAATGTTCCTAGCAGCTTTAGTCATAATAACCCAAAATGGGAAACTACTCAAATGCCTATCAACAGTGGAATGGGGCAAATAAATTCTGGCCTACCCACAGAATGAAATGCTATCCACCAATGAAAAAGAGCAAAGTACTGATAATTCTTTAAAATTCTCAGTAAAAGACCCACAGTAGGGGTGAGTCTCAGACACAGCGCTGAGTCAGACTGGAAAGGACAGAGATACCGTTGAGTGTGGAGAGTGCCTGGGAGGGGCTGGCCCTGTTGCCTTAGTAGCTCCGAGTCACTAGTTACATTTTTCTGTAAATTTAAAAATAAAACAAACAGTATGCTCAGTGGTTCAGCATCCACCTATGAACCAGGAGGTCACAGGTTCGATTTCCGGTCAGGGCACATGCCCAGGTTATAGGCTTGATCCCCAGTAGTGGGTATGCAGGAGGCAGCCGATCCATGATTCTCTCTTATCATGGATGTTTCTGTCTCTCTCCCTCTCCCTTCCTCTCTGAAATCAATAAAAATATATTTTAAAAAAATAAAAAACATAAAACAAGTCTGAGGGTCACTGTCTCTACCTGGAGAGACAGGTGTGTATCGTCCCTACCTGTACTCCCTGGTGAGCTGACCAGGGCAGGGGCCAGGGACAGCCTCTGAGCACCTGTTTCACCACCTCCTGGCTCAGGGGGAGGGGATGCCAGGTGTAGAGCAAGCCCAGCACTGCCCCACCCCCAGGCCACAGGCCACACCACATTCTTCAAACAGCTGAGTCACCGATAAGCAGATTCTGAGATCCCTGTCCCCAACAGCTCTATAGGCCTCTTAGCAAACCTTTGATCAGTCCCTTCCTCCCTATTGACAAACCTTACCCAAGGAAAAGCCGAAGTCCTTACCACACCCTCCAGATACCTGCATGGTCCACCCCTCTGGCTCACATCCTCTCTCCCCCTCATTCACTCAGCTCCACACACAGGCCTCCCTGTTCTTCCTGCACTCTGCCAGGCGCTACCTTTGTACTTTCATACCTTCGTACTGGCTCTTCTCTCTGCCTGGACCACCCCCATCCCAGTTCTCACACACTCATGCCCTCACCTTCATGTCTTTACTGGAATGTCATTTTCATACAGGCCTTTCTCTGACCCTGACATTGCAGCCCTGGCCCCCTCAACTTCGGCTGCATTTCCCCCATGGCATTCACCTCGCTCTCTGACATGTTTTTTTTAAATTATTATTAAATCTTTTTTTATTTTATTGATTTAAGGATAAGGGAGAGAGAGAGATAAATATCATCATTGTGAGAAACATGGATCAGTTGTCTCCCATATATGCCCTGCCTGGGGATCAAACCCAAAACCTGGGTATGTGCCCTGATCAGGAATCGAACCCACAACCCTTAGATACACAGGATGATGCTCCAACCAACTGAGCCACAGGCCTCCCTCTGACGTGTTATACATATATCATGCCAATTGTTGCCTTCCCAAACTCCCAGGAGTGGGAAATTTTTAACTGTGTCCATACTGTAACCCAGGCTCCCAGAGGAGGAATTACAACACGTGCTCACTATCCGTGTAACTCAGCACTTCCTCCTTCTTTGTCAGAGTTCTCAAGGATGAGGACTTGGGCGGTGGTTGCAGAGGGATGCCTCCTTTTTTTGGAAAACTGTCTTGAAGTCACCACCAACTGGGAACTGCAAGGCTGGCTAAGGAGTGAGGGGCATGGCATATCAAAGGATTGCAAGACTTGGCTGATGTGTTTGGGCAAAAACAGTGTCTTGGTCAGGGATGGTTCTGCGCCAACACACTGGGGTCTTGGTCTTGGTCTTCGACGCCACGCGTGTACCCACCCCCTGGAGCGTGACAGCTGGCGGTGGCTGCAGCAGGAGGTTGGGGGATGTGGGAGGTGGTGTGATCTGTGGGAAATGGCTGGCCAGGGGCCCTGAAATTCATGAGGACCTGAAACCGTGTAAGGCTGGACTGGGGTTGAGCAGAGTTGGCCAAGGGTAGGCCTGGGAGTTGCTTTCATCCCTGGCTGGAGGGTGGTGGGGCCTGTTCGGTGGGTCTGAGGGGAACTCGACCGTGGCTGCCTTTCTGCTAAGCCTTCCTAGTGCCATTAGTTTAGCAAATGTTCGATGACCTGCTACTGTGTTCCAGGGAACAGCCCGGAACAGACAAAAATCTCAGTCACTGTGGCGCTCACAGTCTCATGGGGGAGGTGGGCGAAAGGCAAGAGAAGTAAAACACGTCATGTAGACTTTATACAGAGCCATCAGGAAGGCTCGCTGCGAAGAAGACATTTGAGTCAGAACCTGAAAGCAGTGAGGGAGAGTGTGAAGGCACAGACCCCCAGGCGCCTCTCCGCTCTGGAAGGATCTCCAGGGCCCTCCTCAGTTCGTCCCTCACCTGAGTGAGGTCCCCCAAGGTCAGGTTCCACAGCCTGTGACTGTCCCTGCCCTTGCCTCTCTCAGGCCTGCCCTTCCTCATTTTTCAGGCGTCAGCTCACTCACCACCTCAGGCCTTTTTTGTCACCGCTTCCTTTTCATATTTCCTGGGTACCCTCTTCTCATTTTCTGTCTCCCTGTCCTCAACTTAAATGGCTAAGATGTTCGTTTCACTCACTAGTGAATACCCACCATTTAGTGTGGTGCCCTCCTCTGCCACATACTAATTACTACTTTTGTTTTTGTTTTTTTTAATTTAAAGAATAATAGAGACTAACTGCTAACTAAAAAGAAAAAAAAGAAACTGAGTGTCTCCAGACATTCCCCAGGACCTTTGAGAAAAAAATTGCTCTCAGTTGAGAACCACTGAATTCCAGCAGCAGAAGCACCTGCAGTGTCAGGGTTTGCGGTCATCCTGCTAACCCTTCTCCTGTATTTGCTTCGGAAGCTGTGGCCCCCTAGGATCACGGTGAAGCAGAGCTTGGGTGGCAGGAGCTGAGTGGTGAGATGGGTGGCCTGATGGATTCTGTGGGGGCCCAGGTTCTCCCCAGCTGTGAAAGCAGGTGCCTTTGTTATAGCCCCTTCCTCAGGCTCAGGGTGCAGCGCACTGCAGGTGCAGTTCAGGCTTCAGGCACCGCTGCTTCCACTGGCTGCTTCCACTGACACCGCCTCCTGGTGCAGCTCCACTCCCATCCCACCCCCACCCCGAGCCCCAGCTTCCAGTTCAGAATCTGCCTCCAGGGATCGGAACCTTTACGGGGGGGCACTCTATACGCGTTTTATATACTGTTGAATTGGATCTGCTCTGCTTTCTTTGGGCTTTTTTGCATCTGTATCCAGTCCTGATTTCATGAGCAGGGTCATGCTGGCCTCATAAAGGAAACCCAAGTGCAGGCTGAAGGAGGCCCCATTAGTGTTCACCCAACTCCCTTCTCTCCATTTCCATGAATGCCAGTCAACTACCAGCCCCAAGGCCTCTTTGCTGCCTGCAGAGGGATGCTGGCTGAAATGAATGGCCACTGCTCCCCCAGCACCTGAACAGAGGCTCTCAGGTGTGCACCGGACACAGGTCCCAGGCTTGGCCACACCCACTTCTTTGGCTTCTTCCCCTACCCACTCCCTACTGAAGCTTCCTGAGGTCCCCTTCCAGAAAAAAGACTTGTACTCAAATACTCATCTGATTCATCTCAGCTACTTGGCAAGACCATACTTCTGGGTCTCAGTTTCTTCTCTCTAAAGTGGGGCTGCACAGCAACCTCTCCTGATTATAGATGGGAGGATCCCTGCAAAGAACACCTGGTTCCACACACACACACACACACCCCCATACACCCAGGACAGATGGCAAAAGGAGGCTCTGCCAGATGTACTTTATTGAGGCCTCTCCTAGCAGGATAGGTGTTTCAGGCGCCAGAGGTGCTGTAGGTACCGGAGCCAGGAGTAGTGGTGGGGCCAGGTGCAGGTGATTTCGGTGGTGGACTCTGTGGTGTACTCCAGAGGGGACTCACAAAGGTAGGAGATCGTTAGCTCGGGCACTGAGGTACTGGCTGTGGGCTGCTGCTCTTTTCCTGAGGTACTGGTTGGGGGTTGCTGGTCCTTTCCTGAGGTACTGGTTGGGGGCTGCTGGTCCTTTCCTGAGGTACTGGTTGGGGGCTGCTGCTCTTTTCCTGATGCACTGGTTGGGGGCTGCTGGTCTTTTCTTGACGTACTGGTTGGGGGCTGCTGGTCCTTTCTTGACGTACTGGTTGGGGGCTGCTGGTCTTTTCCTGAGGGATTGGTTGAGGACTGCGTTGGGGACTTCTTCTGATACTTGTTGGACTTAGAGGCCTTGGGGGGCGACTCCCCTGATCTATTGGGGCCGTTGTGGGACTGCATGGAGATGATGGTACCACTGGGGTTTAGTTGCGTTAGGGACTTCTTCTGATGTTTGATGGACTTAGAGGCCTTGGGGGCCGACTCCCCTGGCCTATTGGGGCTGCTGTGGGGCTGCCCGGGGGTGGTGGTACCACCGGGGGATGGCACAGTACTGGGGCTGGGATGCTGCGCAGAACCTGAACCAGAGCCAAGGGACTGCTGGGCTGGCTGGGAGGGGCCCCAGGAAGTGGTGAGTGGTTGAGGGTGCTGCTGGCCAGGGGTGTGGGTGAAAGAATTGGCTCTTGGCCTAGATGCTTTTGAGGAAGGCTGGACCTGGGATTTGGCAGAGCCTACAGGCCAGGAATGAGAATGGGACGGGGCCAAGGCGGTACGTGAGCCACTTCCAGAGGCTGGCTTGCTTTGGGCTAAGGGAACAGCGGAGGTCTGTTGTGAATCAGTTGAATCCGTAGAGGACCTGGTGTCTTTTTGCTGGCCGGCCAGCGTATCTGCACGGGGGCCGGATGGGGACTTCACTGGTCCTTCTGGAGTTGAGACATGCTTACTGGGGCTGCAAAGAGAGGACCATGGGGGTAAGGTAGGTCTGATCTAGCTCTCAGATTCTGGGGCTGTGCTCAGCTGCTAGAGAGTGGGATGGAGGCTTCTGGGGACCAAGGTAGAGTCAATGGCCATCGTTGGCAAGGAAAGTCATCTGCACATATTCACACATATGCAGGTACACATGCAAACAATCACACAGTTAAATGAACTCATACAATGCACAAACCAACCCACTGTCATACACACACACACATGCATGCATGCACTCACACCTGCACATATGCATGCATACACATATAAAACTTACTTCCTAGGGGTGGGGGTTACCTAAGGTTGGCTCCAGTAGCAGCGGGGGGCCCACCACCATTGCTGTTGGGGTGACGAGAGCCCGGCTTCGGGCCAGGGTCTGAAGGACTGGTTTCCGAAAGCATAGGAGAGAAAGGCAGACAGTGAGAGGGGAAGCCAGAGCACCTGAGGCCAACGGCCAAGATGCCAGATGGAGACCAGTCAGAGTCAGGAGGAGGGGAGGCAGGAGCGAAGGTAAGCAGGGATGGGTAGGCTGAAAGATAGACAGACAGACCCAAACTGGGACAAGCTAACTCCCCCATGCCCTAAAAGCACACACCGTCCCGAGTTATTCCTGTTGCTACGTCCAGGGCTCGCCCGCTGAGGTCTCTCATGATGTTGTCCACGGCTTCGTGATGCTTTAGAAACAGCGGACGTATGACTTGACGATACAGCATGTGAGCCCCATTCCACGGTCCGGGAATCATGCAGAACAACAGGAAGGCGCACTGCGGGCATGGACGGCAGTTATGCTCAGCCTGGCTCTGTGCCCCGGGAGGAGAGGTTGGACCTCTTCCGTCAGACACTGAACTATGTGGACCTAGGCCACCCCCAACTGACACCCCGTAGGATTCGTCTGGCTACCCCCATCAGACGTCCTTTTGGATGGGCATGGGCTGACCCATCAGATACTCCCCTGGCTGGGCCTGTTTCCACAGGGAAGGGGCTGAGTCTCCCCCGACACCCCGGGGAGGCAGCAGGGCGGGCTCCTCAAACCCCGTCTCTGGTTGCCTGCCTGCTCCCAGGAGATCCCCTCCTGTGTGTGTTCCAGTGCGTACCTTTCCCACGTAGTAGAAAGGGAACCAGGACAGGAGTAGATCGCTGAAGAACTCGGCAAGCCCGAATAGGCTGTACACCACCCAGTAAGTGAGCCACACAGTGTCGTCTTCCTTGCTTGGACTCTCGATAGCTTTTATCCTGGGGAGAGGTGTGACGGGATCAGGGGCTGCCTGGAGCCCCTCATGCTCCCCACCTGGACAGCCCGGGGCACTCACGATGCATATGCGGGGTACACAAAGCCGATGAGGTTGCATAGTAGAGGTGCCCCATAACCGAACAGAAGATACAGGCTTAGCAGAGTGGTGGCTCCTGCAGAAAAGAGGGCATGGGTGGGGGCCTGGCCCACTCCCCACCCAGTCCGCAGGCTCCCAGCCTCCTCTTGGCCTGGCAGATGCACCCTACAGAGTTGTCATTCCTCCCACAAGCTTTGGTGACCCCTCCAGGGCGTGCTAGTCTCCACACAGCACCTGGATGACACCCATCATGTCTCTGAATACTGAGTCTTGTGCCTGTAATTAGTTAACATATCTATCTCCCCTATTGTACTGTGAGCTCCCCAAAGGCAGGCAGGGTCCTCGGTCCTGGTGGATTCAGAGTACCGTATTTTCCGGCGTATAAGACGACCCCTTAATTTACAGTTAAAACATAGGTTTAGGCCTATATTCGCTGGATAAGACCACCCCCCACTTCTGAGGCAACACCAGCTCTTTTTTTAATAGACCGCCTCTCTGATTCAGCCAATCCGAGCAGGCTTTTTATGCATGCAAATTATACATGTTCTGTACCTGAAGCTACACTGTGTTCTAGTCAAAAGCCTGCTCAGATTGGCCAGAGTCAGAGAGGCGGTCTATTAAAAAAAGAGCTGGTGTTGCCTCGGAAGTGGGGAGTAGTCTTATACAGCGAATATAGGCCTAAACCTATGTTTTAACTGTAAATTAGGGGGTCGTCTTATACGCCGGAAAGTACGGTAGCTGCCCAATAAACATTTGCTGAATAAGGAATCATCTGTAATTATAACCACCTCACCCTGGGCCCTATAAGAGAAAAAACTAGAACCGAGGCCATTCTATCATTAAAACGTGATTACTGGTGAGCGGACAAAGGCAGAGGCAATTTAAAATTTCATCTTAGGCTGACAGGTTTTGCTCAGTGGATAGAGCTTCGGCCTGCGGACTGAAGGGTCCCAGGTTCGATTCCGGTCAAGGGCATGTGCCTTGGTTGCGGGCACATCTCCAGTAGGGGGTGTGCAAGAGGCAGCTGATTGATGATTCTCTCTCATCGATGTTTCTAACTCTATTCCCTCTCTCTTCTTCTCTGTAAAAAGTCAATAAAATATATATTTTAAAAAAAGTTTTTCATCTTAGGCCTGGTCAGTGTGGCTCAGTGGTTGAGCATCGACCCATGCACCAAGAGGTTGCCAGTTGAAGGCCTGGGCTGCAGCCTCAATCCCCGGTGGAGGGCATGCAGGAGGCAGCCGATCAATGATTCTGTATCTCCCTATCCTGCTCTCTTTAAAACCAATAAAAATATATTTTTAAAATGTCATCTTAGTGTGGGGTTTCTTAGTCTGGGTTGACATCTGGGCCAGGTCATCCTCTTTGTAGGGCTGGATCCACCCACTCTGCCAGGAGCAGGCCGCCATGACACCACAGTTGTCCCCAGACACCGCCTCATGTCCTAACAGGGGCAGTACGGCCCCATTTGAGACCCCCCTTGTCTTAGGCAGCAAAGGGCAGTACGGAGCCTCTTCGATCTTGGAGAGCCCTCTGTTCTTCCACTCACTTGCCATGTGACACTGAGAAAGTCTCTCTCTTCTTGAAGACTTAGTTTCACCATCTGTCAATGGGGTATAGTGACCCTGCCTCCTAGGGTTGTTGTAGATTAGCTAAATACACTCATCAGAGAGGACTTATGCTCTCCATACATTACTGAGGGACTTATGGTCACAAAAACACTCCCAGCAAAGAGGCTCAGAAGAGAACAGTGTGGGAATATGGGGAGCCACTCTGAAAACCATTATTGTAACTCTCATATCTAAGTGCTACTTGTGTGCTTCTCTGTTCTGTCTCACGCAATGACAAGACCTAAACAAAAGCTGCCAGGGAAAGGGGCTTGCCCAGGGTCACTGAGGAGATTTACAGCTTCCCACGTCCTTCACAGAGGCTGCCTTCTGGACCAAAGGGCAGTCACCCATACACTGCCCTCCACCTGCCTTGGTCTTATCCCAGGCCTGGTATCAGAAGTGGAGCAACTCCTCCCCAGCTGGCTCCTCCGGCTTTCCTCCTGTGACCTGGCAGAGGGCACTTGGCCACCTGGGGCATGTGGAGCCCGAAGGTTCCCACATCTGGGCAAGGGGCTGGGGGAATGTCACCTCTTCCTCAGAAACGGCTGTAAGAGAGCAGCGGCTTTCCCAGGGCACCCAACCCTCAATCCCTATTCCTGCAGCCTCAGCAACAGGAGGATGATCTTGTATATGGGTTGGGGGGGAGGGGCATGGCCTGAGATCAACAACAGATGGGGCCCAGGGGGCGAGGAGCGGTGAATACTCCACACAGGGCAGGTGGCAGGGGCATCCTCCCACATAGCCCTTGCCTTTTGGGGCCTTAGTTTCCTTCCTTTAACTATCAGCCTCCCTAGTGGCCTCTTCCCAGTGGGCCCCTCCCCAGTTCTCTATGACCTAAATTCCCCAACCACTGGTACCGAGATGTGGAAAGCCAAGCTTGCTCGAATGGGCAGGTCCCTGGCTAAGCAGACATAGTTGGGCAATGGGAACCTGGGGGACAAATTTCAGACCCTCAGGGCTCCCTGGCCTGTGGGAAAATGGGAGTTAAGTGGACTCCAGCTTCTGCACATAGAAGGTTCTCAGAACACCTGGCACTGTCTGCACACAGAGCATGCTCCTGCCCCCACCAGAATCCTTGTGACTTATTCCAGGAGGTCTTCCTAGAAGTGGCAAAGTGGGCGTGCGCCTGAATACCACAAAAGAGGGAAGGAAGGCATTTAACCATTTACTAACTAGACAGTTTCTGAGAGTGGTAGGGGTCACCCGAGGTTAATGAGGAGGAAAGAAAGTGGAAGGACTTGCCGAAACCGGTTTGGCACAGTGGATAGAGCGTCAGTCTGTGGACTGAAGGGACCCAGGTTCCATTCCCGTCAAGGGCATGTACTTGGTTGTGGGCACATCCCCGGTAGGGGGTGTGCCAGAGGCAGCTGGTCGATGTCTCTCTCTCATCGACGTTTCTAGCTCTCTCTCTCTCTCCCTTCCTCTCTGTAAAAAATCAATAAAATATATTTTTTTTTAAAAGAAAGTGGAAGGACTAGAATGGTAGTTATAGTCAAGGGTGGCTGGAGCCCCTTATTCCTGGTTTTCTATACAATCTTTTCTCTAACCCCACCATAGCGGTAAAACAACCCAACTCCACCTCAACTATTCATGCACAGTAGACCAGGTGAGAGGAGAGGGCATGCCAAGAGGGGAAACAATGGGAGAGTAGGTGGGAATGACCCTCCCTCTTGGCAGGAAGTGTCCCCTCTAAAAAGACAAAATCTCTACGTTTGCTTTCAGGCTGGGGGTCATCTGGGCAGGAGGTGAAGACTCAGGGCACTGGCGCCTATCTGCCCCCTCCTTCCCTCTCCTACCCTTGGGGCCTGCAGGGCAACTGGAAGAACCGGACTTTGGCCTGGCGGACACCCAGAGCTCCAAGGGATGGGGCAAAGGACGGCCTCCAGACATGCAGACCAGGACCAGAGTAGGGTTGCTGCAGGGGCCCAGATAAGGGGTGACCTTCGCCCAAGATGGCACGGAGAGGGCAGGGGAGGGACTGCGGGTTCACCCAGGACCTCTCCCCAGCCAGGATCTGAGCCCCTCCATAAGGCCCGAACCCTGCCGCTGGGGCAGGCTCCGGATGTGGGGCAGACTAAGGCCCAGGTGCCCCAGTGCCTCAGTATGCAGGTCGGTGAAATGGGGCGACAGCTCCGAGCGCTCTCGGACGGCTCACCTGCTGCCAAGTACCGCTTGTCGACACCGGTCTTGGCTTCGACTGCCCTTAGTACCTCGGTGGCCAAGTTCCGCTGTTCCAGAAGACGCTCGAAGCGCTGGCGCAGGCCGTCCATGGCTACGGCGGGACCGGGTTTGGCAGCCCGAGCTCGATCTCGGCGCTGCGCACCGGTCCCGCCAGGCTCGCGCCGCCTTCTCCTGAAGAGAGTCGCACCGTTCTGCTCGCGGGCCGGTCTTTGCCTCCAGTTTGGTCCCCGCCCCCTGCCCGACGCACCGGCCAATGGGAGGGCAGGGCGGGCAAAGGAGTTGGGGCCTGCCCCGTCTCCCCCGCCTCATTGCCCTCTGGCGGCGGTGGCCGCCGCAGGCGCCACCCACAGGAAGGAAGGGGGCGGGGCTCAGAGGCCTAGGTCGCCGATTGGTCGAGGGGGAGCGGGACGTAGCTGATTGGGGGGCGGGTCTCGGCCGGGGATTATTGGCTGAGCGGTGGTGTAAGTGAGTGGAGCTGGGGGAGGGGCCTGAGAAAGACCAGAGTTGATTGGAGAAACGGTAAGGAATTTATTAGCAAGAACAGAGGAGGGGCGGGGCATACTATAAAGTCGGCGGGAAGGAATCTGAGGGGCGGTTTTGGGGCGGAGCTATATTGAAAAGTGAAGCTCACTGTAAATCTGGTTGGACAGGAGTGGAGGCAGGGCTGATTCTTGGGAGGGGTGTGTAGGAAGGGGTGCGACTAAGTAACAGGGCGGAGTCAGCCGTAACAATAGTGAACTCCTCTGGGTCAGAAGAACTGGGTCACTGTACAAATAGGGAGACTGGGTTCCAAAGGGTTTGAGTCTGTGTGTGTCCGCCCTCCCATTTCTGTGGGGGCTTCGTGCCTCCAAAGGGGTGACGCAAAGACCCCTGGGAGTTGAAGCCTTTCAAGCGTTGCTATGGTGCCGGGGGCGGAGCGGGCGCTGGGGCCAGGGCGGCGGTTTGGCCGGGAGGCGGGGCTTTTGGAGGCCCGCCCCCGCCCCCGCCGCCATGCGGCCCACCCGGACTGCTTTCTGGCTGCGCCTGGCCTTGCCCCTGGGCTTGGCCCTCGTTTGCCCCGCATCTGTGGGGTTGGTCTCGGCCCGGGCCCCCATCTATGTCAGCAGCTGGGCCGTGCTGGTGTCTGAGGGTTACCGGGAGGCTGAGCGCCTGGCACACAGATTCGGTTTCATAAACCTGGGACTGGTGGGTGGGACCTGGATGGACTGGAGGGGGCGGGACTGGGCAACCCAAGTCACTAGGTCCTGACAGATGACAGATGGGAAGGTGTCTCTCGGGTCCCCTAGATACAAAGAACTCCCAACCAACCCCTACTTCAGTTTCCAGGACCCTCAGAGGGCACATGGAACTCACACCAGGGCACCTGGTTGGGGGAGGATGCAAACAAGGCGCATCCTTCAGGGCATCAGGGAAGCCGGATCCTAGCTATGAGGCTGCCCCCCCCCCCCCCCCCACATTCCCAGATCTTCCCAGATGGGCAGTACTTCCACCTGCGGCACAGGGGTGTGGTCCAGCAGTCCCTGACCCCACACTGGGGCCATCGCCTGCGCCTGAAGAAAGACCCCAAGGTGAGCTTGGCCTTGAGGCTGCCCCCTCAGGGTCTTAGACACCCCCTGTTATTCTTGTGATTGTTATGAATGGCTGTGATCTTTGGCAACTCACCTGCTCCCTCTGAGTCTTGGTTTCCTTTCACCTGGCCCTCCAGTCTATACAGTGAGGACCCAGATAGGGAAGATCTGTGGAGTGCAACAGATCATGCATGTGCGTGATGCACATTCCAGGGCCTGGCACACTATCAGCATTTCTTATCAACCACCCCCCTTACCTCCTCTATTTTGACCTGAATGATTAAGATTCCCAGGTATCCCATAAAGAGGGTGGGAATTGGCCCATTGTGTGATGAAAGAAGCAGTTCCAAAGAGGAAAATGCTGCCTGAAGTCACCCAAAGAGACTGGCTGAATTGGGACCAGAACCCCGTCTCTAGATGCTCAGAGAGATGACGAGGGAAAGATATTAGATGGAGCCACAAATGGGTATGAACTGGGCTGGAGGGCTGATCCATTAGGAGACAAGAGGCCAACTGTTCAAAACTTGCCAGGAGCATTGGCAGCAAAGAGAACTAGCCAGTTGGAGATGTGGTTTGCAAGAGAGAAGCCAGGGCTTGCCGATGGATCAAGTGCATGGGACAGTTCCCAAGACTGGAGCAGAGCAAATGGGGAGATGATGGCCCTCATTGCTGAAATGGGAGCAGAGGGACATGAGTTGATTTTGGGGGAAAGGAGTGGGGAGATCAACAAGGAAGGAAGAAGAGCAAAGATCTGAGAATGAGCAGCCCAGTCAGGCAGAACAACGTGTGCAAAGGCCCTGAGTGAGGCAGCCACTGTGATAGCAGCAGAGGGAGGCTTGTGAGGGCCAGAAAGGCAGGGCCTTGTGGGCCCAGAGTGAGTGGTGGGAAGCCCTGGGAGGGTTTCAACAAAGAGTAAGGCTGCTGTGTGTTGAAAATGAGTTATAGAAGAAGAGTGGCAGGGTCTGTTAGAGCCGTGGTCGGCAAACTGTGGTTTGAGAGCCACATGTGGCTCTTTGGCCCCTTGAGTGTGGCTCTTCCACAAAATACCACGGCCTGGGCAAGTCTATTTTGAAGAAATGGTGTTAGAAGAAGTTTAAGTTTAAAAAATTTGGCTCTCAAAAGAAATGTCAATCATTGGGCTGTTGATATTTGGCTCTGATGACTAATGAGATTGCCCACCACTGTGTTAGAGGAACAGGAGGTTGTAGAGAGCAGTGGCCACAGCAGGGGGGAGATGGGCAGGTCTTGGACAGAGGGATCTAGAACAGGGATGGGGGACAGAGTTGGGACCCCAGGACTCCATGCCACCTCAGGCAGTAACCAATTATCTGTGGGCCCTGGGGATGAGTGCTCCAAGTGTCTTGGCACCCTCTGAGGGCAAAACTCCAGGCACAAAGGGACCTAGAAGAGCAGCCCGAGAAAACACAGGGTCCCAGGTCTGTCCCACATCACAAGCAGTAGACAACCCAGACACACATTCCACTCAAAACACAGCCTCACAGACAGTTGTCCCTTGTTGAACCCTGGGAAGAGGCCTATGCAGACCCTGGACACAGGCTTGGGCCCTTTGACCAAGAGTTGGCCGGAAGTGCTCAGAGGAGCAAGTCTTCGTTTGTGGAAATGGCCCTCTGAAGTGCAGGATAGCCCAGCTGGTGTGGCTTAGGGGTTGAGCATCAAACTATGAACCAGAAGGTCACAGTTCAATTCCCGGTCATCAGTACCCAGTGGGGGCCATGCAGGAGGCAGCTGATAAATGATTCTCATCATTGGTGTTTCTATCTTTCTCTACCTCTCCCTTCCTCTCTGAAATCAATAAAAATATATTTTAAAAATAGTAAAGTGCAGGATAGCTGGGAGGAGGGTGGGCTAGGCTTGTTGATCCAGCCCCCTCCCTTGCTGCATGTCCCCCTCAGGTGCAGTGGTTTGAGCAGCAGACTCTGCAGTGGCGTGTGAAGCGCTCCTTAGTGGCACCCACAGACCCCTGGTTCTCCAAGCAGTGGTACATGGTGAGCAGCTGGGCCAGGTGGTCGGGCCAGGCCAGGCCAGAGCCCTGCTAACACTAACTCACCTGGCATAGAACAACAAGATGCAGCCGGATCTAAACATCCTGCAAGTCTGGAACCAGGGGCTGTCAGGCCAGGGCATCGTGGTCTCTGTCCTGGACGATGGCATTGAGAAGGACCACCCAGACCTCTGGGCCAACTATGTGAGCCTGAGTTGAACTGGGGCAGGGCTGCCCTTGTCCCCCGGTCCCACGGCCTGCTCCAACCTCTCCCATCCCCACCTTACCCCTAGGATCCCTTGGCCAGCTATGACTTCAACGACTATGACCCAGACCCCCAACCACGATACACTATCAGTGATGAGAACCGGTGAGCCTGGCATGCTACAGGGGCCTGGGGGTGGCCCTTGTGTGAGGGCCAGGTGAGCTGTGACGGGCACTCTTCTCTGCCCTGACACCAGGCACGGGACCCGCTGTGCTGGGGAAGTGGCAGCCATAGCTAACAACAGGTTCTGTGGTACAGGCGTCGCTTACAATGCCCGAATTGGAGGTATTCCGATGCGCCAAGGAGAGGGGCTGGATGAGGTGGCACTGGGTGGCTGGTAACACCAGGGAGATTTGGCAGATCAACCAGGAGAGGAAACTTCTTGGTGCCTTTGCCTTTGTTGCTTAGACTCAGGGTGTGGAGAGCTGAGCCTGCACAGATGCCTCCACTCCCCAGGAGCGGAGAGAGGGGCTGGCTAGGGTGTTTGGAGCTGGCCTGGAGGGGTGAGGGTGCCGGCAGGGCTGTCTGCAGAGATCCGACAGCTGCCTGTGCAGGCGTGCGCATGCTGGATGGCACCATTACTGATGTCATTGAGGCCCAGTCACTGAGCCTGCAGCCGCAGCACATCCACATCTACAGTGCCAGCTGGGGCCCCGAGGACGATGGCCGAACGGTGGATGGTCCAGGCATCCTCACCCGAGAAGCTTTCAGGCGTGGCGTCACCAAGGTGAGCAGGATCTAGGGTTTGGGAGGGCCTATGCCTGCATGAAAGGCTGACATCCCTATCTCCTGTCCTGTCCCCATCTGCAGGGCCGAGGTGGGCTAGGCACGCTCTTCATCTGGGCGTCTGGCAATGGTGGCCTGAACTATGACAACTGCAACTGCGATGGCTACACCAACAGCATCCACACTCTCTCTGTGGGCAGTACCACCCAGCGGGGTCACGTGCCTTGGTACAGTGAAGCCTGCGCCTCCACCCTCACCACCACCTACAGCAGTGGCGTTGTCACCGACCCCCAAATTGTGAGTGGACCCCTTCACTATGCTCACTCTGCCTGGCCCAGCCTGGTCCCCCCACCTTTCCTCTTGTCTCCCTCCCCACCTTCCCTCCAGTCCCCATGTCTTCCCTCCTATCCTCCCAACTTCCCTCCATCCCCCCTACCTCCATCCCTGCCTTCCCTCCATTCCCTCACCTCTCCTGTTCCCCAACCTTCCTTCCTGTGTCCTCACTTCCCTCCCATGTCCCCATCTTCCCTCCTCCCCATTCTTTCCTGTCCCCTCATCTTCCCCTCTGTTCCCCTATCTTCCTTCCTCTCAGGGATTGCGCCTGCAGAGCTGGAACATAGACATGGGTCCCAGGCCCCATCCCACTGTTGCCCTTCACACACCCTGGCCTGTGTTTCTGGGGTGTGGACCCGGGCAGTGCTCAGGCCCCTTGTCTGGTGTGATGCTCTGCAGTGCCTTCTTGAGTCCCTGGTTCCATGTGAACAAGGGCTGGGTTTTCATGGGCACCAGGCCCCCCAATCCCCATCTCTGCCCCCAGGTCACCACGGACCTGCACCACCAGTGCACCGACAAGCATACAGGCACCTCAGCCTCTGCCCCACTGGCTGCAGGCATAATCGCTCTGGCTCTGGAGGCCAAGTAGGTGACAGTGGGGACCCTACTTCCACCCTCGCCCCCCAGTTGTGGCCTCAGCTTATTCCCTCATCTCCCCCAGCCCGTTCTTGACATGGAGAGACATGCAGCACTTGGTGGTTCGTGCATCCAGGCAGGCACACCTTCAGGCTGAGGACTGGAGGACCAATGGCGTGGGGCGCCAAGGTACTGCATGGCCAGGTAGGGGTGGGGACCCCATGCCCACAGAGTGAGTGACGGCCCCCTCCACACAGTGAGCCACCACTATGGCTATGGGTTGCTGGATGCTGGGCTGCTGGTAGACTTGGCTCGCACGTGGCTGCCCACACAGCCCCAGAAGAAATGCGCTATTCGAGTCCTCCACAACCCCACGTGAGCGCTCTCCTCGGTCCCAGCCACTGTGCATTACCTGTCAACTCCCCATTCCTCCCCAGCACCTGTCACATCTCCAGCCCTTTCCCACACCTGTCATTAACACCCAGGCAGACACTTGGGAAGCAGGCCCTGAGGCCTCAGTAAGTCCAAGAGGTGGGTCCCATGATCTGATCCCAGACCCTGCCTGCTGGCCGCCCCCCGCCCCCAGCAGGCCAGCAGGAGGAGCCCTGATGCCCCATGCCACCCATAGCCCCATCCTGGCGCGGATGCACGTGAAAAAGAAAGTGTCAGCCTGTGCTGGCCGTGCCAACTACATCCGCTCACTGGAGCATGTGCAGGTGAAGCTGTCACTGTCCTACAGCCGCCGGGGGGACCTGGAGATCTCGCTCACCAGCCCCATGGGCACCCGCTCCACACTTGTGGCCATCAGGTGAGGGTCGGGGGACCTGCCCTGTGGGTCCACACAGGGAGGGGCGAATGCACTTTGGAGTCAGGCGTGGCCTGCGCAGGGGTGGTCAGTTTGTGAGGGTCACTTCTGCAGGCAGCGCTTGGCATTGCAGTCAGACACTTGCTGTGGCTCAGTGGCCCCTTCATGACTGTAGTCATCAGCCTTTTACCCCACCCCCACCTGTCTGCCCCAGACCCTTCGACATCAGCAGCCAAGGCTATAACGACTGGATCTTTATGTCCACCCACTTCTGGGATGAGGACCCGCAGGGCGTGTGGACCCTGGGCTTGGAGAACAAGGGCTACTATTTCAACACGGGTGAGAGGCAGGCACAGGCTGGAAGCTCTAAGGCCTGCCTGAATTACCCCCCTGCAGGGAGGCTCCCAGTGATCTTGCATAGTAGAAATAGACATCAGTTATCATCCCACAATGGCTGCTGGGGGATGGGGCACCGTCTGAGTCTGTAGCTCCAGGGTGGGGTGGGGAGGACTGGGCAATGGGGTCCAAAATGGCAGGATCAGGCCACCAATAGTTTCTTCCCCTTATCCCGTGCTCACCGTGACCCTTGCCCAGGGACACTGTACCACTACACACTGCTGCTCTATGGGACAGCTGAGGACATGACAGTGCGGCCTCCAGGCCCCCAGGTGACCAGCCTCGCGTGTGTGCAGCGGGACACAGAGGGGCTGTGCCAGGGTGAGTGCCCAGTGAGGCATGGCCCACTTGCTGGCAGTGTGCGTGTGCGGTCCAGGATGGGTAGGTGGGCCAGGGCCGTACGCCTCAGCCTCACCTCCATGTCCATATGCCCCATGCAGAATGCCACAATCCTGCCTACATCCCGGGCCACCTCTGCCCCTTCCACGGCCCGTCACAGTACTTCAGTCACACCCAGAAGGCAATGACTGCTGGGTCTGGGTGCCCAGTCACGGTCACAACCACCCCGCATGTGTGCTTCAGCTGCCACTTCTGCTACACCTGCTGTGGCAGTCCCTTGCTCAACTGCATCACCTGCTGGCCACCATACATATTGGATGAGCATGGGGGCTCCTGCTCAGGGCCTGTCCCCCACAAAGGTCACCCAGCCCACTGGAGCAACTCACCACTGCCACAGAGGCCACAGCCCGGCTGATCATGGCCCTTTAGAACCCCTTCCTCTGTAGTATCCTCTCCATAGGCTGCCTGCTCCCCTGTGTAGCCCTCCACCCAGTGCCGGAAGCCACTCCCATCACCAACTGCTGGCTGGGCCCCAGAGACGTCCCACCTTGGCTTAGGCCTCTGGTGGGGGTACTGCCCTGCTCCCTGTGTATGTTTGGGATGGAGGTGGGGTGGGATGGAGCAGAAGCCAGGCCACAATGATGACCAACATCCCTTCTCTGCCCCAGAATCTGGGGGGAGCGGGAGGGGGAGCCAGTGACATTATTCAGAGTCTCAGGGACCATGTCTGACCTCAAAGTTTGCAATAAAGACTTAAAAGGAGGTGCCAAGTCTCTGGTCTCCTTTGGGGCACAGCCAGGCCCCCCATCCCCAGCCATGGTTGGGTGTCCCCTGGGCCCTGTTTGAAGATCACCTTCCCTGGCCATCAGCCCCTGGGGGACCCAGCAACCACAAAGAACAGAGGGTCAGTCTGGGACTCAGAGACCCCAGCTATGGGGGTGGGAATGGGTGGGGGTTCCTAGTGATACCCACGTGCTTTGAGTGCAAGCTTCTAGGAGCCAGCCCACATTCCCCCTTCCATCTGGTTGACACAACTAGCAGAAGAGGGTCTATGAGTTTCCAATAATTACACACCATTTCTTAAGGTCACCGGGAAGCTATGGGAATTATGGACTGGAGGTACATTGCTCTCATCCCCCTACGGCCTGGACTTCCCCATTTGTAAAGTGGGTCTCCCACCTCTCTGGAACAGAAAGAGAACCTTGAGGTGTGGGGGTAAGAAAAGGGGTACAGAGTAAGCTATTAAATGCCTATCCTCACACCATTGGGATGAGGACATGTCCCAATTTTCAGAACGAGGAGGGGCTTCCATGAGGAAGTGAAGAGGGGGCCTGCCCTTGACTATGGGGCTTCACTCAGGCTCCAAGGCGCAGGCCTCGCCTCTTGTAGGAGCTCAGTGGCCCTAGAAACCACCCCCTTTTGTGGCACTGGGAACCTGGGAGTTTGCTCTGCTACTGGGCTCAGATTGCCCAACTTTAAGTCTTGAAGGGAAGAAGGCTCTATTGAGGACTTTGCAGCTGCGCAGTGAGAGGCACCAATAGTGCCTTTCTCACCAAATGCAAGGATCACAAGAGGCAGTCTTCCTGCCTGGCACACAGTAAGCACCCAAAATGCACCAACTTGGGGCAGCCATTGGGCAGTTCCACAGACGTTAAACCCAGTTACTAAATGAACCAGCAATTCCGCTTGCAGGTATATAGGCAGGAAAACAAAGCAGAAGTCCACACAAAAACCTGTGTAAGCATGTTCACAGCAGGAGGGGTCACAACGGCCAAAAGATGGAAACAACCCAAGTGTCCATCAGCAGATGACCAGATAAGCACATGGTCTCTTCACACCCTGGAATATTACTCAACCCTGAATATGAGTGAAGCACTGACACTCACTACAACATGGATGGACTTTGGAACCATGATGCTCAACAGTAAGAGAAGCCAGACACCCAAAGCCACATAGTCTGTGATTCCTTTTATGTGAAACTAGAGGCCCAGTGCATGACATTCGTGCACTGGGGGAGGGGAGGGAGTCCCTCCACCCAGCCTGTGCCCTCAGTGGATGTCATAAAGGCAGGAGAGGCTCCTGTCACTGCCACTCCGCTCATGGGCTTCTGGTTGAGCAGTGCTCCCCTGTGGGAGCGTCTGTCCCCTGGTGGCTATACATGTCATAGCAACCAGTCATTCGGCCATTAGGTAGACTTGCATATTCGTCTTTTATTATATAGGATATCCAGAACAGGCAAATCCGGAGACAGGAAATGGATTAGTGGGGGGTTGAGGGGAGTGACTGCTAATAGGCTTCTTTTGGGGATGATTGATACAAATGTTCTAGAATTAGACTGTTGTCATGGTTGCATGAACACACACACACACACACACACACACACACACACATTCACAAACCACAGAATTGTATACTTTATTTTTTAATATATTTTATTGATTTTTTACAGGGAGGAAAAGAGAGGGATAGAGAATTAGAAACATCAATGAGAGAGAATCATCGATGAGCTGCCTCTTGCACATCCCCTACCAGGGATGTGCCCGCAACCAAGGTACATGCCCTTGATCAGAATCGAACCCAGGACCTTTCAGTCCACAGACCAACGCTCTACCACTGAGCCAAACCGGTTTCGGCAGAATTGTATACTTTAAACAAGTGGACTTTATTGCTATGTAATTTACATTCAATAAAGCTGTTAAAAAAAATACAAACAAAAATCGCCCTATGCTCTGAGCCTGTCTATTCTAGCCAGTCCAGCACCACCCAGAGGGTGAGGAAGAGGTTTTAGAGATCAGAGAGGGGACCTGGGCCCAGATCCAGCCGGCGAGTTGCTGGCGTATGTTCTACGTCCCTGGCCACCTTGCTGGTAATTGGCACAGCTAGCATTCACTGAACGCCTCTGTGCGCAGGGTTTCCTGTGTGGATAGGAGCTTTGTTCCCAGGAGAGCCACGCGGGTTGGGGGTTGTGTCCCCCTTTTGCAGAAAACGGCCTCACGCTTTGTTATGCAAGGAAGGAAGCCGGGATTGGACCCTACATCCACCCCTTGAGTTTCCAGTCCGGAGAAGTTGAGGTCGCGTGTTTTCTGATTTTGGTCCAGCTACAGCTCCTTTTAGATCACACCAGGTCGCTCGCGGGCGCGGCCTCTTTAAGAGGGGGCGTGACCTCATGACGAGCGGGCAGGGGGGAGGGCCGGAAGTTCGCTTCAGGACTTTGAGGGCGGGGCCACACTCCGACCGGAAGCAGAGCGGTCCGCTCTGAGCCGCTGGCAGCTCCGGTTGCGTGCCTAGGAGAGCAGAGGCAGGTGCTGTTTCAGCAGGGAAACTGAGGCAGAGGTGGAGTTGGACACTGAAGGGGCGAGGCGATCCAGGAGAGGAGGGGCGAGGCAGGACGAGTGCGTGGGGATTCACTGGACGGTTGGAACCGCCTAGGCACAGGCCGCGAGTTGGGCGCCCCGGTGACGCTCGGTTCTCTCCCTGCAGGGATGGGCTCGAAGGCCAAGAAGCGTGTCGTGCTGCCCACTCGCCCGGCGCCCCCCACGACGGAGCAGATCCTGGAGGATGTGCGGGGGGCGCCCGCCGAGGACCCAGTCTTCACCGCCCTGGCCCCCGAAGGTAGGGGGAGCCCAGGACCCGCAGGCCTGCAGGGGAGAGACCGCCCCAAGACCCCAGCAACGAGATGCGCAGTGGGTGGGTGTAGGAGGTCCGTTGAAACCGAGGAATTTATTTTCATTTTAAGAAAATATATTTCTATTGATTTCAGAGAGGAAGGGAGAGAGAGAAATATCAGTGGTGAGAGAGAACTAACGATCGGCTGCCTGCTGCACACCCCCAACTGGGGATCAAACCAGCACCCTGGGCATGTGCCTTTGACAGAATCCAGCCCAGGACTCTTCAGTCAGGCCGATGCTCTACCCACTAAGCCAACCCGGCTAGGGCAAAACCGTGAAATTTAGAGCCGAGACTGTGGCATGATCCTTACCCTCTCTGAGCCCTCTTCTCATTGTAAAGTGGGGCGTGTCTTCAGAAGGGCGCCTCAGACCCAGGTCCCCAGCCAAATCCTGCCCCACCGCCTGTTCTGGTAAGCCAGGAAGCTAGGACTGGTGTTTACGCTTTTTAATTTTGGGGGGGGAAGGGGGAAAGAGACTATCTTGTGATAAGTGTTAAGGGTATGAAGTTCAGATTTGTGTCAGTGAGGTTGTGTTGGTGCACAGCCATGCCTGTTTGTGGATCTCTGAACCTGGCTTCTTTCAGGACATAATGGCAGAGTTGAGTAGTCAGGACGACTGACTGGCTCTGCAAAGCCAAAGCTATGTATTTGTGGAAACATTGCTCAGTCCCTTGTGGAGAAGATGATAACAGGTCAGTGACTAACGGCTTCGGCCTACAGTTGTTTTTTGTGTACTGGTCCATAAAGTTTGCCTATTCATTCAACAAACCTTCATTAAGAACCTATTACGGCCCTGGCCAGTGTATCTAAGTGGTTAGAGCTTCGGCCCGTGCACCAAAGGGTCTTGGGTTCAATTCCCAGTTAAGGGCACATACCTTGGTTGCAAATTCATTCCTCAGCCCCAGTCAGGGCGCTCGCAGGAGGAAACCAATTGATGTCTCTCTCTCTCTCACATCAATGTTTCTCTCTCTCTCCTCTATCTCCCCCTCATCTCCTTTCCACTCTCTCTAAAAAAATCAAAATAAAAAATATCCTCGGACCAGCCGGGTGTGGCTCAGCAGTTGAGCATTGACCCAGGAACCAAGAGGTCACCAGTTCGAGTCCTGGTCAGGGCATATACCCGGGTTGCCGCCTCAATCCCCAGACTGGGGCATGCAAGAGGGAGCCAATCATTGATTGTCTCTCATCATTGAAGTTTCTGTCTCTCTTTTCCTCTCCCTTCCTCTCTGAAATCAATAATTATATATATTTTTTGTTGTTGTTGTTGTTGTTGTTGTTTTTGTTTGTTTGTTTTGTTTTTTGTTTTTTTTAAAGGAGCTAAATTTGTTTTTAAAAAATATCATTGAGTGAGGATTAACAAAAAAACAAAAATAAGAACTTATGTGCCAGGTTCTGTTCTAAGCTTTGGGGTGAACAGGTGAACAAAAGAGGACAGTGCCTTCCCTCAGGCCATTAGGACCAAGACAGTAAACACGTGTCTTGTGGGCAATATGAAGTGAGAAACGTTATAGGAAACATTTTTAAAAATTTAATAATAGCCGAAACCGGTTTGGCTCAGTGGATAGAGTGTCAGCCTGCAGACTGAAAGGTCCCGGGTTTGATTCTGGTCAAGGGCATGTTCCTTGTTTTCAGGCACATCCCCAGTAGGGGGTGTGCAAGAGGCAGCTGATTGATGATTCTCTCTCATCGATGTTTCTCACTCTCTATCCCTCTCTGTAAAAATCAATAAAATATATTTAAAAAAATAAAAAATAAAAATTTAATAATAGTAAAAAAATTTCAGTTCATTGTTCCATGTAGCCACATTTCAAGTGCCCACGAGGCATTTGTGGCTCTGCTATATTGGGCAGCTCCGAGGGAGGACTTTTCCATCACCAGGAATGTTCTGTTGAATGGGCAGTCCAAGGAACATAAGCCAGATTTATCTCCAGCCTGGGTCATCTGAGGTCTCTGGAGCCCCAGCTTAAGAATTATTGGCATAAAAGGAAACATCTGTAATATTTTCAACAGTAAAGGTAAATTAAAAAAAGAAAAAGAATAATGGACAGGTCTGAAGGTGGGGAAACTAAGGCACAAGCAGTGCTGGGGCTGCTCAAGGGAGAGGTGCTTCCCTTGCAGGACCGTGGGTGTTTTTTTTGTGTGTGTGTGTGTTTTTTAAATATATTCTATTGATTTTTTACAGAGAGGAAGGGAGAGGGAGAGAGAGCTAGAAACATCGATGAGAGAGAAACATCAGTCAACTGCCTCCTGCACACCCTCCACTGGGGATAAGCCCACAACCAAGTCACATGCCCTTGACCGGAATCGAACCTGGGACCCTTCAGTCCACAGGCCGACGCTCTATCCACTGAGCCAAACTGCCTAGGGAGAACCGTATTTTTTTTAATTTTATCTAGGACCACACTTAATCTTTATCTGTGCTGTCTGGCGTTTCCCACCTTATTACTAAAGCAGATGGAGAAAAATTGATTAATAAACACCAGAGTTTGCAGGGTCTGTGCTAGACATTTGGCCTGCAGCAGTGTGACAGCAGACAGCCGCCAAGCATGGCAGGTGGCATTGTTCCCATTCAAACGGGCCCAGGCAGAGCAGAGAGGACCTGGATATGTCTCTGGGTGACCCTGAAGCTCTGCTTTTTCTGCCCTGCTCCCTCAACCCCACTCCACCCCACCTCCTTCGGCTGGGCACACTGTTAGGAAGTGGAATCACCTGCACACTTGTGTCCATACCCTCCTGTCTTTGCAGCCTATTGACTGTAAGTGTCAGATTTTTCAAGATTATAGGGCCATGGGATAGTTTTTCGGGAGTAGAAGGTTGCATCTGAGGCTTTAAGAACAGGAATGAGCCGAAGCCGATTTGGCTCAGTGGTAGAGCGTTGGTCTGCGGACTAAAAGGTCCCAGGTTCGATTCCGGTCAAGGGCATGTACCTTGGTTGCAAGAGGCAACTGGTCGATGTTTCTCTCTCATCGACGTTTCTAGCTCTCTCTCCCTTTTTCTCTGTTAAAAATCAATAAAATATATTTAAAAAAAAAAAAAAAAAAAAAAAAGAACAGGAACAGGAATGAGGGCTAGCCTGCTCGACAGTTCCATTGTGGGGTCAGTGCCTTTTACAGGAGTGGTACCCACCCCAGGCAGGGCCTCTTCCGTGGCCAGAAGGGGTGGTAAATTTGCCAGAGGGGTGGTAAACGGAGGCTTCTCTCAGCCCCTCTCTGAGCATGGTCTGTGTTCTGTCCGCAGACTCCTCCTGGAAGGCTGAGAACCCTGAGGCCCAACGGGAGCAGCTCTACCAGCAGAGCCGGGCCTACGTGGCCGCCAACCAGCGGCTGAGACAAGCCGGTGATGAGCTAAGACAAAGGTGTGAGGACCTTTGGCAAGCTGGCCAGGAGCTGGAGCAGGACGTCGTCCAGGTGAAGCAGGTGGCACTGTCCGGGGCCTCGACCACCTTCTCAGGCTGACCTGACCCTTGGGCTCGCCTGAGCATGCAGTCCCTGGAGAGTGCACCCCATGGCCTCCTGTCACATCTCAGTCATGGGCTCCTGGGTCCCAGAAACAGATTCTGGGCTCTCTGATTCATGGCTAAGCCTGCCTCGGTATCCGGAGACCCCAGGGGACAGAGCCTGCCTGGTGTGCGGTCGCAGCAGGAACAGTGGTGAGGGGCACACCTGCCTCAGCAGGGCACAGGCCCGTTCCTGAGGGTCAGGACAGGCTTTGTGGATGCCACTCATCCCCAGGCTTCTCCTCTTCTGGAGCCTAATTGCCTTCAGCCTCGACTTGGTTTGGAGCCTCAGAACCTATCCTCCCTTCTCTTTTGGTAACTCTGCTTCACTGGTCACCCATTAAACGGAGCCTTGTCTCTATATGAACTGTGGGGCCCCCAGAGGGTCCAGAAAACAATGAGGTGGCTGTGGCCATGTAGAGAGATTGCTCAGTAGGGCCCAGCTCTGAGATGGGGCCACCAGTGGCATTGAGCACCTCAGTCTAAGGCATGGGCTTTCCCCTAGGGTAGCACTTGTGCGACCGGTTCATGGTCAGGGTGCAGGACTAACCTGTTGGCTGTGGGATCTATCAGATGGGGTGCTGGCCTGGGCTCCCAAAATAGGACAAGCTGGTCCGTTACTTGCTGGAGCCCTCATCCAACCACCTCCATCCTGGCCGTGGGCAATATGAAGAGAAAGGAGGTGTTCCAGGCCGTCATGGGTGTCCCCAACAAGCCCCGCAGAGGAAATCCCCACTGCCACCAGCCTTGCGGACAGTACCTCTCTCTATGAGCCACTCTTCTCCAGGTTTCCCCATGAGCTTAGGGAAGCACTTGGATACACAAGGCAAGTTCTTGACATGGGTGACCCAGCATCTCTTCTGGAAGAAGGGGGAGGGGGTTCCTGCTTAAACCTGAAAGATCCCTGAAACCCTTGGGGGCACAGGCATTCAGAACATGCTGGCCTGGCTCCAGTTAGGGCAGTGGACACTGAGGCTACACTGCCCGTCACCCCCTGGCCTACCTGCTAAGTGTCCTGCTGCCCTGGGCTGGGAGGTCACCCCTCCCTGCATGGCCCTGGCCTTCAGGTTGGGTCACCTGAGTGAGTCTAGCAGGCGTCTTCAAACTACGGCCCGCGGGCCACATGCGGCCCGCAGAGGAGTCTGATCTGGCCCGCCAGGTTTTTTGGGCAGTGGGCGCAGCCGAGGTGTTACAGTAGGAATTAGTAGTTCATATAGTCCGGCCCTCCAGCTCTCTGAGGGACCGTGATCTGGCCCCCACTTTAAAAAGTTTGAGGACCCCTGGTCTAGGGGCTCCAGAGGCTACCACCACCACCACCACCACCACCACCCCACCCTCCTACCCTGCATGCCAGGATCATGGTGAGACACTCCAGCTACCTTCTCCTATGCATCCGCCTGTCCTTAGTGCTCTTCTTGCACAAATCCCACAGCCTGATCTGCCTCTAGCACATGGACCCAGAGCGGGCAGTCTGGATGGAAAACCCACAAAGTACTCCAGCCCCACCCACCCAGTCCTCACCCACTTGAAAATAACTGTGTAGAGCAAGATTCAACAGCTCCATTTATTAAAGGTGCACATAAGACGCCTGGTTCTGTGCCTTCTTCCACCAGACGACGGCTTTAGGTTGACTGGGGTGGGAGAGGGGAAACCGGGCTATATATGTATTTACACATCTTGTAACACTGCAGGGGCCCAGGGCATAGACTGGAGGGTCACAGAGATAGATGGACCAAAACAGCTAGGCTCTGGCTGGGGCGCTATGGCCACTGGCCAGGTGACAGACCGGGGCAGAGGGAGTGAGGTAATGCTGTACCTGCAGGCATGTTATCCCCAATTCAGTATCCCGCTGGTAGTGGCTGCTCAAGGTCTTGGACTGAGGGTGCTCTGGAGGCAAACAGGGTCCCCTCAGCATTGTCAGGTGGCCGAGCAGCCCTGAGGGGATCAAGGCTTCATGGGAGATATCCTTTGGGTCCTAAGACTTGAGTCCTCCAGCTCAGGCCTAGAATCAATTGTCCAGGGACCACCACTCTTCTCAGGGCCCAGGACTCCCGCTGTCCTGCCTTGCGCAGTTGTGAGGTGTAGCTATGCTCTATCATGGGAACAGAGAAGGCAAATGTGGCGCTGGACATAGATGGGGTATGATTCCTGGTGTGCTTGCTGAGGTGAAAGACAAGGGGCAGGTGGAGGGGGCAGCCAAGGAGGGCTGGGCCTCTCACCAAGTCACAACAGCCACTCTGGCTCTAGAGGTAGCTCTGGAGTTCTCCTGGCCCAAGTGGGAAAACAGACAGAATGTTGAGAGCACCACCAGGGTCTCACAGTGCTTGGGTGCTCCCACCCCCGGTACCCATCACTTCAGATTCCCTTTGGCTGGGCAAGCTGTGTCTGTCTCTGCACAACTTCTCCCACCAGGCCACTTGGGAGGTAGCTGGCCCATGGTAAGTGTGAGAGCCTGCTTAAAAAGGAGTTGAGGCCACCCAGTCCTGCCAGTTCAGGTTAAGGATGGAGACGAGGAATCCTGGTTTCTGAGATGCATCTGAAATATTCCTCCTGTACTCCCCTCCCCACCTCCCGCTCCAGTGTGTCCTAGGGTTAACTATGGGCTCATGCAATGCACTGCCCAGCTCTCATTGCCATGGTCCTCTGTGTGCCAGCTCATCCTAGAAGTTTGGTCATAAAAGGAGTACTTGGTGCATCTAGCCATTCCAGCATCCTGCCCGTGGCCTGAGGCAGAGCCCGGGCAGTTGTCCTGGTGGACAGGGTGTTCCAGGGCTTATAATACATGACACAGACATGTTAGCAGAAGTAACATGATGTCTGTGTGTCTCTGAGAGTTGAATCAGGGTGGCCCCAAGAGCCCCACTGGGGAAACTGAGGATGGTCCAGTAAACACTTCTGTTCTTGTCTCAGCTCTTTCCATGGACAGGGGGTGGGGGCGACAGTGGTGCCCATGGGCAGGGACAGGAGCTCCTTCTGCACTTCCACCCAACTTCCCAGAGAAGGGACCTAAAATCTAGTCATCATGTTGCCCATCTCCTCAAACAGCATCTGCTCCCCAGCCCCTCTGGGGCAGCTCCCACCGCACTGTGGCAGGTCTATGAGCCCGAGAGCAGCTACTTCTCAAAGCCAGGCTTCCCCAGGAATGAGGTCATTGGCTGTATCTGCAGGAAGCCGAGGGGGACCTGAGCAGTGTCCCCGCATACTGCACACTGGCAGGAGCCCGAGGCCCACCAGGCTCCTTGTGCTCCATCTCTGCCTCTCTGACACCAGCACTTGAGCACCCCAGCAGCCATAGCCTCTACACATCCAGCTAGTCTGGCCACAGGACTGGGGCCCTAGGCCCTGTAGCTCCTAGGCCAGGTGTCAGCCCCACCCCAGTCCCTGCAGTTGTGCCGCCCTATAGGTCCTGGGCTTTGTATGTCACCAAGGTGAACCGTATTTGGCTGACTCTCCTCCTCCTTCCCACTGCACCTCACCTGCCAGCTGTTCCTGACTCCCTCCACCTACCTCTCTAGTCCCCCTTTTCCTCCTTTGGCCAAAACCAGCACCCACCCCAGCCAGGAGTGGGGATATAGGGTGTCCCCGCATCACCCAGCTATCTTCCTTTGCCCTTCTCTCCTTGCTCCTTCCAGGCTGTTCTGACAGTGTTCTATCCATTAGCCTCTGGCTTGGCACCTAAAATGGAGGGGCCTGTCTCATTGTCAGGCTCAGCTATGTCCCTCTCTCAGTTCAGCAGTTATCATTGAAAATTACCCAGCTGCTCCTGTAATGAGCGTTGTCCTCCGATGGATGCCTCGGGCCTGTGCTAGATGGCACCACCCTGAAGCCTCACCCCCCACCTCAGGCGGATGCTGCAGTCCCCCTGGGTTCCCCAGAGATGAGTGTCCTGCTGAGGCTTAAGCGCAGCTGGGCTGGGGGTCAGGAAGATGGTCTCTGCATGTGGGCCAGGCTGGGACTTGAGGTCCAGCACGCAGCCCAACTCCTTCCCTAGCCCCCACAGCACAAAAGCATGAGATGTGAGGCCGACGGGCTGGGGTGGGGCCCTGAGGCGGGGACTCAGGTGAGTAGGCAGTTCCCGGGACCACCCTCAGGACAACCAGAGAGGATGTTCCAGAAAACCAGTCCAGGCAACTATTCTAGGAGGTCAGCGGGCACGGGGGCTTTCTCCACAGCTGAGTCAGTGGTGGTGGCTGCTACCATGGGGCTGGGCACATAGTTGAAGGGGGGGACTCGGGCCGAGCGGCTGGGGGAGCCATGCCGGCTGGCAGCAAAGCCCCCCCCAGCCACTCCTAGGCTCTCATGGGTGAAGGGGGCCGAGGTGGGTGCCTTGGCAGGACCAGGCTTATCCACGTCGCTGCCCAGAAGGGATGTAGGTCCGCTGGCCAGGGCCTGGGGCGGCCCCCTGCTCTCCAAGCTTGGGGATGTGCTGGAGTTGGTCTTGGTGGCAGCAAAATCCTCTGTCTGGACCACAGCATCACTGGTCTTGCGCTGCAGGGGACTGCCTGGGCACTCCTCTGACGAGGTGCCCATGAGCGGCAGGGCGGTAGAGGGCAGTGTGCTCCGCAGGATGTGTGGCACGTCCTCATCCCGGATGCGACGCCAAGTGGTGCACGGCGAGGCCACCCTGGGTAGCGGCCGGGCCTCTCCATCGCTGCCGCGGCGTGCGGGGTCCGAGGCGGGACTAGGGGCAGCGCCCTCCGGCTTTGGGGCCGTGCTGATGTGGGGCAGAGAGGCATAGCGCTTGACGGCCTCAGGCTGGGTGGCCTGCTTGCGGATGGGCAGACGTGACGGGCTCTCTGAGCTGGTGCGCCTCGGTGGCCGCTTGCCAGGGCCTGACCGCGCTGAGGGGGGCTGCTGGGGGGTCGGGGCCTGTGGGGAGGGTGCCCGCAGTTCCTTGCAGCGGGAGGAACAGAGAAAGACGGTGGGCAGCGCAGGCCTGCTCCGGCGGGGTGAGCCACCCTGGGAGGCGGAGGGGGCGGCTTTGGCTGTGGACAGCTCCAGACGACGTCGGTGCAGCAGGCCTGGCGATTCCTTGATGAAGGTCAGCTGCCGCTGGAAACCTGAGCGGTTGGAGAACTCGCTGCCACTGGACTGGGCCGAGGCCATGCGCACCAGGCCCAGGCGGCCCCCTGGGGCACTCGGGCACCCCTTGGACACCACCCGACCCCTGGAGCCTGGCTCTGGGGCTGCCCTGGCCGGGGATGGTGGCACCCGCTTGGTGGGCTTCTGCATGAAGGGGATCCGCACAGGTGACTTCTGTGTCTTGTGCTGCTTGGCCAGCAGGGCCCGCGTGGGTGTCTTGGACACCAGTGAGGCCCCGGGGCTGGGCAGGGGCCCCGAAACATGGGCAGCTGGGAGCGGCCTCCTGGGCAGGGGCTGGGAGGCAGGGGAGGTCTGGGAGGAGCTGGATGAGGGGGTCTTCGTGAGGCGGGCCGGTGGCGTGGCACTCCTCTGGAGGGGGCTCAGGGCTGCAAGCTCTGAGATCTTGCCAGGCCTGTGCAGGCTTCGAGACCGCTGCTGCCCAGGGCCCAGGGCTTTGGTGGGAGCTGCTGGCTGTGTGGGGCTCTGGGGTCCCATCTTCCTCGGTGTGGTGTGGAGGCCAGGGGTGCCTTTGGGCTGAGATCGGGTGGCTGAGCTGGGCATGTAGATCACTGTTCTTCCTCGAAGCATAGCTGGCATCCCGGGTGTGGTTTTCTGGGCGCCGCGCAGCTTCTCTGGGCCAATGGGCAAGCAGGAGCTGCTGCTGCGCTGGGCCAGGGCCACATCCCGTTTCTCTGGCCGGGTGGCACTGCTCGCTTGTCCCTTTGCTCGTGTCGGCCGCCCTTTCCTGTGTAGAGAGGGCTGTAGGGTGGAGCCCACAGACAGCCCTGACGTGAAGGACAAGAGAGAGTCAGACTCAGACGAGGCCTCCTGAGTGGCGGCTGCTGCGGCCTGGTGCAGCCAGGTGACGATGGAGTTGGCGCCCTCCTGGATGGCGCGCCACTCGACGCTGTCCAGATCCGAGGCATGGTCGGACCCTGCTGCCTCCTCGCCACGCTCCCGCGGCCCCTCTGACCGCTTGTCCAGCCGGGCATCTCGGGGCTTGCGACGCCTTGGATCTGACACCTGTGGGCGGCGCCTGGGCGTGGCTGAGCCAATGCAGCGCCTCAGCATCTCTTCTTTGGCCTGAGAACTGGGACGGCCGTCATTCCCGCTGCCAGGGCCCCGGTCCTTGGTGACCACTGGCTCATGGGCACGGGGCCTGCCAGCCTCAGGCTCAGGCTCAGGCTCGCTGAGGGAGCTGGTGGAGGAGCTCAGGGAGTAACATGGTGGTGTCTCGTCAGCAATGAGGCTAGGCTGGGCCCGGGTGGGCATTGTGGCGTTGGATACAGCCTGTGCCTTCTTCTTGCCAGCCAGGCGCTCCCTCTTCGCTGTCTGGGGCGTAGCAGATGCCCACCGGGAGGGTGTCACCCCCGCCGCTGTGGACAGCTCCTCGTCTGAGCCGTTGCTGTAGAAGCAGTACACAGCCTCCTCAGTAGGCGTTGTGAGGCATAGGGACTGCAGTGCCCCCTCCCCATGAGCTCGGCCCAATTGGGGGCTTTTCTTGTCTGCACAAGCTCTCGGGGGCTTTTGGAGGGGCAGCTCCAGCCGTGCCCTGTTCCTGACCAGCCCTCGGGCTGGCTCCGTTCTGCAGCCTGCACCCCCAACCCTGTGCCGGCGCCCAGTGGCCTGCCTGGCAGGAGCCTCTAGGCCTGTTGGCTTCTGCCTGTCCCCACACCCACCAGCTGGGTCCCTGGGAGATGCCTGCAGTGCCTCATCGCTGAGTGAGGCCACACCGAAATTGACCTGCGTGCCCTCGGCCAAGTCAGTGCATGAGCCGTCCTCCCGGGCCGGGGTGGGCACCAGCATGTAGACGGGCATGGGAAGTGCGCAGCGGCTGGGCACCAGTGCCGAGGCCACCTTGCGGAGCCGGGTGGGCACGGCTGCACCCAGGCAGTCCCGCAGCAGCTCCAGCTCCTGGTTGGTGGCAGGCGGTCCTTCAAGGCGACCACTGGCCTCATCTCGACAGCAGTGCCCAGCGAAGTGCTGGCCAGGCCCACCACCCCCGCCAAGTTCAGGGCAGGCTGGAGGCAGCAGCCGCAGTTCGACATCCTTCTGCACGTAGTGCTCGTGCAGGGCCAGCGCGCTCAGGCTGGAGGCGCAGGAGAAGTTCTCGTCCGGCTTCTCCACGGTGAAGCGCACACTGCCGGCGTCCAGCCCGGAGGGCAGCCAGCAGCGCTCGCGGCAGTCGGCGATGTCCAAGAAGCGCTTCACGTAGCTTTCCCACTGCAGGCTGAAATGGGTGGTTCCGTGCTCACCAGGAGGTGGGGGCGCCAGGGGCGGCGTCTTGCTACGGCTCGGTGGCATGGTCTGCCCAGGGCTGTCGGGCAGCTCGCTGGGGCTGACTGTGCCACTGCCCAGCCCGCTGCAGGGGTCACTGGGGATGGAGCTGGCAATGGATGGGCTCTCAAAGCTGCCCAGGGAGCTCACCGAGCTGCAGCGGCTGAGCACCAGTGGTGTCTCCTGCACACAGTTCTCTGAGGAGCTGGATGGGGTGGTGTCCTCCACTCCCAGGCTCCGGCCCCGAGGCGGCACCGGGATGGCCATGGGCAGGGAGGCAGCCCCCGGCCCATGCCAGGCCCCGTCCAGCTCCGCCTCGCTGGGGCCAGCCTCCTCCAGCCCCTCCAGGGACGAGTCACTGTCATCCAGGTCCCCTGCCTCGCTGGGTCCCGGGTGGCCAGCCGAGGACAGTGAGGACAGGGAGCTACACTGGGACAGGCAGAGTGGTGCCGCCTCCGCCACCAGCTTCTCGGGAGCCTTGTTCAGGCCCTCTGCAGACAGCCAGGCATGTCTCCGGGCGCCAGGGGCCGGGAGCCCCACACCAGCCCTGGCAGTGTCCTTGAGCAGTGGCACATGCTGGTAGGTAGGTGACAGCTTGATGGTGCGCACGCAGGCGTCGGCGGCTGCAGCTTCCCGGGCTACCGGCTTGGCCTGGCCGCCCGGCAGGTGGAGATCGAGTTGGTTGGGCCGTGCCTGGCCACAGGGGAGCCCTTCTCGGCGCTTGGCCAATGAGGCCAGCGGGCAGGGCCTTATGGGGTCACGGGGACAGTGCCCATCACTCGTGCTACCACTGTTAAGGCTGTCATTGGAGAGGCTGGCGTGGGCTACCTTGAGCCGCAACAAGGGGTGACCTCGGCCACTGGCCTCCCGCTGCCTACCCTTAGGCCCCCGGCAAGGAGAGCAGGACTGGGCTCGGCCCTCCCGCAGTGCCTCCTGCCCCGGGTCCCCAGAGCTGAGGCTGAAGCTGTCATCAGATGAAGTGTGCAGGGCCGAGATGTCCTCCACCAGCCGGTCAATCCGAGCCACTGCCAGTGCCAGCTTGGCCTTGGCCCTGGCTGCCAAGGCTGCCTCCCCACCGGCCTCCTTCTCCAGCTCTGGGCCACCGCGATGGGCAGGTGGGGCCCGGGCCAGTGCCTGGCCTTGCGGGAAGTTGCTGCCCAGAAAGAGGGACAGCACAGTAGGACTGGCAGGCTCGGCGGTGGCGGCCACAGCGGCCAGGGAGGGCACATCATCATCGTCGAAGCAGCCCGAGTCTGAGGCATAATCCTGGGCCAGCCCGTCCAGGTGCCGCAGGGGCGGCAACGGCTTCTTGGAGGCGGCCTCGGCCTCGGCCTCGGCCTCGGGCAGGTCCTGCTTCTCCAGGTGGTCCAGCGTCTGGGCCAGGTGCCGCGCGTCCAGCTCGGCCTCCAGGGCCCGCTGCTTGCGCACGTACAGGCTGGGCACACAGGCGCTGGGGGAGATGGCCGTGGCTGCTGCCTGGTACTTGGCAGGCCGGTGAGCCAGCAGGTTGCGCAGGGCGGCGGCACTGCCCATGGCAATCATTTTGTGTTTGGAGTGCACCAGGTTGCGCAGCATGGCCACGGCGCCCAGGTCCCACAGCAGCTCCTGGTCCCGTGGGCTGCGGGCGGACAGGTTCCAGAGGGTGCCGCAGGCGTTGCTCACGATGGTCAGGCTGTGTGATGTCAGGTGCTGCAGCAGAGTCTGCAGGCAGTTGTGGTCCCGCAACACCTGCCTGCAGCACAGAGCAGCATGTCAGGCGGGGCCAACCCTCGTCTTACCAGGAGCAGGGTGGCCAGATTTAGCAAATAAAAATAGAAGGCATCCGGCTGACTTAGACTCTCAGAGAAGAGAATAGATAGGTAGTATAAGTCTACCCCAAATATCGAATGGGATATACTTGTGTTAATTTTTTTTTTACTTAAGAGAAATAACACATTTATTAAATAATTGTAATAGTAAATTAAAAATACTTATCTTTTAAAATAAAATTTAGTGTATCTTATTTTAGCATAATATCGCATGTCATATTTGGGATAAACATACTATACATTCTATTTGTTTTTTAAAATGCTAAGTATTTGTAAATTATTAAGTTAATAACTATTTTATTAACAAGTAAAATATTTAGCAAAGTATAGCTCATGTAATATTTGGAGATACTTGTATCACAAAAATCAGTCCCTGGGACAAGTCGGAGCATCCATTTGCCGGAGGACAAACAATGCTGCAGCCTCAGCGACAGTTCACTACAGACTGCCACCCCCGCCCCAGACCACACCTGGGGCCCACCTTCCCCCAGCACCCTCTGTGGAGCCCTCTGGCCTCCAGGATTGGGGCGGGTGCACCCACCTGTAGTCCTCTCGGGTGGCGATGAGGCTGGACACGTTGCGCAGGATGCCTCCGCCGCTCTCGATGATGGCCAGCGAGTTGCTCTGGCACTTGTAGGTCAGCGTGCTCACTAGGAAGCCCAGGGCGCCGTCCACTTGGCAGATGGCTGCCTTGTTCTCCGTGCTGTGTGCCGAGAGGTTCCACAGGGCACTGAGCACGCTCTTCAGGGTGGACTCCTGAGCACCGGGGTGGGACAGGTGAAGGTCAGTGGAGGGGTGCCCCAGGCACTGGCCCCACCCACTAGGCCCTCCCCATCAAGGCGCAGCCAAAAGGCTGGAAGGAAAGGCACCCAAATACATTTTCAAATAAAAGCGAGAAATAATAAAACGGGGCCTCACGGGATCTCAGGGTTGAAGGGATGGAAACCCCAGGCCCGCCTGAGGACCACCTGGTAAGCTAAGTGGTAAGTTGTTTGGTGTGACTCCCCTCAAGACAGAGAACTCAGCCCCTGTTGCCAGTATCTCCCTGCCCTGTGGCTGGTATTAAGCAGCCATGGCAGTGCCCTCTCCCCTGGGTCTCAGGTGCATTCCGACCCCCTACTCCGTCGTGCCCCTTCAGTGCCTACCTTGGAGGCTCGGAGGACGCACTGCATCAGGGCGGTCATGCTGCCAACCTCCCTCAGGACCTTCTTGCTGTTGATGTCGGCCCGCCAGGACAGGTTGCGCAAGATGCTGGACACCACCTGGGTCAGGGCACAGGGCGGGCAAGATGGGCCCTGGGCCCCCTGCCCTCAGCCCCGCATGTGGTGGGGCTACAGAGACTGAAGGCGGTGCCCATCACACCCATAGGAGAGGGGACTCTGTCGGCAGGGGCCTTGGACGGTGGGACACTTGGCAAGGCTCTCCCCACGCCCCACCCGCTCCATCCAGGTACCTGGTGAAGATCCTCGCTCTCAGAAGCCAGTTGGGCCACGATGGCCTCCATGCTGCCACGCCGGGCACACAGTGTGGCCTGTGGGGTGCCACAGGAAATTCATGCCATGGCTGGTGGGGCAGGATCCATGAGGGACACCATGCCCCACCTTCAGGCTTTCTCCCTGTGCACCTACTATGTGCTAGAGCTAAAGACTCAGCATCCCCTCTTACCACTAAGGCAAAGGGATAGCAATCTCCCTGTTGCTTTGATGAGGAAATTGAGGCTGAGACAGGAGCAGACACACAGCCTCCTCCAGCCCAGAGGCCCCACTCTCTGCAGTAGAGCAACCAAGAAGACGGTGGCCTAGCCAACGGAATCCAGCCACATCCCTCCTTTCATGGCCCTCTCTGGGCCTCAGTCTACCCACCTATAAACTGAGGACAACTTTCCCCACCTCTCAGGGCTGTTTTGAGGCTCAGACAAGGGTGGGGGGAGCATTGATGCCACCTGCCCATCCCAGGCACCTTGTTGGCGACGTCCCCAAAGGTGAGGTTGGTGAGGGTCATGCCAGCGTATCTGCGAAGGGCAAGGTTGAGTGGGTCCTGGGTCATCTTGTGCATCTCATAATCCACCTGCAGTAGATCTGCCACAGCCTGCAGCCCACCTATGGGAACATGGGAGGGTGCACAGGGAGGTGCAGGGAGACACCCCAAACAAACCTCCCAACCTCCGCCCGTTCCATTCCCCTGCTTAGGTGCCCTCCCTCCATCCAGGTCTGCTCTCCTCAAGCCCACCTTTGAAGCCAAACTCCAAGGATACCTCCTCAGGCAGCCTGCCGCCAGGCTGACGTGATTCCCTGGATCTCCACACCTACCTCCTTCACACTTCCATTCATACTTCTTCAGCTTCTAGGCCTTTGCATGTGCTGTTCCCTCTCCCTGGAATGCTTTTCCCTGCTATTTGCTCAGGTTCCCAGCTCCCTTCTGCTCTCGGGTCATGAAGGCCCTCAACATCCCAAGACCATTAGACCTCCAGCCTCTGATGATTGCCACACACAAAGTTCTTTGGTCACTATGAAAACTAGACTCTCACTTTACAAAGAGAAAGCAAACATGGAGGGAAATGGTCAGGGTGAGTAGAAGAGAAAGAACTTTTGCCCAGCCAGCATGGCTCAGTGGTTGAGCATTGACCTATGAACAGGAGGTCATGGTTCAATTCCCAGTCAGGGCACATGCTTGGGTTGCAGGCTCATTCCCCAGTGGGGAACACTCGGGGGACAGCCAATCAATGATTCTCTGTTATCATTGATGTTTCTGTCTCTCCCTCTCTGAAATTAATAACAATATATTTTTAAAATATTAAATATATATATAAAAAAGAAAAGAATTAACTTGCAATTCAAATGCAAGGTGGTCTTCCTGCTTCACTGAGCAAAGACAACAGAGGCAATCTGTGCACTTAGGGGCTGGGGTTGTTGGACACTTCTGTGGTTTCCAGATCTGGAGTTTTATTTCCAACTGGGAAGGGAATGACTTGAAAGGTATACACTCTCATCAGCGTCTGCTTTCTTGTCATGGTTGCGAATGCCCATTTCTATGCAGCCAGACCACAAGAGATCTGATAAACCTTTGAGTGTGTGATTATCTGCTGAATGAGAAGTATCTAATTTTGTAGTCACTGGAGTAAAATTAAGCACATTGATGAGATTTTTGTCCAAGTTTCTATTACTTTAAATGATATAATGCTCTTAAAACTTCACAAGGTCTCCCCCACCCCAACAACTCTGATTCTGTGTATTAAGTTGGACCTCTCACCTTTGCTCTTGGCTTCTGGCCACTTCCCTATCCTCTGAGCCCAGGACCATTAAGGCTGAAAGCCTGCCCTGGGCTGAATGAGGCCCAGACGCCTCAGGCCAAATGGAGGGGACACGGAGGAGGTGAGGGGTGCACTCACCCAGCTCATTCATGGCACGGCGATATTCCTCATCGAAGGACAGCTTCATCACCGCACAGGTGGCCTGGCAGATCTGTGGCTCAATGGGGACTGGGGCTGTGGGCCAAGGGACCAGATCAGAGCTGTTCCAGTCCAGGAAATTACCCCTGCTGAGTCCTACCCATCCCTGCCTTCACCCCCACAGAGACCCAAGCTCTGCAAACCACTGCATGCTTGGCACCCGAGAGGTCACTCCCAGAGCAGTGGCCTCCTTTTCTAACTCTTCTTAAAATGAGTAATAAGGTGTCTGCCTCACCCAGAGCTGAGACAGGAGATGAAGGTGTGCTGGGTGCTCAGGACCTTTGGGTGGTGCTTTTGTCATAGATTAGCTTTGTGATCAGCTGCCCAAACTAGGAATCTCAAAGTCAGCACCCATATTTCTGGTTACATGCATTCAATGACTGTTTCTTGAGCTACCCTGCAACCAGGGCACAGGCTGCGGGTGGCTCTTTTTGCCAGTCAATCATGATAAAGTCGCCACAGGCTTCAGCCCACACGTGACGCAGAGAAAGTGCACAGAGAAGGCCAGGGGCTGCTCACGAAATCACCCTGCCACCCCGATGGCCCAGGCTCCGTGCTCCTTGCTCAAAGGTGGCCGGGGAGGCTGCACACTCACCGCTGCCCACCCCGCCTCCCTTGGTGATGCTGTCCTGCGCCTGCAGCCAATCCCAGCAGGTCTCACAGTAGGCTCGGATCTGCTCCAGCACGTGCAGGACACGCATTTCCTTGCGCGCCAGGCCCTGGTCGGGCTGGGAGAAGACAATGTTGTGCAGAGCTGCGTTGGCACGCATGCGTGCGTCCTTGGCTCCGGGCACCCCGGGGGTCCCGTTGCGACCCCCAGCCCCGGCCTCTGTGCCGTGCAAGATCTGCAGTAGCAGTGGCAGGCAGCCGGAGCGGCGCATGGCCACACAGCTCTCAGGAGAACTGGACATGGCGAGTAGCGTGCGTGCTGTGTCCTCCTGGTCCCGTGTTGCCAGCATTGACAGCAGCCAGAAGACCACCTCCACCTGTGGCAGCGGGAGGGGGACGGCGATGGATTCCACCTGGCCCCAGTCAGTGTGTCCTCCTCCCCAGCCAGGGGCGACCCCCATGGTAGGAGTCCTGTGACCCCAGCCCAGGGGAATCACTTCCTCACCCCCACCACCCTCACCTTGCATCCCCCATGGGCCACCACACACCCGTGGGGAGATGGATGAGAGGCCTCAGCCATTGTGGAGATGCCCCCAGTGGAGGACCAAATGCCCACTCCACTGCCCTCACTGGGTACTTCTAGGGGCAGCCCTACGTCTAAGTCTAGAGTGCTCTCCCAAAGAACATAGGACAGGTATCCCTGCCCACCTCCCCGGGCCCCAAACCACATGCTGGACCCTACCAACCTCACCACACCCTCACCCAGCTGGCTTTCCACTCCCCACCCTGCCCCTCAGTTCACCCCAACTGGCCTCCCCCTTACCTTGCTGTTGCCTGGCTGAGGGGCACCGTCCTCAGGGTGCACAGGGACCTTGGTGTCAGGGTCCTCGTCCACTGGCACCGACTTTACTGCCAGCAGGGCCTGTGAGGAGAGCACCAGCCTGGGGGTTATGGGAGCACCACAGAAAGCACCCTCACTGCTGACACTGGCCACACTCCATGATGATTGCTGGAGGCTCCATCTATACCTACACTCTGGGCAGGGTCCTCAGGTACCCTCCTCCCCTGGGCCATCACCTCCCCTGAGGGCCCTGACCCTGCCCCTCCCAGTACCTGGGGCTCAGTCTGCTGCACCCGATCCTGCGCAGACAGCAGCTCCTTGTCGATTTGCTCCAGGCGAGAAGCACGGATCTGGTGGGAGAAAGGTACACGTAGCTTGCTGTGACTGACCAGGTCCCTGCTCTGACCCAGCCTGCTCCCTGATATAGCTCTGCCCACTGTCCTAATCCACCCACCTCTGATTTGGCCCAGCTCAAATCCCACCCCCCAGATCTGACTCTTCCTACTTTAAGGTATGGTCATTCCCTCTATCCAAACCCCACCCGCGGCCCTAACTCCACCTACTCCTTGATAGGGCCCACCCATTCTCACCCTAGCCTGTTGTCTGACTCCACTCACATCTTGCCCCCACTCACGGTCCACACTCCCTAGGCCAGGCTCTGACTCCACTACTCCATGATTTGGTCCTACTCACTGTTGAGACCCTTCCTCATCCTTCCAGCCCCGCCCCCTACTTAGGCCCTATGCTAGACCTGCCTACTCCCTTGTTGGGTCTCACCCCTATTTAGATCCCACCCATCCTTCTAGACCTGCCCACTCCTGATATGTCCTCACCCACTGATCAAGTCACCCACTGTCAGCCCTGGCCTCTGTTCTCCACCGCTGAGCCTGGCTCTGCCCTTAACCCCATCTGGCTGCACCCCCAGACAGCTCTAGCCTTTGGCTCCACCGCCTGAGCCAGAGCCCGCCCACAGCAGTCACTGCCCTCTATCCCAAAGGCACATTACTCCGCCCATCCATCCAGACTTTTCCCACAAAGACCTCTCCGCTCATCCACCACGAATAGCCTCGCCGCGGCCCCGCCCACCGCCGCGGCCCCGCCCACCGCCGCACCTGCGCCCGCTGCACCATCTCGTCGGAGGTGCCAAAGCGCTCTTCCATCAGCGTCCGGATGTGCTGGGACTCAAACTCCAGCTGCTGCCGGATCAGGTCCATCTGCATGGAGAACTGCTGGGAGGAGTGGGCAGGCCGAGGTGAGCGTCTGACCGGGCCAGGGCCTGGGACCTGCCCGCCACACCCCAGGCTAGGGGCGGGGCGACCCACAGCACCCTCCCCTCCTCCCTTCTCCCCGCTGCTCACCGTCTCCACGTGCGGGAGCTCCTCCAGGCGCTTGGACAGGCCCTGCAGCTGGGAGTAGTACCAGAGCTTCTCCTTTTCCTCCTTCTCAATCTCATTCAACAGGAAACACCTGAGTGGGCCGGGCCGCAGAGGGGGAGCCATTATTAGGTGTGGTTTATTTTGATTTTATAATCGCTTGTTGGGTGCTTAGTGTATGGTAAGCACGTCAAACTCAAAGGCTAACACCGGCCAAATAAACAAGATTTAAGTTTATGTGGGGCGGGGAAAAAAAGCTTCAATTTTTTTTTTTATGCCTTAAGAAATTTTTGTTTAACTTTTATTGATTGCAGAGAGGAAGAGAGGTAGAAACATCAATGATGAGAGAGAATCATTGATTGGCTGCCTCCAGCATGCCCCCTACTGGGGAATCGAGCCCACAACTTAGGCGTGTGCCCTTGACCGGATGGAACCCAGGACCTTTCAGTCTGCAGGCCAACACTCTATCCACTGAGCCATACCGGCTAGGGCCAAAAGCTTCAATTTTCATAGAAACATAGGTTTATTTAGATAGAGACATGTTGAATACAAAGGCTGAAATAAATAAGTAATAGTTAACATAAATAATGGAACATTTTAATAACAATATTTTCTCTTGAACATTAACCTACCAGACGCTGAATAACTGCACAAATTAATAAGCATAATGCAAATAAACCTATTTTTCTTGTTCTCCAAAAGCGAAATATTTCCTGTTGCACACACCAAACAAGTCAGTACAAGACTAATGATGTGGCAATTAGCCGCTAAAATATTTGCTGCTACCCTGTTTCCCAGAAAATAAGACAGTGTCTTATATTAATTTTTTCTCCCAAAGTTGTGCGAGGTCTTATTTTCAGGGGATGTCTTATCTTTCCATGCGCTAGGTCTTATTTTTGGAGGATGTCTTATTTTTGGGGAAACACGGTAGTATTAGTGGAGAGAAATGGTGCACCTGTGCATAAGGCACATAAGAGAAATGAATGCAACACGATTATAGTAATCAGTCATTAGCAAATATTGTAGTTCATTATTAATAACTAAAGGCCTGGTGCACAAATTTGTGTATGGATGGGGTCCCTCAGCCTGGTCAGTGATCAGGGACGATCAGGGCCATCTCCCCCAGTGAGATGGGACAATTGGGGCCAGCCAGCCTCCTAATTGGGACCCATTGTGGGGGCAGGCTGGGCTGCCAGGGGGAGAGACTGCTGAAGGTTGGCTGTGGGAGCACACTGACCACCAGGAGGCAGCTACTGCATTGAGCATCTGCCCTCTAGTGGTCAGTGGGTGTCATAGCAACTGATTGGTCGTTCAGTTGCTTGGGTTTAATATATATATGGCTAATATGCAAAGTGTCCCCTCAGGTGTTCCACCAGGAGACCAGAAGTTTAATCGCTTGCTGTGACGTGCACTGACCAGCAGAGGGTGGTACAGAACAAAGGAAGGCACCAGCTGGCAGCCAGCAGCCAGGGAAGGGAGGCCCAGGCGGACACCCAGAGGCCCTAATTGGCCTGATCACTGACCAGGCGTAGGGACCCTACCTGTGCAAGAATTTTGTGCACCAGCCGAAACCGGTTTGGCTCAGTGGATAGAGCGTCGGCCTGCAGACTGAAAGGTCCTGGGTTCGATTCCCGTCAAGGGTATGTACCTTGATTGAGGGCACATCCCCAGTAGGGGGTGTGCAAGAGGCAGCTGATCAATGATTCTCTCTCATCGATGTTTCTAACTATCTATCCCTCTCTCTTCCTCTCTGTGAAAAAACAATAAAATATATATATTTTTTTTAAAGATTTTTGTGCACCATGTCTCGAGTCTGTCTATCTATCTATCTATCTATCTATCTATTTAAAAGCCTGAGTGACCATTATGACCAGTTACTATGATGTGTATTGACCACCAGGGGGCAGATGCTCAACACAGGAGCTGCCCTCTGGTGGTCAGTGTGCTCCCACAGGGGGAGCGCGGCTCAGCCAGAGGCTGGGCTCACGGCTGGTGAGCGCAGCTGTGTGGCAGGAGCCTCTCCTGACCACAGCAGCGCTACTGAGCAGCAGCCCAGGCACAATAGGCCAGGATGAGCGCAGGTGGCTTGGGCTCCTCCCTGGCCACCTGCCACTTGGCATACTGCTATGTCCCTTAGAGGAAGTCCGAGTGCCAGTTTAGGCCCGATTCCCAGGCGGCCAATCAAGCCTAAACTGGCATTCAGACACACCCCAAAGGGTCCTGGATTGCGAGAGGGCACAAGGCAGGCTGAGGGAACCCTCTGCCCAAGCCACAAATCTGTGCACTGGGCCTCTAGGTACGTATAATAGGATATTATAAAAATTAAGTTACGAAATTTTTATTAAAACATTTTTTACATACCATTATATTGCCTGGGCCACAAAAAAATATTCTTTTTGGGCCACGAGTTTGACATGCTTGGTGTATGGCCAAGTTTAACAGGCAGCATGGCAAAGCCTTGCCCTTGGTGCTCCCCTTTACTAGGGATGGGTGGGTGGAGCACAGAAAGTTGATTAAAGAGAGAAGGTAGTGCCAAAACCGGTTTGGCTCAGTGGATAGAGCGTCGGCCTGTGGACTGAAAGGTCTCAGGTTCGATCCCGGTCGGGGACATGTATCTTGGTTGCAGGCACATCCCCAGTAAGGGGTGTGCAAGAGGCAGCTGATCGATGATTCTCTCTCATCGATGTTTCTAACTCTCTATCCTCTCCCTTCCTCTCTGTAAAAAATCAATAAAATATATATATATATTTAAAAAAAAAAAAAGAGAGAGAGAGAGAGAGAGAAGGTAGCCAAATCCGGTTTGGCTCAGTGGATAGAGTAGGGGTGTCGAACTCAATCAGAGAAGGGGCCAAAATCTAAAATCCAGCCTAAATCGCGGGCCGAATGGTTTACTGAACAGTCATAAACTGTCATTGTGATGGAAACGCAGCGGAGTGCAGTGATGACAGCGCGGTGCGGGCCACATTGCAAGGCCTGGCGGGACGGATTGGGCCCGCGGGCCTTGTGTTTGACACATGTGGGATAGAGCATCAGCCTGTGGACTGAAGAAGGATCAGTTCAGTTCTAGTTAAGGGCACATACCTGAGTTGCAGGCTCGATCCCCAGTAGGTTGCATGCAGGAGGCAGCCAATCAATGATTCTCTCTTATCATTGATGTTTCTCTCTCCCTCTCCCTTCCTCTCTGAAATCAATTATATATATATATATATATATATATATATATATATATATATATGTATTTTTTTTAAGAGAAAGAGAAGGTAGTTTCTTTGTAAATTCTTATTCTCAGAGAAAGACTCTGATGGGGGCGATAACACCTCGCCCAAACTCTATAATCTCCCTCCAGGCTACACAGAGGAAGCTTCAAGCTCAGATTGCTCCAGTTGCAGTTGCAACAGATTTGGCTCTGCCCTTAACCCCATCTGGCTGCACCCATGCTCTGGGTGATTCACCCTAAACATTTGATTACTTTAAATGATATTATAATGCCCCCAAACCGAAAACTTCACAAGGTCTCTCCCTCCCCAACAACTCTGATTCTGTGTATTAAGTTGGACTTCTCACCTTTGCATCCTGTGGGGAGACACTGCTATTCCTACCCATTTTACAGAGCGGAAGTCTGAGGCTGGGAGCGGCTAGGGGACTTGCTTGACATCACACAGGAGCAGAGCATGGACCTCCATGTCTCTCTGGCCCCAAACAGCCCAGCCAAGCTGAGCTGCGTGCCTGGACCCTGCCTCTCTCTGCTGTCCCCTCCCCTCCAGGTTTCTCGGGCTGCAGCCTTTCCTCACAAAGACTGCTTTGAGCTCCTCTGGCTCCAGGCCTAACTCTGAGCCCTGGCACTGGACACAGCCCTGTCCCTGGTGATGACTGGGTGTTGGGGACCCCTGGGGACGTCTCCTAGGAGCCCTTCCCTCTGTCAGGAAAGTCCCCTCCTCTTTGTCCTCCAGCTGAGGTCAGCTGTGACGGGGAAGTAGCTGGAGGAGCCACAGAAAGCTGGTGCCTGAAGTGGAGGCTCGGAAGGTGGGTAGGACTGGCTTGGTGGGTGGTGCACATGCTGATGGGCCAATCAAAGGGCAGAGACTACAGGGGTGGAGTCTGGCTGGGGAGCGGGGCCAGTGGTCAGTTTCTCACCGTTCTCTGTCCAGTTCCTCCAGCAGCCGGATGGTGGCCCGGCTCAATTCCCCAAAGCTGTCCTTGGAAGTCCCGGAGCCATGTACTGGGCTTCCCTCAGGGGTCTGGGCAGCAGGCTCAGGGCCCAGGGCTGGGGGCTGGAACTTGAGGTTGTACAGGCTGGTAATATCCATCTGCAGGGCTGGATCGGAATGGAGGGAGAGGGTGAGGTCAGCACCCCTCCTGTCCCTCCTCCTCCCAGCTCACCCACTGTGTAGAGGGGGCCCCAAGGCTGGCCTCTCACCTTTCAGTTGATCCAGCACCTCCGTCTGCCCTGAGGACACCAGCACTCGGGCCTCCTGCTCCAGCTTACCCTGTAAGTGCTTCAGTACCTCCTGGAGGTGAGGGGCAGGAAAGAGTGCTGGTTGTCATGGCCACTGCCCTGAGCTGCCCAGCTCCAGCCCCCTGTGAGATGCCCTTGGCCCTGCCTGCCCATTTCTGGGGTCCAGTGCCCTCGTGTTTGTCCTTGTGACCCAGGCCCATGTCCTCTGCCCAGCCCCACCCCCACCTTCATGCCAGATGTCTCGGTCTCCAGCTTGGACAGGTGGCTTGAGTTGTCTCGAAGCTCCTGCCTCAGGTGACTGTTCTCGGCCTTCAAGGCTTCCACTTGCCGAACCAGCTGTTCGTAGGGTGCCACGGAGCTCGTCATCTTTAGCTCCTGCAGCACCTGTAGCCACAGGCAACATGAGGCTCTGAGGAGGGGGTGGCCCCGGACCTAAGCCCCAGCCCTCCCACCCAACCCTGGAGCTGGGTCCCAGGTAGGAGGAGCTGCAGGCAGGATAGTGCTGGCCCGGGGAATCCTAGGGACAGATGGTGTGGCAGATGGAATGACAGACAAAGGCAGGAACAACAGGAGAGAGAGACAAAGCCATCAGACAGGTATTCAGAGAAACAGACAACCCAAACACCCAGCTGACCAACAGACAGATACAGAAAGACTTCCATTCTCACAGTTGGGTTCCTGGACACATGTGCTTATAAAACAGCCAGCCAACAGACGGATAGCCAAGACTGACAGCCTAACCCAGCAGATGGATTAGCCAGCTCAGTGCCACCAGGCTTACAGCCAGAGAGAGAGACAGACAGATGGACAGCCAAGACACTTTCCCTGCAGCAATGTAGCTGCCCAGAGGCTGGGTGGACAGACTACCCACTGATTTAATTGACAGACAACAAAAATGTCACGAAGGGTCTAAGAAACCAATGGACAGGCTGACAGTGGAGCTCCAGGGGACACGAGCCTACTACGGTCACCCTGGAATTTGGGATCCCAAATGCTCTGCCGCCCCCACAACCCCTCCATAGGCAGCTGGATCTGGGTAGCTACCTGTGTGGCCCAGGGAACCTGCAGTCAGCCCTCTGCCAGCTCCTGTGGCCCCCCAGCACCCTGGCCTCATCCCCAGGCTCCACCGCTGCCACCTGCTTTGTGTGTCTGGCTGTCCTTTCTCGCTCCGTCCAGCAGGCCAGCATCTCCTCCCTCAGCCTGGCACTCCTGCCAGAGCCTTCCTGCCCCACCACCTTCTCTCTTTGTTCCCTTAACATGAGCGCTCCTCCTCCCTCTCTCTGCCTTTGTCTGAGGCTCACCAATAGCAGCCCATCCCCTGTGCCACCTCCTCCCCGGGAGCCCCCTCCCCCTGCCCCCCTGTGTCCCCTCCCCAAATCAGCCAGCCCTCTTCTGCCCATAGGGGATACCCTTTGCTCCCTCCCTGACCCGACCACACTCTCATTCACTTGCTCATTCATTTTCCGCTCTCTCTTGCTACCCCTAGAAGGTCCCTGCTCACCTGAAGTCACCAAGGACACAGATGGGCTTGGAGTAGGGGAACCTAAATGCTCTGCCCCAGGTGGGGGATAGGTCAGGCATTTCAAATTGGCTCCGAGAACCTACTGCATGCCGGCTCTGTCATTTGGCTTCCTTATCATAGTCCCCCATCTAGAAGGGCAGACAAGGCACAGCTGGAACCTAGACACTGGGCATGCTCAGATAGGAAATGTGGAGGCACATGGGCCCTATGCCCTCTGCTGAACTCAGTTCCCCCATCTGAGGAATGGAAGGAACTCAGTCTGCCCAGCCCATCTAGTGGGCTGATGTGAGGGTTAGGAGGAGGAACTGTAGTCACTCAGCAAACACAAGTCATAGGTCAGACTGGAAGATAGTGTGTCAGGTGAGGGAGGCCAGATGCTTGGGGGCCACAGCCTTTGTCTATCACCCTAATATCGATCCTGCCCACGGCTCAGTCAGGGGTCCCAGCTGAGAATGAGGCCTGGGATTGTGGTAACGTCCCCGGGATCTGGCTAGGCCCCTGTTTCCTGACTGAAGCCATCGTGCTGTACCTCGCCAGGGGAAGCACTAGGTTAAGCACAAACCCCAGCATATCCCTGCCATTTCCTAAACCCAAACTTCCTTCCCAAGCATCCCCCCCCAACACACATACACACAAACACACACACACACACACACACACACACACACACACACACACGTCACCCTTGCAGAGCCAGCAGAGCCAGCTTGGATACCTTCACTCCCCCTGCCACTCCTGCACTCTCATTAGATGGAGCTTGGCAACATGGCAACAAGCCCCCCCCTCTGCGTTCTCCCACATTCAATCCTGGGTTCTCACCTCCATCCACTCTCTTTAAAAAAAAAATAAATTATATATATATATATATATATATATATATATATATATATATATTTTTTTTTTACAGAGAGGGATAGAGAGTTAGAAACCTTGATGAGAGAAAAACATCGATCAGCTGCCTCCTGCACACCTCCTGCTGGGGATGTGCCCGCAACCAAGGTACATGCCCTTAACCGGAATTGAACCGGAGACCTTTCAGCCTGCAGGCAAGCCGACGCACTATCCACTGAGCAAAACCGGTTAGGGCTCCATCCACTCTCTTACCAGCCCCTCAAGCTTTGCCCAGCTGGGCCCTCATTCTCCCCACATCTCTCCCATCAAAGAAGCCTCGCTGGCCTCCCATAGTCCATTTCTCATTCACAGACAGACAGAAACTTTGGAAGTACTGGTCGGACTCCATGTCTCCCTGCTTCAATAGCTGCCATGGCTCCCCAGTACCCTCATCATAAGACCCGTCTCCTCCGTATACACGCCACTCTCTTCCCCCAGGTCTTTGCACATGCAGCTCTCCTGCCCGGATCAGCTTTCCTGACTTGCCATCCTTCGCAGCACAGCTTCCTCCAGGAAGCCCTCCTGCCTGCCCTTCACCCATCAGGAACCTCCTGGAGGCCTCCCTGAGATATGTTTATTACCAAAGGAAAAGCACTGATAGATGGCGGTTCCTCTAATTAAGGAAAGAGTGGCCAAATATCAGCGGCAGGTATATAGCACAGGTGTAGCCCAAAGGGGGCCTTCTCCTTCCTTCAATCCAAGCTCCCACTTCCTGAGGACTAGACACCCAGAGAGCTGTAGCGCTGCCCCGCCCCGCCCCAAGGCACACCAGCAGGCCTGCCCACAGACTGGGAGGTCCAGGTATCCAAGCTGGTGAGTGGATGTGTGCGTGGGACCGACTGCAGCGACACAGGTGCCCACCTCTTTGGGACTCAGTTTCCCCTCCGGCTCCACCCTGGAGACGCAGAGGCTCCAAAGCCAGAGCGGACCTGCGCAGCAGAGAGAAGTGGGGGGGAGGGGAGAGCATGAAGACATCCCTCAGAGACGGCGACCGCGCCCCCTACCCTCAACCCAGAAAACGCGCCGCTTACTTATCTTACTCCAGCTGGGCTGGGCTGGCGGACCCCCCAGGGGCCCGGTCCCCCTCCCTCGGCGCAATCCCGAGACCCCGCTTGAGATCCTGGCGCTCCTGGGCCAGGGCGGCCGCGGGGGCGCCGGCTCCGGGGTTCCGGGGGTCTTGGCGGCGTGAGCAAGGGGCTCTGGGGAGGACAAAGGCCGGTGCGGGCCTGGCAGGCGGCGCCGCCACTCAGGGCGCTGGGCGAGACCACCGCGAGCGGGGGAGGATGCGGGATGCGGGATGCACGCGAGGCGGCCAATAGAGGCGCGGGAAGACGGGCTGGTGCCATGGCAACAGCCAATGGCGGCCCGGGGCGGGGACCGGCGGCCGCCGCGGGGCTTCTGGCCTCCTCGCGCGTTCAGGGGCTGCGTGTGCGGGCGTGGTGGTGCGGGAGATGGAGTCTCCAGGGAAAGGGGACGCCTGGAGAACCAGGACCCCGGACCCCGTGTCCCCCACAGCATTCTGGGGTGAAAGGTCTCCTAGGATGTCCCGCCGCAGGATCAGCATAATTTGAGAGTAAAGCATCCAGGCTTGAGGGTTACATCAGAATCTTGCTGGGGGCGGGGGGGGGGGGGGGGGGCGGGGAAGCTCCCGGGGCAGGGGCAGAAGCAGGGCCGGTCAGCCCCCTACCCCTCGGATTCGGTCCAGCCTTGTGTGGATGGGTCAGGATGAGACAGCCTCAGGATTCAGGCTGAATGAAACCCCGGCGCTGGTGGGGAAGGGGAAACATGGGGATGGGGATGGGCAGGCATCCTGGGGAGCGCCCGGGACCCTGCATTTCTCCCCATTTTTTCTTTTCTCCCTGGCAGAGCGACAGCTCCTCCATGGGCATCTGCCTTGACTCCGTGTCTTCTTCCCCCACATCTCTCAGTTTCTCTCCATCTATCCCCTCTCTTTCCCCCTATGTCTCTACCTCACCGCACCACTAATTCACCCTCACAGAAGGAAAACCAGAAGAGAGAGGAATCTGAGGTCTCAGGAATACATATCCCCAGGCCCTAGCTGTCTCAGATCCTTGATGGATCCATGTAGACCACGAGCGGATTTAACTCCCACAGCCAGAACCTGCAGCTGCAGCCCAGTCATTCCTACTGCTGACATGTGCACACCCTAAAGGATGGAATGCGGATTTGGGGCCTACCTCTGTCTTTTCCTGGCTTCAGGGGCCAGGGAAAATTGTTCACTTTGAGACCCTCAGTCTCCCATCTGTGGTTGGTGCTAGGGACCACAGGAGGAGCACAGGATCATGCGGTTTTCTGCTGGGTCGGCTGTAGGAGGTCCTATGTGTCCATCCTGAGGCAGCAATGCTGGAGGCCCCTGTGGACTCAAGTCTGGCTGTCCCAGCGCCTCCAGAGCCAGACACAGTTGTCCCCAGACTGTGGGGCTGGGAAGTTGGTGCAGAGCGTGGAGGGCTCTTTCTGAAGGCTGGGAAGGCTGAAATGAGGGGGCACACCAGTTCGGGGCCTCTTCAAGATGCAAAAGAATTGGCCCCAAGGAGGGAAAGGCATTTCAAGCTGAGGGAACAGCATGTGCAATACCTGAAGTTGTGAGAAATTAGAGCTCATTCAAGGGCTATGCTCTTCTGATGGGGCCAAGGAGTACAGCAGGCAGGTGGTAGGGCTGGACTGGGGGAGAGATGAGGTGTTTAAAGCAGGGCAAATTTCAGGGTGCAGCTCAGTGGTTGAGCATCAAGTCATGCACCAAGAGGTCACCAGTTCGATTCCCAGGTTGTGGGCTCGATCCCAGTAGGGGATGTGCAGGAGGCAGCTGATGTTTCTCTCTCATCAGAATTTCTATTTCTCTCTCCCTCTCCCTTCCTCTCTCTCTTAAAAAGTCAATTAAAACATATTTTAAAGCAGGGCAAACTAGGCAAAGCTGAAATGGGAGAGGGGAGGAAACAGAGCCCAGGGCTCTGGCTTCAGCTCTGCCTTGATATCCTTTTGTAACCTTGGGCATGCCTCTCTCTGGCTTCAGTTTCTCATTTTGTTCACTGGAAGGTGGATTGGAGAATCCCTATCCCCACATCTCAGTGAACTAAGTCTCACCTTCCCCACCCAGTTCTATGATGTCACTGCTCCCCAGACTCCCATAGCCAGAACCTTAGAGCTGGTAGGGGCTTGGAAGGTCCAATGGCCAGTCCTGCCCTCATACATATGGAGAAACTGAAGCTCAGGGCAGGGAATACATTGATTTGAGTTCATGCAAGAGTCCCATCAGGACCTGAAACTCCCTCCCTTCCTCACCTATCTGGATATGGTGGGAGCCTGGATGGCTGAGAGGATATGGGGGCTGAGACCCCAAGGCAGGATGCCCTGGTCCACAAGCCTCTTGGACATTATGTCCTTGACATCCCCCAAATCCTTGACCCTGTAAATCTTTGAGCCACAGCCACACTCAGGTATCACTGGAAATTCTATAACCACGAGAACTTCAGTAATCTTCACAGCCCCTCCCCAAGATCCCAGGCCCAATCTCAAAGGGCTGAGAGATCCTCATTGCACAGTGCCCAGGCCTAGCAAGGAAGGGCCTTTCCCAGAAACCTACTCATTACTGCTGGGTTCTCAAGAAGAAATTTAAATCATGGGGCTCATTTCGTTTCTTCCCATCCCCAGAGGCTAATCCCCCCCCCCCCCCAATCCCAACACATTGTAGGGTCACTCATGGAGTGTCTTTGGGCTTTCTGAGTCTGACCTCAGGAGTTTCTGCCCCTTTGATCTCCTTGCTTCCCCAATGAGCCCCTTCGATGTGCCAGGGGCTGGGGGCAGAACCAGCGGCATCCCCCACTAGGAGCTGGGTAGGGGGCTAGAGGGAAGCAGGAAGGCTCTAGGTCATCATGAGACCTTGGACAAGTCTCGGGTGACAAGGCAGGCAGGGCCCTGACAAGTGAGGAGGGGATGCCCATGGCAGAGGGGGGGGGGGCGGGGTTGGGGGGAGAGAGGGAGGGTAGGGGAACCAGACAGTCTAAGCCCCGCCCCCCCCAAATCTGACTCTGGTTGGGTGGCCTGACCAGGGTCCTGAGCCTCATTTTCATGGGTGAGGAGGGGGCTGGTGCGTGGGCCCGTCAGCACCGCGGACAGCTCCTTCCAGCCTCTAGGTGGTATGCTCTGAGGGCGTTTCCACCCCGCAATTAGGTTCCTGGCTCAGCTCCGGATGTGACCTTGGGCTCCCCGCTGCACCCTTAGACTCAGCTTCATCTTAAATAGGGATATTATAGCTCCAAGATTCAGAACGACTGTGGAGACCGGCAAACAGCTAGGGCCCAGTGAGATGTACAATATGTTATTAGGAAGAACGTCACCATCCGCAAACGTGGTAGGCCCTGTGCTTGGTGTTCAGAAGAGGAAACTGAGGACTAGAGAGGTGCAGGGCGTGGCCCGGACCCCAACCCGAAGCCTGTTCAGGGTGGAGCCTCGGCACGGCGCGCTCCTGCCGTAGCCCCACTGCCCCAGCCGGTCTCGGAGTCCCCACAGGGGTCGGGGTCTGGGGGGTCTCCCTTCGAGGCTGAGTGCTGGGCCCAGTGAGCCTGCGCTTGCGCAAACCAGGAAGAGGGGGTCACTGCAGTGTAGCGGAGGGTCTCCCAGCCTTGCCAACAGCCTGAGGCGGTTTCCCTGGCAACGGTCCCCCGTGCCACTGCACCAGACCCCAGACTCATCCAGCCGGGGTGCGCGAGCCTCTGCCGGCGCCGAGACCACTGTCCCCGCGGTCCGCACCCCTTAGCTGCGCCCAGGGCCGGGCCCGTATCCCCGCCGCAGGGCCCCCGCGCCCTACCTGGTCCCCGAAGAAGGCCGAGTGCAGCAAGCTCAGGAGCCCCAGGAGCCCCATGGAGCAGTGGCCGCCTCGGACCAGCCCGCGCCCCGCCCTCGGCAGGAGGAGTGGGGAAGGCGGGGGTGGAGGTGGGGGTGGGGTGAGGATGGGGGGTGGCGGCCGGGACGCCCTGCGCCTGCGTGAAGGGAACGGGGAGGTTCACTCAGCAGACCAGAGCCAAAGCTCCTCCTAGAAAGGGTCGAATGAATGGGGTCTTGGGGACCTGCAGGGGCAGGAAAAGGAGTCTCGCCGTGATGTCCCCCGGGAGGCGCGGCTCAAGGAGATCCCGAGGGAGATGGAGGGCGTGTGAGCAGAGAAGAGGGTCAGGATGGGGGAACCCTAGAAAGGTGAAGAAGGGCTCCGTGGGTGAAGGAAGAGCGGGGAGGGCTCCCATAGGAGCTGGGAAGGGGTACGGTATGGGGAAGTGGGAACTCAGGGAGGAGGGGTCCCGCCTAGAATGGAGGAATGGAGAGAGGCGTGGCCCTGCGGCGGTAGTCAGCTGCCCGCTTGGACAGTGGCCTGCAGGAGCCCAGGCCCCTCCTCTAGTTTGCCCAAGCTAGGGCTGTGCGCTCAGTTCATTACTCATTCAGCAAATATTGGCTGCGTGCCTGCTTTTGCCAAGTTCTGAGCTGGGTGCTGGGCATGGAAGGGCCTGAAGAGGCTGCAACACCCATAAACATTCCAAAATTTATTTAACAAACATGTATTAAGCACCTGTGCAATGAACAAAACAGTCAAAACCCCTGAGTGTGGGCCCTAGCCGGTCTGGCTCAGTGGATAGAGTGTGGGCCTGTGGAACTGAAGGATCCTGGGTTTGATTCAAATCAAGGGTGATTGCCTTGGTTGCAAGTTCCTCCCAGGCTGGGGCCCTGGTGGGAGTTCATGCAGGAGGCAACCAATCAATGAGTTTCTCTCACATTGATGTTTCTCTCTGTCTTCCCCTCTCTCTTCTACTCTCCCTAAATATCAATGGAAAAATATCCTTGGGCCTCTCTCGGGTCTTCGTTTCCAAGATGACCAAGAAAAGGAGGAATAACGGTCATGCCAAAAAAGGCCGAGGCCATGTGCAGCCTATTTGTTGCACCAACTGCGCCCGGTGCGTGCCCAAGGACAAGGCCATTAAGAAGTTTGTCAGCCAAAACCGGTTTGGCTCAGTGATAGAGCGTCGGTCTGCGGACTGAAGGGTCCCGGGTTCAATTCCAGTCAAGGGCATGTACCTTGGTTGCGGGCACATCCCCAGTAGGGGGTGTGCAGGAGGCAGCTGATCGATGTTTCTCTCTCATCGACGTTTCTAGCTCTCTATCCCTCTCTCCTCTTCTCTGTAAAAAAATCAATAAAATATATATTTTTTTTAAAAAGAAGAAGTTTGTCATTCAAAACATAGTGGAGGCCGTGGCCGTCAGGGACATCTCCGAAGCCAGTGTCTTCAACGCCTATGTGCTTCCCAAGCTGTATGTGAAGCTGCATTACTGTGTGAGCAGTGCCATTCACAGCACGCGAGTCAGGAACCCTTCTCGTGAAGCCCGGAAGGACTGAACACCCCCACCCCGATTTAGACCTGCAGGTGCTGCCCCACGACCTCCACCAAAGCCCATGTAAGGAGCTAAGACTTTAAAGAGTGAAGAGAAGTTCTCTGGGGGAAAATAAATGGAAGTTGTATTTCAAATATATATATATCTCCATCCTTGGGTGAGGATTAAAAACAAACAAAAATCCTGAGCATGGGGAAGGGCCAACAGTCAACATGAAGACAAGGTTTGCACTAGCCGTGAGCTCTGAGGAGACAGCAGGGAGGGCGTGGGGCCACTGGGAAGGGCACTTTGAATAGAGACTGGAGTGGTGACTCAAGTGGGGAAGAGCATCCAGATGGAAAGAACACCCAGCGCCAAAAGAAGGGCCAGGTCATGCAAGGTCTCGTGGATTTTTATCCTGAGGGACATAAGAGCCATGGTGGGCGGTTGGCAGAGCAGGGACGTGTGGACTAGGTGCTCTCTGGCACTTTACCATGGCTACCGGGAGGACAGTCTATAGGATAGAGAACCAAACCTGACTCAGGTGTTCACGGCAGCCCTCTAGTGACTGCAGAAAGAACAGACCCCTGAAGGTATGAATAGACCAGGGCAGAGGGGATGACGCACGTCCGGGAGGGATGGTGAGGGTCCCAGAGGAGGTGTTATTATGAACAGTGCTAAGTCCTGGGAAGACAAAAAACAAGCGTCAGGAAGAGAATGGGGTCCAGCCGGTGTTGCTCAGTGGTTGAGCATCGACACATGAACCAAGAGGTTATTGGTTGGATTCAGGTTAGAGCACATGCCAGCATTACATGCTGAATCCCCAGTAGGGTGTCATGCAGGAGGCAGCTGATGGATGTTTCTCTCTCATTGATGTTTCCATCTCTTCACCTCTTTCCCTTCCTCTCTCTCTGAAACCAATAAAAACACATAACTAAAAAGGAGTGCTATTTTGGCAGGGATAGTGAGGACAGGCTTCTGTGAGCAGGTTCCATGCATCTGTGAAAGGACATCTGGGCAAGGCATGAGGCACAGCCCATGCAAAGGCTGGGAAGTGGAACAAGTTGGGAGAGTCTGGAGAGCTGCAGAGAGGTGGGCAGGCAGGGCTTCATGGGCCACAATGGACTCTGGGCTTTATTCCGGGGCCTGGGGAAGTCAAGGGAGAATGACTTCTGCATTTTTTTCAAATTGACGTCTGTCTTGGTGGGAGATGGTGGAGGCCTGGCCAAGGTGATAACAGTGGGGGCCTTGGGAAGTGGCTGGATCCAGGACATGTTCTGAAGGCAGCTAACATCAGAAAGGAAGGGAACTTCCTGAAATGGTGGAGATGGGGTGGGGCAGGTTTGGGGCAAGTGGGCTGCAGCCCAGGGTAGTGAGACCAGAGGGGCAGATTGGAAAGAAACTGACACAAAGGTGGGAATTTGGCCAGAAAGTTTGAAGGCAGAGCCTGGGCCATAGGACAGGAGAGAGTTCCTGTGGTGAGACCAGGTTATAAGGCTCCTCCCAACCCCCTAGACTCCATAGTAATGCTCCTGGACCAGAGTGCCATTTGGCAGCTGGGGCATGCATCTCAGTCTGAATAGATACCCTATTCACTTCACTTATAATGGTGTCAAGGGAGGCTTCAAACTGATCCTGGTCTTTGGCATGGAACAAGGACTTCAAAAGCATGACAGAGCAAAAACCAGTTTGGCTCAGTGGATAGAGCATCGGTCTGCGAACTGAAGGGTCCCAGGTTTGATTCCAGTCAAGGGCATGTACCTTGGTTGCAGGTATATACCCAGTAGGGGTTGTGCAGGAGGCAGCTGATCAATGTTTCTCTCATTGATGTTTCTAACTCTCTATCCCTCTGTCTTCCTCTCTGTAAAAAATTAATAAAATATATTAACAAAACAAAACAAAAAAGAGCATGACAGAATTAGCAGCCCTGATTGGTTTGGCTCAGTGGATAGAGCGTAAACCTGAGCACTGAAAGGTCCCAGGTTCCATTCTGGTCAAGGGCATGTACTTTGGTTGTGAGCACTTCCCCAGTAGGAGGTGTGCAGGAACCAGCTGATCGATGTTTCTCTCTCATTGATATTTCTTCGTTTTAAAAAAATATATTTTATTGATTTTTTACAGAGAGGAAGGGAGAGAGAGAGTTGGAAACATTGATGTGAGAGTCATCCATCAGCTGCCTCCTGCACACCCACGATGTGCCCGCAACCAAGGTACATGCTCTTGGATGGTATCAAACCCGGGACCCCTCAGTCTGCAGACCGACGCTCTATCCACTGAGCAAACCGGCCTCTGCTCTCATCGATATTTCTAACTCTCTATCCCTCTCCCTTTCTGTAAAAAATCAATAAAATATATTTTAAAAAAAGAATTAGCAAAGCACAGTGAGTTTACTAAAGTGATAGTACACACTCAAGAAATGAAAGTGGGTGACCTTGGAGAATGATACACACCGATAGAGTCTGGGGGAAAGGTTTTTGTTTTTGTTTGTTTGTTTGTTTTTAATATATTTTATTTATTTTTTTATTCAGAGAGGAAGGGAGAGGGATAGAGAGTTAGAAACATCAATGAGGGAAAACATCGATCAGCTGCCTCCTGCACACTCCCTACTGGGATGTGCCCGAAACCAAGGTACATGACCTTGACTGGAATCGAACCCAAGGCCTTCTAGTCTGCAGGCTCACATTCTATCCACTGAACCAAACCAGTCAGGGTGGGTTTTTGTTTTTTAATTTTTAAAATTTTTATTGATTTCAGAGAGGAAAGGAGAGGGAAAGAAAGATAGAAACATCAATGAGAGAAAATCATGGATTGGCTGCCTCCTACACGCCTCCTACTGGGGATGGAGCCCGAAACCCAGGCATGTGCCCTGACCAGGGAATTGGACTCAGGACTCTTCAGTCTACAGGCTGAGCTCTATCCACTGAGCCAAACCGACTAGAGCTGGGTGAAAGGTTTTTATCAAACCAGGTCAAGTGGTATAGGGTGGTCCTCTGCTTTTGACGCTGGTGGGGTGACTATATACACTGCTTGTTCCATGCTCCTCCTTTCCAGACAGCGATATTTTTTGGTCCTCTCAATTACAGAAAATTGAGAAAGGGGAAGTGGAGAACAGGTGTTCAGTGAAGGTCATATCTGTGATGTTCCAGACAAGATAGAGAAGGGGGAGAGCTTGAGGGGAGAGCTTGAGGCCTTGGCTCCTTATTTTAACTTTACTGCCTCTAGTTTCTAGTCTGAAGCCTATGCAGTCTCAGGCGGCCCTCCACAAGAGAATTTTAAAGCATTCTATATGCTTAATAGGCTGCTAGCCTGTGACTGGGGTCAGGGGATGGGGAGAGGGTGGACAAGATAACAGGGGATGATCTTGTGTGGACAATTGAGGGCAGAAACAATACTAGTCATGTGGTAGAGGTTCATTATCTGTACACTAGAAGCTCAGTGCATGAAAATCATGCACTCAAGGATGTCCCTTAGCCCTGCCTGCGCCCTCTCTCAGTCTGGAAGCCCTTGGGGGATGTCAGGTCCTGTTACCACCGCTGAGCTAGCAGGACAGGCTAGGTCAGCACACTGACCACAGGAGGAGGGAGGGCAGACGCTCAATGCACAGGCATGGAAACATGGAACAGACTAATGAATCTCAAGGCGTAGGGGGGAGAAGGGAGTGTGGGAAGAGATTAACCAAAGGTCTTATATGCATACTAGATGCCCCGTGCATGGATTCATGCACCAGTGGGTCCCTCAGCCTGGCCTGCAGGGATCGGGTGGACACCAGCTCTCCTACATCCCCTGAGGGGTCTTAGATTGGGACAGGGCAAAGGCCAGGCTAAGGGACCCCACTGGTGCACGGATCAGTGGATTGGGCCTCTAGTGCTTTCATAATCATGAATTTTTAGCCAACTGTTGGATTTAATTGCAATTCTTCCCCTAAGTGACTTTGGGCAGGTGATTGGGCTTTTCTGACCCTTGGATCTTTGTCTGTGAGATGGGGACAGCAGGGTGTAGGTGCAGTCAAGGAGCAAGGAATGGGATATGAAGCTGACGGTGGGGGGGCGGGCGTGGCCTGTACCCACAGCTCACCCAAAGCGCTTCCAGCGCTTCCCAAAGGAGACTGAACAAGGAAGCCACAGACGCGCCTGCGCCTCGTGGTGTCTATTCCGAAGCGCAGCAGCGCAAGCACGCACGTACGCGCAAGCACGTGGCTCGGCCCGCGCGCGTTCCCCACATGGGGTGAGGCCGACAACTAAGCGCAGGACTTCACTTCCCAGCATGCCCCGCGGCGACATTGGCAGCCACCAAGAAGAAAGCTCGACGCGGCCTTTGAGCTGCGTCAGCCTTGCTGCACGCTGGAACGCCTGCACGCACACAGCACGCACGCGGGCGCACCCCTGGCCCCGCCCCCTGACGCTCTATGCGGGAGCGCGCCCGGTCGTGTGCAGGGCGGCGGCGCGGGCGCGGGGGCGCGCGGTGACTGTTGGGTTGTCGCTGAGGGGAGGAGGCAGCGCGGCCGCCGCCGTTGCGCAGATCCGGGCCGCTGCTGTGGGGAGGGCGCCGGGGCCAGTGACCTTCCGGAGGCGGGAGCGAGCCAGGGGGCCCGGGACGCCGAGCGCCGCCGCCGCCGCCGCCATGAACAACTCGGGCGCCGACGAGATAGGGTGAGGACTCGCCAGGCGCTCAGCAGCGTCGGCCGGCCCCCTCCCAGACGCCGCCTGGCCCGTCAAGGTCACGCCGTGGGGCCGCAGTCCGGGATCCTGCCGCTTCCTAGCCCGGGGAGGGGGACCCCGAGTGGGAACTTGCGGGTTCTGAGGGTCCCCGCTGTTTCTTGGCCCAGGAGGACCCCGAACAGGAGCCTAGAGGGGCGGGAGGGGGGGTGCCCCGCCGCCGCCGCCGCGCCGGTTTCCCGCTGGGGGTACTTCCGAATGGGAACCTAGGCGGCACCGGCGGGGCCTGCTGCCGCCGTGCCCGAGTTTACCATGGGGTACCCCGAGCGTGAACCGGGAGGGTCTGAGGCTCCCCGTCTACCGCCATGCCTGGATTTCCCGCTGGGAGACTCCAAACCGGAATCTGTAGGTTCCTGGGTGCCCAGACGCCCCTGTGCCGGTGTTTCCCCCGGAGTACCGGAACAAGAACCTGCAGGGTTTCGTGGCGCCCCCAGTCCGCGCACAAACTTGGTGGGTCAGCGCACGTGGCGGGCCCGACCGGGGCTCCAGTTCTGCTGCCGCCCAACTTCTCCCATCAGAGACTTGGGCGGCATCGCACCCTTTCCGCTCTTATCTCCCGCAAATGCTAAGAACAAGGAAGGGTCATAAACAGAGGACCCTCGGACCAAGGTCACGGGGATCCGTCAGCGCAACCATCGCGTCTGTAACTTGTTTTTATGTAGATGGAACCCCTTTTCGCTCAGCCCCCCACCGAAACTCTCCTTGGTTGTATTTAAAAAAATTTTTTTTTAAAAAGGAAAACCCGGACGGGTGGGCAGAAAGCCTTGATTCTGAGGTCTTCCTTTTGGCACTGCTATCAGAGCAGGTTTATTACAGCTAAGTTCCCCTTAATTATAACCTTGCCTAATGCTGCACAAGATGAGATCCAAGAAGCTATCCCAACGGAGCTAGAAAATGCGGTTCTGCCCTAGTGGAGGGAATTGCTCCAGTTTTCTATGCAGATACCAGCTCCCACTGCACCAGCATAATTTTACAATTAGATTCTTCTCTGAAGAAGATGGCAAAACAGTGTGTGCTGCTTTCCCCTGGCCATGTGTATATTTCTTAGTGCCCAGAGCTTTGAATAGATGTGATGTTTACAAAGTAATTGATTTGGTGAGTCAGTCATTGTTTGCTGGTGGGAGGCTGGCATCACCAGGCCCTCATCTAACTCCAGCCACTGGGAACACCTTGGATGTAAAATGCATTTTGTGGGCTCCCCACTCCCCAAAACCTCATGCTGTTTACTGGACCGGGAGGAAAGTACTTAGCTCACAGCTGTGTGTGTGTGTGTGTGTGTGTGTGTGTGTGTGTGTTTGAACTCTGCCAGGCACTAGAAGACTGTGTTCTGTAAATGAAAAGTTGCAGCACTTGTAACAGGAAACTAGGCGGTGGGGAGAGAGTTAACAGGTTTACCATATCCACACCCACACCCACATGCACATGTCTTTCCAGAGTATAGGGGACTTCAAGCCTGGGCTGCCTTTCTTTCTCACCTGGAGAGCAGAGATGGTTAGGAAAGGAAGGGGTCTGGAGATCATGAGGGCTGTCCCTCAAGTATGCCCGTGAGGAGACAGGGAAGCCAGGCATTTTACCCCTGCAACTTGTCCCAACCCTTCGGTCCCAGCCTGGGTCTGGACTTTCCAAACCTTCAGGCAGCTTGTGAACCGGGATTCAGACTAGGGCCTGCTTGGCCATGTTTGCCTCCCACTCTGGTGAATCTACCCAACAGCCTGAGTTTTAAAGTTGTAAATCACAGGTGTCCCAGAAACGTTTATTGTTTTGCAAGTAAAAATCTGTTGCCAAAAAGTACTAACAAGTTTCTATTTTACATAGGAACCTTGTTTTCGTCGGATGGGGCATCCCAGGTCCATTTTGACCTCCTTGCTATGTAACTGTACTAACCAGGCTCCTTGGCAATGGCCCCTCTTGCAATTTCCTGTGAGGGGACCATGGCTGCCACTTTAAAGTGGTTACCATGTGGGAGGTTGTGCTCAGATCCAAGTGAGGGCAGACATTATCAGGATATGGCAGGTCTGAATGATATCTGTAACAGCCACCCTCACCTCCGACCTCCTTTGCTTTGGTGTCTGGTCACCACTCCAGTAGCTCCCTAGGGAGTACTTGACAGGTGGGAGGGGCCACTCCCTTTCCTTAACCGGACCCACATGTGTGAGTACACTGGAGGCCTCAGGAAATGTGTGGATGCCTGGGGCACCTTTCCTTCCTGGTCTGGACTGAATTTGTCTCTGAAGAGCTGCTCTAGTTCTTGACTACCTGAGCTGGCTACCTCAGAAGTCAGCAGGAAATCTGATGGGAGAATGGAAGTTGGTTGAGACCACTGCCTTTACTTAATGTTTTTAGAGTCCTGATTGTCACAGTCAGCTAGAGCAGAGCAAGGGCTAGGTCTTGAGGATAGAAGTTTGACAGGAATAGTGGGTGTCACCTGTGGTCACCTCTGGCCCTGTGAAGCTGATGTACGGATGGCCAAATGTCCACTCTTCTGAGGAATTCCTTGCAGTGGCAGGCACTTATATTCCTGGGGATCTTGCTGAGCAGACAGGGCTGAGGTCCTCCTTCCCCTGCCACAACCTTGGAAAGTCAACTTAAAGAAAGGTCCTTTGATTCAGATTCTCCCTGGGGTCTGTGGGTGTACATCTGAGTGTGCCTGCCGGGTGCTGGGGGAGTGCTCTCTACCTTTACAGATAGAGGCATCCAGAGGCACTTTGTTCCATCCAGCCAAACTGTGTCAGGAACTGGAGAAAAGTGAGGAAGATTTTATCTGGCACACGTGGTCCTATTTGCATAACTGGGGACTGGTGAGGCGGGGACACCTACATGTCATTGAGGGCAGAGTTGCAAGGAAAGGAAGGACGCTGCATTGGGATCACTTTAAGGAAAGACTGGGGATGTGGGGTGAGCCCACGGTTGCTCACCCAGAGAGGCTGCAAATGGTCTGCAGCCTGACACTGGCTGAGTGATGGCATGTGGAGTGGTCCCAAGGCAGAGTGCTTGAGTCCTGCCTGGTGTTTCTGGAATATTTTGTTGGAGAGACTTTGGAAGTAGGATACCCCTGAGTTGAGGCCTGGGAAGATGGGGACCAGGAGCAGTGGATTATACTTATAAATGCCTGTTTGGGCTGATGTGGGAGAGTCATTGTTTGGTTTGCTTCAGAGAGGTCATGATTTGGGGAGGACATTGGTCCTGTATGGAATAGGGCAGTGGAGGGGCTCCTCTTACTGTTCAGCATAGTCTTGAGGTTTTCTCGTGTCACACAGCCCCCATAGTAATCTGGGAGGGGGTGCTCTTCCCTGCTGGCAGGAAAGAAGCCTGAGTGTAGAGGGCAAGGGCTGGCATAGGGTGAGCTTTGGAGTAAGGCCCATGGGCCAGGGCTGCCTGCCTCCTGCAGGAAAACTAAGACAGACTTAAGGAGTCCTAATGTGTCCCCACTAGAGACCAGAAAGGTGCAAACATAGGCTCTGGGTTGGATGCTTTCTAAGAAGAAGTGGTCAATTGCCCAACAACTGACTGGTCCAGGCCCTCTGCCTCTGCCCCTGCCCCCTGCTGCCTGTAGGTGGCTTTCTTACTAAGCGGGATGGAATTTTCCGAAGCCTGCCAATATGCTTCCAGGGCAGAGCCCACAGTGGTCAGTCCCAGCCAGGAGGAGCCACTGAAGACTGACTTCCTGGTGCGAAAACTACAAGGCTGCCCTGAAGTCCACAGAGCAAGAGCAGGGTAGTCATCCAAAAACATTCAGGATCCTCAGTCACTTGTGCAGAGCCCCTTCTAGGAGGAAGTCACCAGCCCCCTCTTGAGGTGTAGGCCCTCAGAGTGAATGTGCTGATCATAGACAACCTCTCTCAGGTCACCCAGCTGCTGGTGGTGTCTGCTTCCCTCTTGGGAACTAGACCTTTTTTCTGGGAAGGCCTGATAGAGCCAGGAAGTTTGCATGTGGGTTTGGGGAGTCCACGGTCTATGGGGCCCTGACATCCAGTTTCAGCTGAGTAATGATACCCTTCAGAGCAGGGAAGGGCTGCAGAAGGGGAGCTGGCATGGTTGGCTAATCTCTTAATCTGCAGAGTCCCATGTGTACAGGCCCATCTACTCCTGAGAGTCACATGGTGCCAAGTGAGTTTGTCTGAGTTGCCCCCAGACAGCCGGTGGGTTGAACAGGGTTCCCACTGGTGCCAGGACTGCATGTCAGTGTTGATGAGGGATGGTCATGCTTCCTGGGCAGGGGGGAACTATGTCTGGGCTCATCCTGTGGGGACCTTACTCTCTAGGGTGCTGGGTCGCCTGCTTCTCACTTGCCCTGTAAGGTGGGCACCCAGAGCCCTTTTTATTTTATTGATTATAAAAACTGAGGCTCAGAGGTTGGTGCTTTGTGCTGGGGCTCTAGAAAGGTCCCTGTCACCACAGTCAGCTGGCCTCCCAGGACCTTCTGGAGCCTTCCGTGTGCAGACCACAAGAGTGTGCCCTCAGAGCAGGAGGAAAGGAAGTGGAAACACTCAAAATGCTCAGCACAGCGCTGCCCCACATGGAGGCTTGCCGTGTTCTTTCCTCGGCATAAGCGGATGGTCATCTAAGAGGCACCTCTTACTGAGTTTCTCAGATAGCCTACGTGATGTGACGGGATGGTTGAGTAAATCCTGGCATTTACTCAATAATGAGAATTTTCTAATTTATAATCTCATAACTTGAGATTTACAGAATGGTTACAGATTAATAACGAAAGTTCCCAATATTCTTTATACAGCTAGATTCTCCATGGGCTAACATTCTGCCCCATTGTGAAGTATTCAAAAGGAAGTGGTACCGTGATGCCCCTTTGTGTAGACCTGTTCACGTGTTTCATTTCCAAGAACAGAGATATTCTCTTAAGTGCACACAGCACAGTGATAAAATTGGAAAGCACAGTATTGATGTTATGTTATTATCCATCCACAGAGCAGATGCAAATTCTGTGAGTTGTGTGGGTGATGGCATTTCTAGTTTTTTCCCCTTAATGCCTAAGTTTGAAATTTAAGTGAAGGCTGGAACCTGGACTGGTCTGGCAGGTTCCTCCTCTACTGGTGGGCAGTGGAGGTTGGGGTTCTTGGATGTGCAACAGTTTATTACTTTACTGTTTTGGTGGATGCAATGCTAAATAGAAGCTGGTGTTCTCTAAGTGAACTGGGTTGTTTTTGTTTTTAATTTTTGCGATCTCTTTCCTGTATGAAGCTACTTTTTCACAGCAAACCTTTGGCTGTTTTGTTTCAAAGGACTGGGCAAACAGGCAGTTAGCAGTGCTAGCCAGCCTCTGGCCCTTGTCATTCGAGTCCTTGTGCCCCTACTGGGCTCCAGGCCTCAAGGGGTTGGGCATGCTGAGTGAAGCTGGGCCTGAGTCACAGCTTGCTTTGGGCAGTGTCTGGACAGCCCTTGGGGAGTGGGGCACAGATGGAGGCACTCACCCTGCACCCCCAATTGTTGGAAGGCAGGTGGCCTGCGACATGGTTTTAAGTTAATGAGGTCTAAATATGAGCCTTGCTGCTGCTTGGTCAGCATGTTCCCTGAAACCTGTTTTTACCAAGCACCCTTCCTAAGGTGCTGGAAGCACATCTATGGCCAGATGCATCCTGAATCCCCTTCTAGCCCTCCCCAACTAGGGACCGGTGGTGGCCTATTTGTTAGCATTTTGAGGATGGTAGTGGGTACCTGTCTGGTTATGGGAAATTCTCACACACTAAATATTAATTGTCCTTCCTTAGAGGAAAGGCAGAGTGGAAGAAGCCTTACAGGCCTGCTGTCACAGGCATTTTGCCAGAGACTGGCACACTGAGGCTTGAGTCACCAGATGGAGCAGAGGTGACAGGTGTGCCTGTTACCTTGAGGGTTCTGTTAGGAGGAGGGCAAAGCTCCCTGTCAGATGATTCTCTTGGTTGCTCAGGAGGCAGTAGTGATATTAGCCTTGCAGGGTCCTTGTGTCTCAGGTGGAAACTGGGCCTGGGCCCCCTGCCAGCATCTGAAGACCCGCCATTTAGTGTTTAGGTCCAGCTCCGAGGATGAAAGTGGTAGCGTCTCCTTTTCCTGGTGAAACAAGAATGATGGAGAGCTGCCACCACTGCTGATGGACCCCTCTCTCCCTGCCTCCTCTGTCATAGCTGTGTCCAGGGCTTTGGGAGGCTAGAATGATACAGAGGGATGCTGAGGGTGAGGAAGGTGAGCATAGTCCCTTGTGAAAGCTAGAACAGCTGCAACACTTTGGTTCACTCCAGGTCCAGCCAGTTGGAGGGCTGTGTGAGAGGTGGAAAAGGCAGGCACTGCCACAGCCCTCCCTTTTTGATCCTATGGGTGTGGAGCCCTCCCTGAGGGTAGTAGGGGGGCTCTGGTTTCTGAACCTGCTGAGGGCTGTGCAGACACAAGGCAGGTAGGCTACAGGGACAGTGTGGGGTTCCTCCTGAAAGTTCTAGTATGAATGTTTGAAAATACAACCCAGTCTATCCTGGAGTGGGGAAATGTGGGCTAGGACTCCAGTGCTGGGTCTGGAGCTCTGGGAATCTTTCTAATGATTTATGGGTCCTGGCTCATGATCACATGGTGGGTGTCTGAGGCTTTGCCCTACTCCTGCTGTCATTCTGGTTTGTCCTCTGTGATCTTAGATCTTAATTGCAAATAAATAATATTTCAAAAGTGTTAGAGGAGGGACTTGCTGTGGTTGTTGTCCATGTGCATGTACAACTCTGGACATATTGTCTTTACTACATTATAACACTCACCCTGCCGTGTTGTCAAGTCTTAGAATCATTTTTCATATCTGTAATCAGTGAGGCCAGGTGATGACCATGGCCATGACCGTGACAATGTAAGCATGTTTGTGTGAACTCCTTCTGTGGTGTGGATTACTGTCTTGGGATGGATCAGATGGGCAGCATCTTTAAGGCAAGAGCCATTTGACCCTAAATGTTTTCTTGTTGAATTGCAGGAAGCTCTTCGTGGGCGGTCTTGACTGGAGCACCACCCAAGGTAGGTGCCATGGCTGAATGCCAGGCGTTGCAGGCAGGCTGACCTTGGTCTTCAAGTTGTGTTGTGAATTCGTCTCTTGCTACTACCTCAGGTTTCTTTAATTCTTCATTGATTTATTGTTTTGATTTCTGGGATAAAAGGGCGTTTGATTGAACATTAGCAGGGGGCAGGGGAATGCAATATTGGCTTTGAAAAGGTTAATTTTGTCCTGATGTTTCACAGCAGAATTGAGGGAGAAATTAGACTGCAGCTTCCTAGCTCAAGGCCGAGGTAGGTTCTGGAGGTCGGAGGACTATTAGCATGCAAAGTTCAGTTGGTAAGGCTTTGCCCATGGTCACTGAGTTCAGAGGTAGCAGGAAGAAGCTGGTTGTCAAGTGGCCTTCATTCTGAATGCCTTTGTCAAAACCATACTCAGTTGCAGTATTTCTAGTTTATAAGAAGACATGATGTACTCCACATGTCTTCTTCCACATGTGTTTCCTATCCTTTATCCTCCTCCTCTGCCCCCAAACTAGTTGATGAGTCAGTTTAAAAGTGGCTAGTTGTGCCTAATCCAGTTTGGCTCAGTGGATAGAGCATCGACCTGCGGACTGAAGGGTCCCAGGTTCGATTCTGGTCGAGGGCATGTACTGTGGTTGCTGGTGCGTCCCCAATGGGGAGTGTGCAGGGGGCAGCTGGTCGATGTTTCTGGCTCTCTGTCCCTCTCCCTTTCTCTCTATAAAAAAAAAAAAAAATCAATAAAATATATTAAAAAATAAAATAAAATAAAAGTGGCTAGTTGTTGCCCTGACCGGTTTGGCTCAGTGGATGGAGCCTTGGCCTGTGGACTAAAAGGGTCCCAGGTTTGATTCCAGTCAAGAGCATGTACCTTGGTTGTAGGCACATCCCCAGTAGGGGGTGTGCAAGAGGCAGCTGATGGATGTTTCTCTCCCATCAATGTTTCTGACTCTCTGTCCCTCTCCCTTCCTCTATAAAAATCAATAAAATATATTTAAATAAATAAATAAAAGTGGCTAGTTGGTTCAGCTGGTGTGGCTCAGTGGTTGAGCATTGACTTATGAACCGTGATGTCACAGTGTGATTCCTGATCAGGGCACATATCCTGGTTGCAGATTCAACCTGTGGGGGTGTGCAGGAGTTAGCTGATCAGTGATTCTCTTGGCATCATTGATGTTTCTCTCCCCTCTCCCTCTCCAAAATCAATAAAAATATATATGTACTTTAAAAGTGGCTAGTTGTAGGCGATGGGCTAGAAGGGGTCAATGGGGAGAAAAGGGAATGTGTAATACTTTGAACAATAAAGATTTTAAAAATAATAAAATAAAAAGTCAAGTAAAATGAGATTTGAAAAACGGCTAGTTACTTTCCAGGCTAGTCTGATGAATAAAAAAAGAGCAGCAATTGCACATGTGTGGGTATGTATGTTTGCATGCCAGCCGTGATGCTGTGCTTAACGCTCTGGTGTGTGTCTCTGTTTCTGTCCTAATCTCTGAGCAGAGACTCTTCGCAGCTACTTCTCCCAGTATGGAGAAGTTGTGGACTGTGTGATCATGAAAGATAAGACAACCAACCAGTCTCGAGGCTTCGGGTTTGTCAAGTTTAAGGACCCAAACTGTGTGGGCACAGTGCTGGCCAGCAGACCACACACACTGGATGGTCGAAATGTAAGTCCTGCTGCAGCTGAGGTCCTTGCCCCTTTCTTTGTCATTTATCCTTCAGCTCACTGGGTTCCTTCAGCTTTTGTAGATGTTTATGTTAAAGACTCTTTTCTATGGGGTTGATCTAAAAGGACTAAGGCTCACCCTAGCCAGTTTGGCTCAGCGGATAGAGCACCAGACTTCGGACTGAAGGGTCCAAGGTTCAATTCCAGTCAAGGGCAAATGCCTGGGTTGCGGGCTCGATTCCCAGTGTGGGGCTTGCAGGAGGCAGCTGATCAATGATTCTTTTTCATCATTGATGTTTCTATCTCTTGCTCCCTCTCGCTAATCAATAAAAATATATTTAAAAAAATAAAAGGATTAAGGCTCTATTCAGACTGGAGGTAGGGTATGGATATGGACATGGTGTGAATTGATTTGTTGCAAGTGCTAGTGTGCTGTGCTATTGGCTGCTGTTGTTGACACCTTCTTTTCTAGAGAAAAGAACCTCATATTTACAACTGGCTCATTTGAAACTTCCTACAGATCGACCCAAAGCCATGTACACCTCGGGGAATGCAGCCAGAGAGGACGCGGCCAAAAGAAGGCTGGGTAAGGGGCTGGGTGGGCAACCCTGCATGTTCAAAAGCCAGTTTAAAGGACATATGTGTCTTTGTTGTTTGTTTCTTTGTTTTCAATTACAATTTACATTCAATATTATTCTATATTAATTTCACATGTACAGCATTGTAGTTAGGCAATGTGTCTTTGATCTGGAATTTTTGCTGATTAAGATTAGGAGTGACTGAAGGTCATCTTTGACACTTGACCAGCTGAAAATTTCTCAGATTTATTCAACACTTTAAATTTTTTTTTATCTTGTAGCCTAGAAGAGAATTTTTATTAGTCTACTTAGAAAAAAAAAAATGACAGCTCGCACCTGTTTATCATCGGAGCAGTCTGCTTTTATCTGCCCCAAGTACTCTCAGCCTGCCAAAAGGGCCGATCGGTACTTTTCCCCACTCCCTCACCTCTATACTTGGTGGCCTGGTCATCCTTAACTCTGAGACTTCCACCTCCCAGCTCTGCAGCTGCTCCCCTCCAGACACAAACCTGGTGACTGGTCGCTTGAATGGCCAGTGTGGTGACTCCTGGAGATTCTCTGAGCTGTGTGTGGCCCCTGGTTCTGGGTCAGCTGGAACAGACCTGTCCTTTGTCACTCACCGCCCACATCTTCCCTTCCACCACCCCGCAGTTCGCAGAGAAGGAATGCTTCCTTCCTCGTAGAAAGCTCCACTGATGAGAACAGGCAGGAGGCTGTAGAGAAGCTGCACACAGGCTCCACACACAAGTGTCTGATCTAAGTGGAGGCTTGCGATCTGCATTTCTAGCAGGATCCTAGCTGCTGCTGGTAGGGGCCTCAGACCCTTGAAACCATTTTTATTTTTCCAAATTTCTATTAGAAAAGTTTACAAATTATGGGAAACTAGATTAATCCGTTTTTATTATTTTCCAGTTATTTATATTAATATTCATCTCTGTCTGCATAAACCACTCCTAAATTCTGGAGCATGCATCTCTTAAAAGTCCAGCCTCCCACAGAATCCCCATCCCGTCAACTAAGATGCCTAAGATGTCACCCATGTCCACACTGCCTTGCTCATATTTCTATGACAGTCTTACAGATGACCTTCACAGCTTTTCAGACTGAACTCCAATCAGGGTTCAGATTACCTTTGGTTATTAACGGTCCTTTAGTCTCTTGGCAGCTTTCTTAAAACAGAATAGGCACAGGCCATAATCTGCATACCTGTGGAACCCTCATTCATCCCCAAAATTGCTAATCAAGAGCAGTTGGGACGAATTAACCCATAAGCTCCTTGAATAGAAAGAAAGGGTATTAGGAGTGGAGGGGGTTGGGAGGGGCAGCAATTCAGGGCAGGAACTGAGGTTTTGGTCAACAGATTGAATATCACCATCTGAAAACCAGCCATTTACCATCCATGAGAGTAGTCACATCTTTTCCAGGCAGATGTAAACTGACCAGGCTGGTATCCAGGAGGCTTTCCAGTTGGTTGTAAAGACAGTAGGGAGTGTTGGGGAGAAGCCAGCCTTCTGTCCCTCAATCACCATCTGAAAACCAGTATTAATTATGGAGGCCCCAGGTATCTTCCTTACTGTCCTGAAATCCTTTGTTCACAGTGTAGACCTTTAAATTCTGTAACTGTTGTAGTTCAGAATATTTTAACACAGTACTACAGTCAACTTTAAAATGCATTTGAAATAGCGCTACCACAGTGCTGGCCCTGGTTTTCTTGGGTCTCTGGGAAAATGCTGTTCTTGGTTCCCTTTGAACTTCCTGGAACTTTCAGAGTGGCTCTCAAACCCATGCAGGCACTTACAATTCTGGGGGTCGTGCTGGGCTCCCTGCATGATCTAACCAACTTTTCTTTCTTGACACAGCAGAAAGGACCCAGGAACGATAACAGTAAATCAAATAAGATATTTGTTGGTGGAATTCCTCACAATTGTGGTGAGACAGAGCTCAGGGAATACTTCAAGAAATTCGGAGTGGTGAGTTGTTCCTGCACCAACAGCATCCAGGCAGCAGCTGCTCACCTTGGCCTAGTTGGATTGGGCATGGTGACTCTGTCCTCTTGCCCTGCACGCCCCCAGAACAGAGCAACCAGAGCCCATCCTTTCCCTTCATGGCCATTTACCATCCAGGAGAGTAGTCACGCCTTTTCCAGGCAGGTGTAAACTGGCCAGGCCAGCATCCAGGAGGCTTTCCGGTTGGTTGTAAGGCACTAGGGAGTGTTGGGGAGAAGCGAGCCTTCTGTCCCTCAATGGCAGGAAGGTGTGTTCCAGATCAAGTTCACCTGGGACCTCCAGCTAGCTCCTCCTGCCCAGGATCCGAAACATGGTGCACATCCCTGATAGCTGCAGCCAAGGGCGGGCCCGGCCTGGTGGAGGAGTTCCAGAGTGGAGGCCATTCCCAGGTTCTTGTACCAGCAGCATGAGCCTCACTATATAGGGACCATGGCCCAACCCCATTGCTTCCTCTGGCAGTTCTCACTGAGCTCAAGGCTGCCAGGCTTCACAGGATATGCTTGGCTCTGTGTCCTGCTCATTGTTTTCCTCTGTGGTTACAGACCTTCCCTCAGGGATGATCCTGTTTTCTAGAAGAGGTTAAAATCCTTTAGCATCTCATGGGGGTTAGAGTTAATCGGGGTCATACAGGGAACTCAGTTCTAATGGGGCCAGCAGAGGAAAAAACTGGGCTAGGGTGCAAGTGTGCATGGGGCCATTGCCCAGGCCCCTGTTGCTCAAATGCCCTTTCAGTGGTGTGGCCCCACCTGCTGCTGTATTGTATTTGTCAGGTATTGAGTGTGAGGGCTGAGTGGTCAGGGATTAGGGGTGCCAGAGCACGTGATGAGAGGGACATACTTATTGAGTGGAGTAGAGGTGGGGGGAGGGCAATGAGGGCTGGATCAGCAGGACAACCAGGCCACTGACCAAGGGAAGTCTTGGAGCATCAGTGTTCTGGGTCCTTCCATCCCAGAATTTTGAATGGGGAGGATGCCCTATGAGTCTCCTGGCTGTCAACTCCCCTATGGAGTGGTGGCCTGGGCCTCTGGCCTCATGGGTCTTGGACCATCATTCTCTGGATGGCAGCCTTTTGCCTCAGGACTCCCAAGACTGGAGACTTCCCAGCAGGCACTTGGCTTGGGTCTTCTGTCCTAGCCAGAGGTGCTCATAGGCACTGTGGCATCCAGCTCCTCAAACAGCCGTTTTCTCTTGCAGGTCACAGAAGTGGTCATGATCTACGACGCAGAAAAGCAGAGGCCTCGAGGTAAAAGAGATGGAGTTTGTCCTTGACCTTCCCCCTCAGATGGCAAACTATCTCACAATTAGGTGGTGGTTGTAGCAAGCATTGTCTCAGTAAAGGGTGGTTTGGAGACAAACGATTAAAACGTAGGCTCTTCCTGTGCAGCCCCCAGCTTGTCTGTGCTCCCCAAGGTCAGACATTACTGTCTTTTTTTTTTTTTTTTTTTTTTTTTTTTTTGGCTCATTCTTTTAAAGTTTTTACAACTTGACATGAATTTGAACATAGTTTCTGTTCTTTAATGTGCATTGAAAGACTTGTGTCCTTTTCCATTGTGACCTTCCTTAGTTAAGACCGTCTCCTGCCTCAGCTCATGCCAGTGTAGTTTGTCGCTGCCTTCAGCTCATGCCAGTGTAGTCAGAAGTCTCATTTCATGTTGTCAGGCCAGATCTGCTACAGCTCAGCTTGAATGTGGAGTTTTCCTTATTCACCTCATGCTTTTTTCCTGTTTTTCTTATTTTTCTCCTCGGTCAATGGGGCTGGCGGGAGGAAGGGCACCCCCCCCCCCCCCCCAGGGCAGCCCACCCTGGCACGTCTGGCCTGGGCCAGCCAGCACCTGACATCCATGCCCTTTGGGTTTGGTGGTTTTATTTTTTTGCTTGTTTTTTGTGTGGCTGCTGCTCTTTGTCCCTGCCCATCTGTTTTGTTTCATCAGCTGCTTTGGGCCCTGGCCAGGAGCTGATCTGCCGGTCCAGGCCCTACAGCCCCTGCCCTGCGGAGACCCCTAGAGCGCTGGGCTGCCGTCGCAGCATGCGCCCGCCATGCTGGAGAATAGTTTGCCATTTGAACTTCCATCCTCTTACTCCATGATTAAGTAATGTCTCCTCCCTTCATGTTGATTAAGCTGTTAAGTCATAGTCTTAATTTTAACATAGACGTACATGCTTAGTGACATATTAAGTGTTCCATAGTAAATATAGTAATATTAAGTAAGTTGTTTTCCTTTCTGTGAATTTTTGTGATTAACGATCTCTCTTTAGATTTCTCTTCTCCAGGTGCTAAATTATATCACACAGGTACAGGCCATCCTGCAGTCAGAGGAGGGAGCGGGCTTTGCTCCAGTGGGGTGTAAACGAAGTTTCAGTGTGTTTCTGTGCCGCTTCCTCAGTGGTGATGTCGCCTCTTGACACAGACGCGTCCCTAGACGTCCCGCCCCAGGCTCCTTACCCACGAGTCACCGCCTCTTGTGCCCTAATGGACCTCGCGAGCCCTGTGGTTTCAGACACTCCTGCACTCTGAGAAACGTTACCTCGTACTATGCGTTTATCACCCGTGCTGTTTCACCTTTGCCTCGGATCTTGTGAAGCCTCAGGACATGGGGATCCCGAGGCTGCTCTTAGATTCCCCAGATCTCTCACCCCCTCCCAGGCCACCTGCGGTCCTCACCCTGGGCCAGGGTTGGGGGGGCAAGCAGGACAGGCTGGTGGGGAGAGAACTTTGGGCTTGGTCCTGCGTTCCCCGGTGGTGCGCACCATCCTCAGCCACCTGGCTTCGTAGGTCTCTGCGAGTCCCCGGGAGCTTCCGCCAGTGCGAGGCAAGCAGAGGGTAGGAGCACCACCCAGAGAAGCACTTGATCTGCAGGTGTCCCAGAAATAGCTCTTTTCTACCCTACTCGCCAGAAGCTTTCACAGTGACTCTGAATCATCCCCCCACCCTCTCCTGTTGGTTTAAGGCAGTGTCCCTGTCTCGGGGGTTCTGCGTGCATCTGCCAGATGGCAACCCTGACCTCTAGCCCACTCATTCTGCTTCTATCTTTGCTCCTCATCCCTTTCTCCAGCTCCCCACCCTCCCACCAGCTTTGTCTCCTCTCCAATTTTGCTGTCGTAGTTCCGTTTCTTCTCTCACACACCACATGTAGATTCTGTGTGCATGCATATGCAGAGAGAATAAGACCAAAGGCTCCTGCATCTGAGCTGCCCCTCCCTGCTAGGCTGTCACCTGACTTTCTGAACTGCCTTCTCTCTGTTTCCATCCTCCCACCGCCATTTTACCTGTGGTCTTCCTGGTGGTCTCCAGCACAGGCCTGCCCCTACTTCCACGCCTCTGCCACAGAACTCTGTCCCTGTGCCCCTTCCCCATGCCCATCTTCAGACCCTTCTTGGCTTTGGCACTTCCCCTCACCCATATTTTGTTCTTTGGGATCTCCTGGCAGCTGTCTGCCATGTGTCCTTTTGTGCTCAAAGCTGATGGGCCCCGGGAGCAAGGGCAACAGACTGAGGACCAGACACGCCACGTTACCCGGGTGGTCGCGCTCACCCAGACCAACCAAACTTCGTTTATACTGCCACTTTCTTGCATTTGGAAAATGCTAAATTATTTTCTGTTTAAAATTTTCTTTGATGACATGGTGCCTCTTGCTCTTGCTGCTGACAGCAGAGTTGACCTGCTGGAACCCGCTGTGGCCTGTATCTTTGTGTATTTTATTACATAGATGTGTGCAGATAGATACCTGTATACATACGTATGTGATCTTGACAGGACTCCTTGGGCTTACCCAACGGTGTTGGATAAGCCTAGCGAGGCACTAACTGTGGTATAGACCGTATTGTTAACGCCTAGGACAATATATGGCTGCTGTCAGCACTAGCTGCAAAGCACATTGCAAGCCGAGGGGGAGAACCCTGGGTTTCAGCGAAGCAACAGTGCATCCACAGGACACCTGCAACTGAGGCGGAGTGCTCAGCTGCTCCCTGCCTTGTACTTATCTTCCACGGAATGTTCTAGCACCAACACGGCATTCCCTGCCATGTTTCATGGCCCTCACTATTGGGCTGTTCAGGCTGCTGCTCCCTAAGAGGCGCCCTGGCTGTTCCAAAGTGTCCAGTTGGAACCCCAGCTTGAGCTGGGCCCAGGCGTCCTGCCGTTCCCCTTGCCTCACTCACTCGCTGGATAGGCCTGCAGCCCCTCCCCACTTGCTTCGCTGAAGCCCTGGGTTGATCCTTCGGCCCGTCCCTAATACTGTTCATCATCCTGTTTTGTGTCACAACACCCTGCTACCTTGATTCACTCTTCGTCGTTGGCTAGGTTTTGGATTTATTACTTTCGAGGACGAACAATCAGTGGACCAGGCTGTCAACATGCATTTTCACGACATCATGGGCAAAAAAGTGTGTAGTTGTAGTTTTATTTTACCTTAAGACCAAACCAAGTCTCAGGCAACTGAGGGATGTCACTGGAAACAAAATTTCCTTCGTAGAAAAGGGGACCCTCTCCGGGGGGTGGGACCTGGACCTCCGGAGCCTTGTCGGGCGGTGGGCAGTGGCCTCCAGTGACATTGTGGTTGCCTCAGGCTTGGTTCCAGTGACCACTCCTTCAGATGTCTGAACTGTATTCCAATTGTTCCATCCAACTCGCGGTGGGCAGCCAACCTTTGAGAACAGGTTTCGTGTAAAACTGAGAGAAATGTAAACATCCTGAAGGATTGGTTGTTTTAATTGGGTCACTTACTGTGAAACTCCGGTACCAACCACATGCTCTCGATAGTACTTAACTCCATGCAGTCAAGTGACCTCTGGTTGTTTCATCTTCATACTGTGTTGCCGCCATGGAGGTACTGTCAGAAAGTGGCCCTTAGCTGCTCACTTGTCTGGGCCCTTCCAGCTTTTGGAATACTTAACAGTAAAGTGAGTAACTGGCAGAAATTCTGTCGTTAGCAAAGTCTGGGGCCCACGTTTTGGTAGGATCCTGTTTGGGTCCTTGTAAAGCCTGCTCAGCACACCCCAGCGGCAGTCCTATTGGTCCCGTTGGTGTGTGTTCCCAGTTTCTCCTCATTTGGCTCAGCATGCCCAGCCCTTCTGATTGAGATACTGGAGGAAGCATGGCACTGGGGTCTGCCCAGATGGCCTGCTCCCTGATGTTCAACAGGGCAGCCGTTCATACCTGCAAGATGCCCAGGTTTCCCTGCAGGCTTAATCCCATTTGAACCCAACTAAGTGGGAGACTCATACTTCACTCCAAAACTCATTGAAGCTTTTAGTTTAAACCATCATGAGGACTTCAAGAATACACACCAGTTAAAAACACATTCAATGGTTGGAAGTCCTGTGACATTTAAAACTTGGAAGAAGTGAGGTGCTGCTCCAGGAGCAGAAAGGTCTGCTAAGTGCACCATCTGACCCTGCTCCAGGCTGCCAGCCACCTGCTTGTGGGGTGCAGGGTATCTGAGTCTGGACCACTCAGAGCTGACACTAAGAGGGTTTCTTGTGCCGGCTGAGTCTGGCTTCTGTCGCAGCACCTTCACTAATTCCCACCAGTTCTTCCGTGGGGATTCCCGACTAACGGGCTCCCGTCCCACTTTAATTAAAACCAGAGTAGAGTGATTTTTGAGTTCCCGTAGGAGGAGAGTACAGGACCTTTTTTTTTATTACAGAGGCTGCTTTTCTTTGTAAGCAGGAGCCAAATTTCCTTAAGGAGAGTGTGAAGACCCTTCAGCTTCAGCTCTTTGACACTCCCTTGGTTCTGCTGCCCAGTTACCTTAGCTAAGGGAACTTGGTTCCCATTAGAGGAGTGGCCTTGAGGCATCAGGAGGGGGAGAGGGGTCTTTTGTGCCCCTGTTTTAAGGGAGCACTGACAGAATTCTGATACATAGTGGTTATTTAGCTCACCAGACTAAGACCTCAAGTATGACTCCATGTGGATCTCCTGTCCCACTTACTAAAATATATCCAAAAAGAAAAAATCCAGGATTCTCAAGTGCTGAGACAACTCTGGAAGTGGGCATCTTTTTGCCATCGGGCAATGAGCAGCATAAGTGGGGTAACACCACTTTCTGCTCTGCCCACCTCTCCCCTGGCTGTAGCTCCTGACATGTCCAAAGAGGAAGAGTCCTGGGCTGCTGACCCAACACAGTATGAAGATTGCTTACTGATCCAAATGTCCATTTTATTGCATGTTTGTTTACTTTTTGTTAGATGTAATGTAAGGCTCTTTATCATATCCATTCCCTCTGACATTATTTTGAGTTAATTGAGATTTCTTAAGCGTTAGCCTGGGGAAGGTAAGTCTTTATCTTCCTTTAGACATTTTAAATTAAAAACCTAAGTAAACCAACTGTGTTTCTCAGGTATGAGCTGAAGGTGCGGGCAGGGTGGGTGGGCTCCCAAGAGATCCCCCCACCACCATGATGCGGCCAGGGGAGGGCTCCTGCCACTCAGTGATTCCAGGGCTGTGATTATTGGAATGGCCCTGGTCTCTGTCCCGGGTTTATGAGATGTTGAAAGAGGATACTGCTCTTTTACCTTGGCTGAGAGACCCTTGTCATGCATAAAATGCTCAAGGGTCCCTGCTCTGCAGCACATAGGGCTTAGCATGTCACAGTCACATCCATTGTACCTGAGAAACATTTTTAAATGTAATAATTAAAACAGAAAAAAAAACTTTTTAAAGAGAAAGCTACTGGCCTAATTAAGTTATATAGTTAAGTATTTAGTTTTAAGTTATAATAAGATGCTAAGTGTAGTCATAAGTTACCTGAGGGTGTGTCTGAAGGGAAGGGGCCTGGGATCTGTGCGGCCCCCTGAACCAGACCTCGGTTTGTCTAGGTGGAGGTTAAACGGGCTGAACCTCGCGACAGTAAAAGTCAAGTGCCTGGACAGCCAGGGGCCAGCCAGTGGGGCAGCCGCGTCATGCCCAGTGCCGCCAATGGCTGGGCAGGCCAGCCCCCACCTACGTGGCAGCAAGGATATGGCCCACAAGGTAAGATTCTTTCCAGAACAAGCTTTCCCAGAGTTAGCACAGAGGTAGGCCATGAGGAAGCTCATGCAGATGGAGGTGGGACTCCCTACTCAGCTGGGCCCTGGGTCCCTGGGTTCCGCCTTGTCACCAGGTCCCTCTCAAGAGTGGTGTGGTCCTCAGTGGTGTGTTTGGGTCCTGGCCAAGTCCATGTTTGGGTTTGGGCCAGCAGGGCTGCAGTGAGCATCCTTGCCCTTGTGGTCTGGGTGGTTTACTTAGGTTTTTCCACAGACAGGGCAGGATAACCTGGTGGGTTTGAGACTGATGGTGAGCAGGTGAGGTTTTCGCCTGGCTAGGAGAGTCCTGCTTCTAGGGTTCTTTAGGTCTTTTCTGTTCCCCAGGTTTTGGGCTGACATCAGCTGGGCTGTTGGGTCCTCTGTGTGTGGTCCAGAGAGCGGTTAGGACAGCCTGGCAGGATGGTTGGGGATGGGAGCCTCCTTCCTTGTTGGAAACCCAAATAAGTGGCAGTGTCCTGAGAGGAGCAGATGGAGGCCAAGTTGGCCTGTCTATACCCAGGGCACCCAACACCCCTGGTTTTGCAGAGCTATCTACACATTTCAAGGCTTTATCCCTGCTCTCTCATTTTTAAAATCTGCATTTATTGCAAAATGAAACAGCTCCAGTAAACTACTAATTCCAGACACTCATCCACCAGCAGGTGAAGGATCCATGCTCGGCCGGTAGTCAGGCCTGAGATGCCACACATGCACCTGAGTCTCTGACCTGTGGGTGTTTCCTCCATCCCTTCTGACGGTTCTGTTTAAGAGCCAGGCCATTGATCCAGTGGCTTTTCTCTGAATCCTCCCCTGTGGAAGAGGACATGGTCAGCAGAACCTGGTGCTCTTGGGATCACGGCGTGTTGAGAAGGGGCTTCAGGAGTACGAGGGCAGGGCAGTGCTTGGCATCCATTGGTGACATTGGTCTAACAGCACCAATCCGTATCTTTGTTTTCTGGTTTAGGAATGTGGGTGCCAGCAGGACAGGCAATTGGTAAGTCTTTGTTCGGGAAACGGGAAGATTACAAAATCCCAAGTGCAGCGGGCCCCCGGCAGGCCCGGGTCTGGGCAGGAGGGGGTTGTGTGTCGCATGTTCTCCCTCACCCTGTGTCCTGTGTTCCAGGTGGCTATGGACCGCCCCCTGCGGGAAGAGGAGCTCCCCCACCACCTCCGCCATTCACCTCTTACATTGTGTCCACCCCTCCTGGAGGGTTCCCTCCTCCACAGGGCTTCCCGCAGGGCTACGGAGCCCCCCCACAATTCAGTAAGTCCTGGGGCCACGGGAGGGCTTTTCAGCACCTCTTATAGACCACCTGGCTCTCGCACTGGGGCTGCAGTCGGAAGCCTGTCCTGGTTCCTCTGTCTGGAGGCAAAGGATGGGCTGGCCTTGTGGACTCCACATTTGTTGGCTTTGGCTCCTGTGGGCCGGCCGCATGAGTTGTCCCAGCACAGAGACCTTGTTCTTCCTCATGGTCATGCCTCGAATGAGTCTCTAGACCTAAACTCGGTGATTCATAATTGAGGGGCTTCAGGTCTTGATTCACTTTCCTCTGTGCCTTTGTGGTTGAAGATCTGGGAAGGTTAGGGTTCTCCTCTGACCTCAGTACCCTCAGAACAAAAGGGCGCAGCCCAGCCTGGCTGGTGTAGTTTGTTGATTGTCATCCTGTGCACCCAAAGGTAGCTGGTTCGATTCCCAGTTGGAGCACATACCTGGGTTACCGGATTGATCCACTGTTGGGTTACATACCGAAGAAAACTGATTGATGTTTCTCACATCAATTTCTCTCCCCCTCTCTAGGAGCTGGGTTCCATAGTAAAGAGGAACCCCTCACAAAACTCAGATGGCCACCTATCATTTCACCAACATAAAGGGTCCTACAGTCTTTTTACTAATAAGTCCTTGGGATCCAGATGTGTCATTTTTGGGGCAGTGTTGGACCAGCCACATTTGTAGGCTCAGTGACTACCAGTGGCTGAGGACTGAGCAATTCAGTTCTGTGGCCTGGAGCAGGGCCTCATGATGGCTTTGCCTTTGGCTCTTTAGAGAAAAGGTGTGTCTGCTCTAACAAGATCAGAGGTGGATAGAAACATTATCTGCATCCTGAGGATGAAGCATGGATTGGGTGTGACTTTTGTCTTCTCAAAGCACATGGATTGGATTGTGTTGGACGGTTGACTTCTGTCCTTCTAATGAGCATTCCTGAGCAGTGAATTATAGCCAGCACCCACCACAGGCACCTAGTTCCTGGCCTGCTTCAGCTCCCGCTGTGCCAGCTGCCCCCAGTGTTCATGCTGGTCTCTTACCCTTCGTTCTCAGGGCCTGGCCGCTCATGCATTTCAGATGGGAATCCTCTGAAGGCTCCTGGTGTCTGGGCCGTGGGCAAGCATGGTGTCTGTTTTTCTGTCCCGTTTGTTTGCAGGTTTTGGCTATGGGCCTCCACCTCCACCGCCAGATCAGTTTGCGCCACCGGGGGTCCCCCCTCCACCTGCCACTCCTGGGGCAGCACCTCTGGCCTTCCCGCCGCCTCCCTCTCAGGCTGCCCCGGATATGAGCAAGCCCCCAACGGCACAGCCAGACTTCCCCTACAGTCAGTATGGTGAGTGGCCATGCTTCCCCCTGACTTCCTCCCTCACAGGTGGATTTCCCACCAGTGTTTCTGGGTTGGGTGGTCTGAGGTATGGGAGTTGTTGGAGAGTTCACGTGACCTAGGAACAAGCAAGCGTCAAGCTTTGGTTGCTTGGGTTTTTGCCAGGGCACTAATCGTAGAAAAGCATGGATTGCATAGCAGGTGATCCCAGGCCTAAGGGTTTGGAAAAGAGGCTATGGCTGGGCCCCTAGGAGGATGGTGCGAGGGCTGCAATTGCTGTTGGGCCGAGGACTCCCTGCAGGCTTGTCCCTTCAGTGCCTCGATTATCCGAGTGCAGAGTGCAGGCAAGAGTGTCGGCTGGGTGGTCTTGCTCTGGTCTGGGGCAGGTACCGGCTTTGGCGTTGGCTTTGTGCTTCACTTGAGGGGCTGGTCATGGAGGAGGTGCTTCTGAATCGGGTCTGCAAGGTGACAGCTGAGTGGGGAAACTTCTGTGAGGACAGGGTGTAGCTTTGGGTCTCTCCCACACCGGGGTCAGTCCCCTGCCTGCCGTGAGGGGCCAGGGCCTTCAGATCTCCTATGAGAGTTTCACCCCCTGGTTTTCCATGTCGTGGTGTGAACTGTGTGTCACCCAAGACCATGATATCTGCAGGTCGATCCACTCTTACCCTCAAATGCAGTCCCGCCAGCTGACCAGATGCCCCCCAGAACCCCTGCATCGTACACTCTTGTTCCCTTCGGGGCCTTGCAGGGCTGTGGTCACTGAGCACGTGGGTTCTCGACCCTGCCTGGAACAGGACGTGTTGGCGGCAGACATGTGAGCGGCCCTGGGTGGGGGTGTACATGATCTCGAGTGTGTCCCCTCCCTACCACCCTGGGGTAGTCACCCTGGTCTCGTCTCTCGCCAGGCCTGGGTACCTATTCTCAAGACCCGGCGGGCTTCGGGCCCATTCTTTGTTTACACTCTTATGGTCAGGCTGAGCAGTGATATGGCCTAGGTAGGTGGCGCCTCCTCATGCACGGTCCTCACCTGCCTGCACCCGGCACCGGACGTTGCCTCCTCTGCTGTCCCGGGCGGGGTGGAACCACACTGCCCTCTGGGACACCACCCAGGAGCTCTGCCTCTGAGTGTGCCCCCAATTGGGAATCCGGGGGCCCTGGGATGGCCTTCGTCCAAAGTGTGTGGTCCGGGTGGGCAGGGAGCGAGGACAGTGCTGCCCCTCGTTCCAGAAGGCCAGTAGTACAGGGTCAGGGTCCTTTTTAGAGAGGGACCTGCCCCACCCAGATGGGCTCTGCAGGTGCAGCCAACTGGAGTCATGGAAGCCTAATGGTCCGCATGTAGTCCCTGCCCACTCCCGTGTTATGGAAGCTTCCAGGTTGGGTCAACTCTGGAGGGAGGACCGTCTGGGGCCTGAAGTGCATCCTGGAGGGAGGCTAGGGCAGAGTAGCTGTTTCCTTAGATCCTGAAAGTCATGCCTGAGCTCACCCTGCATTGTACTCGAGAACAGACTTTCTAGGAACCCAGGGTCCGCCAACCTGGGCCAGGTGATGTGTGTCTCCAAGCCCAAAGGTCTCTCCTGACCTTCAGCTCTGCCACCAGGGCTCCCGCCCTAAGACTTTGGGACAGGGGAGGGTTGGCCAGGATCAGACAGGACAGGCCATGGGTCCTCGAGGTCTCATAGACTCTTTTATTTCCGTGTGGAGACAGGGTCTGCTGGGTTTTGGGGTGGGCTTTTCTGGAGACACGTGCTCCTGGGGCCCAGTGCTGTCAGGTGGGACCAGCTTACCCGGCCACTCATTGCACTCTCTCCCCGCAGGTTATGGACAGGACTTGGCCGGCTTTGGGCAGGGTTTCTCAGACCCCAGCCAGCAGCCCCCCTCCTATGGGGGCCCCTCAGTGCCAGGCTCCGGGGGCCCCCCTGCTGGTGGAAGTGGCTTCGGACGAGGTCAGAACCACAATGTTCAAGGATTCCACCCCTACCGACGCTAGCTAGCTGGTGCCACGCAGGCGGCTAGATGGCTGAGACCCAGGATTCGAAACTTGTGAACTCGTGACAATCACAAACTTGGCAGAAAAATCGCGATTCAACCTTGGGGGGAGGGGCAGACGTGAGGCTTTTGGAGGCGGCTGTGGGTGACTGAACTGAAGTTTTTAAATATATTTCTTTCTCTAACCCATCAGCACAATAAAAAAAAAGTCACTGGTTCAACAACAGGGTTTTAAAAAGTCTTCAGCTTTAATTCAAAACTTCAGGTTTCTTTTTCTTCCTTTTTTTTTTTTTTGAAATTATTTTCCTGAGCCTTTTGTTTTACCGTATATTGTAAACTTTTATGTTAAAGAAAAAAATATACATTTACAAATTGTGAGATTTTTAAGATAAATTTTCTACAATGTATACTGGCTTATTTTTTAATTTAAAACAGGGTTTCTGTCGGCACTGGTGGAAGTGAGGGGCATTTTTGGGCCCCGTACTCCTGGCTTTGAGGGTTGGGACTCGTTGGTCCAGAAACTCTGGAGCTTAAAAAAGCAATCTACTGAGTGTGTTTCGTTTTGTTTATTCCTTGCTTTTGTCGATTGATCTGCCTGGCGGTGTCTGCAAGTGCACCATGGGGGCTCACCCGCCTGGCTCGGCTGGCAACCACCCCGCGTCCAACTGCATCAGGACCAGGAGGTCTTGTCAGCCTACTTCCCGCGCATGTGGCTTCAGGGCATCCCCACTGACCAGTGTGACCCTGGTTTGAATAAAGAGAAGTGCGTTTGGATTAGAATCCATGTTGTGTCATTTGTTCCCTCCCTGCTGGGGGAGAGCCCCCCCACAGGAGGACCTGCATCTGTCCTGGCTCCCCTGTGGTTTTGCAGGCTTGAGGCCTGCTTCAGGGGGTCTAGGGGTCTCTGTGTTCTGGCAGATGTGGGCTTTAGGATAGTTAGGGGCCCGGTGAGAGCTGCAGTGCCAGTGTGAGGTTCTAGAATTCATAGCCACTCGCTGGGTGCCAAGGAAAAGACGTACAGACAGTTCTGGCTGGGGACTGGCCAGGCCTCCCTGGTCCCTCTGGGAGTGATACCTGGACTGTGTCTTTGGAAAGGCCACTCAACCTTTGCACAAATGGGGCTGTTGACATGGGTGATGTGGGCATTGGGGCATTCAGCCAAGGCCTTGGGACAAAGTATGCTGGCTTGGACACTTATTATGGCCCAAGAGGCAGGGCTGGGACCGGGAGTAGGACAGCTTGCTCACAGCCCTTGGGCCAAGTCCACGTGGATCCTAGAGATGAGTGGGAGAGGGGGTAGGAGACTAAGGGGAGCTGAGAGCCCAGGGCCGAGGAAGTTGGAACGGGATCTGACATCCTACAAGGGCTACTGCCCCTCCTATAGGCCTGGCTTGCAAAGTCCTTCCAGCCTCCAATATTTTGGGCATTTTCTTGACTGTCCCTCACCCCAGTTACACAGGACTTTAACAGTCATTGAAGCCCCTATTTGCAACCCTGAAAAGAGGTGAGTCAGAGCTTGCAGGCTGGACTCCCTTGGCTGAGGCTGGTCTGGCCTCTTGGAGAGGTGGGACAGTGGGGACAGGTTCCTGATTCCAGGAGTCTGACTCCTGGGAAACAGCTGTCACCAATTTTCTGGGTGTGGCTGTCCTGTGGCCACTGACCAATCACCACAAACTGGCTTAAAACAACACATGTTTATTTTCTCACAGTTCTAGAGATTAGGAGTCTGACATGGTCTCAAAGTATGTCATTGGGGGCCATTATTTTGTCATTCTAAAGATCACAATCAAGATTTTAAAATACAGCCGAAACCGGTTTGGCTCAATGGATAGAGCATCAGCTTGGGGACTGAAAGGTCCCGGGTTCGATTCCGGTCAAGGGCATGTACCTTGGTTGCGGGCACATCCCCAGTAGGGGGTGTGCAAGAGGCAGCTGGTTGATGACTCTCTCTCATCGTTGTTTCTAACTATCTCTCTCCCTTCCTCTCTGTACAAAAGCAATAAAATATATTAAAAAAAAAAAAAAGATTTTAAAATGGAAAAAAAAAGCAGATTTGTCCAAATGGTTTGATGCCTCCAATGTGCCAGGCTTGAGATAAACTAATTAACAGAACAGCCATCACCCTCCCCCAGGAGCCTTCACTGTGATCTCCAAAACCCCCCTGGGTGGTAGCCTCTCATGTTCCCTCTGGAGCTGCTGCCACCGAGGTTTACAGAAGCAGGAAGGAGCAGGATCACTCCATGGTCATCTCAGCTAATAAACTTTTGCTCCTTTTATTACTGAAATTAATTGGCAACATTCGATTTTTAATTTTAGGTCTCTGGCTAAGGGCATTGTGCAAACAGCGATTTCCAGCCAGTGAGGGTTCTCGGCAGCCAATGTCACACCCTTCACACCCTAAAGAAGGAATCCTGTGGCCCGAATGATATATTCCCTGGGGGACAGGGAGGGACATACCCTCCTTTGGGTAGAGTTTAATTGGCTCTTCTCCCAGGATCTCGGAAATGGCTGAGGAGATTCTCAGCTTCCCTGAAGACTTTCCTTTCCGCCAGGCAGCCCAGCTCCCGCAGAGCCACTGGTGCCAGCCAAGCCCTACCCAACAAGCAAGAGGAGGCCAGGAGGGGACGGGAGGCTCCGATCTCACCCAGGTCATCCCAAACCCCAGGACCTTGCCACACCTGCTCCCTCTTCGAGGAAGGCACCCTCTTGGCGGAGCTGGGAGCCAGTTCGCATTTATGTTACTGATATGCTTGGGCTGTCCTCAGCCATTTCACTGTGTTTTCTAAGTTATGTGTTTTTTTTGCCTTTTATGCCTCCCTTAGTGTTTTGTATGTTTTTTTGTTTTGTTTTGCTTTGGGTTTGTTTGGGTTTTTTTTTGCAGTCAAAATACTAGAAGTCTTTTTTAAAATGACTTTTCATTATATTTATTTTTGGTAATTTTCTTAGAGGGTCTTCTAAGAAGCTTACTATTCACATATGTTATTTTTGTGGAGTTTGTGTGTGTGTGTGTGTGTGTGTGTGTGAGCACAAACTGAGCTTTATTTCACTGCAAGTGATGTTACCTATGTACACATTTTTTTCTTTCAAGTTAACTGCTGAAATTGCCCTTAAAGAGACCACATTGTAAAATGTATTTAATTACTAATTTATTAAATTTTCCGGTCAATTGACACAGTCTGTATGGAGCCTTTCAAGGAAGTTTTGAGAGTTTATTTACAATCACCAAAAGCAGGTGGTTCTGTAAAACTTATAGGTAATTGTAGGCTCCTTAAATTCACTATATATATGTATGTGTGTGTGTATATATATATATATATATATATATATATATATATATATTTCAACACTTAAACAGAAGCCCATTTTCTTCCAAAGTAATTTTCTTCCACTTTCTCATAAAAATAAAAGAAAAACAACATTCATAGTTTTAAAAACCAATATTATACTGAACCCAAATCAAGGTTTCTTTACAAATGATGTATTTTTCCAAAAAGTTTAAAAGACATCACAGAATAATCTGATGTTAAAGTAAATACTCTTACCACAGCAGAGTAACTTAGAAATATTGTGCAGTATGTTAACACTCCATGTTTCTGTAGTACATGGTTGTGTATGTGTTTTTGGTTTTTTTCCTACACTCGTTTCTGTTTATTATGGCAAAGGTGAAAACGCCCCCTCCTCCACAACAGCAACCAGTAAAATTTATCCCAAAAAATAACTCGGTACAAAACAGGACTGTTTCAGAAAAAAAAAAATACAAAAGGAAAAGAAAAATCTTTATACGAGTTTTAAATCCTATTTCAAAACAGAAGAAACAGCTCCATCATTGGCCTCAGGGCCCAGCCGGGGTCTAGGCCAGCTCCGAGCGCGGACTTGCTGTGCTTTAACCCGTGTCCACCCTCGCGCGGTCAGCGTCCAGCTGGGCGTCCAGCTCCGCAGAGACCTGCTGCTTCCAACTCCTCCTCGGGCGCCTCCCGGTGCCGCCGCCGCCGCCGAAACCTCCGATCCCCGGTTTCTAGGCGGGAATCCCGCCTGTTCACGCCGCTGCGTGTGTCTGTGACTGGAGGAGCTGCATGTCCATGGGGCAGCCTCCGCAGGGGCGCCGCTGGCTGGTTCCTAGCTTTCAGGGCGTCTGCCTTCTGCTCGGCTCTCATGGGCTGCTCCCAGGCTGCAGCCAGAACGGTCTTGGTGCCCGGCAGCCTCCAAAGCCCCGAATTCCGCAGAGTTCCTGGCATCAGCGTCGGGCACCCGAAATGCAGGTTGGACACCAGCCGTTTCCCACCCGTCTCCACGCGGCGCCACCGCCAAAGCCGCTGTCGAAAAGGCCCTGTTGCCACTTGTCAGGAAGTTGTTTCCGGTGGTTGTAGGGCCCCGGCCGGTTCCGATGGGCCCGCGGACCCGGCCCCCTCATCAGCGGCCCGCACTCTGCACCGCGGCCCAGCCCCGCAGCCCCCGCTCGCTCCGGTTCAGATTGATGATGTTCAGAGACATGTCCATTTTCTCCGCTATGACAGGCGCGGTGTTCGCCGTGTTTTTGTTTTGTTTTTTAATGTATTTTTGTTGCTTTCAGAGAGGAAGGGTCCGGCGGCGGAGATAGAAACATCAATGAGAATCATTGATTGGCTGCCTCCTGCAGGCCCCACACTGAGGATGGAGCCTGCCCAGGAATCAAACCTTAACCTGGTTCATAGGTCAATGCTCAGCCACTGAGCCACACTGGCTGGACTAGTTGTTGTTGTTTTTTTGTTTGTTTTGTTTTTTTTCTGTAGCAAAATGCACATCAAATTTGCCATTTTTCACCATTTTTCAGTGCACAGCTCAGTGGCATTAAGTACCTTCACGTTGTTTTGCGTCCATTCCCACCATCTCTAGGACTTTCTCATTTTCCAAAACTGGAACTCTCTCCACCGAAAACACTATCTTCCTGCCCTGGCTGGTGTGGCTCAGTTAGTTGGACATTTTCCTGTGCACCAAAGGGTCACAGGTTTGATTACCCGACAGGGCACTGTGGGTTCGAGATCTGATCAGAGGCCACTGACAAATGTTTCTCACATCAATACTTTTTTCTGTCTCTCCCTCTCTAAAACCAATGAATCCTTGGATGAGGACTAAAAAAAACAAAACAAAAAAACACTAATTCTTCCCCACCATCCCCCAGCCCTGACTCCATTGTGCTTTGTTTTTCTTTTCTTTTTTTCTTTTTTTTTGTTAAATCTTAACCCAAGGATATTTTTCCTTTGATTTTAGAGAAAGTGGAAAGGGGGGGGGAAAGACTGAGAAACATCAATGTGAGTGAGACACATCTATTGGTTGCTTCCTGCACACACCCGGACCAGAGCCCAGGGACCTGCAACCAACGTTCTTGAAGAATCAAACCTGGGTCCCTCAGTCTGCAGGCCGACACTCTATCCACTGAGCAAAGCTGGCCAGGGTTGCTTTCTTTTTTTTCCTTCAGTTTTTTTTTGTTTTGTTTTGTTTTTCAAGAAAAATAATTTTAAATATAATGTTACATGCAATAAATATTAATATCTCAAGAAAACTAGTTACATGCAATAAACACCAATTATTCAAGAAAAATGAACTTACATATAATTTTACATGCAATAAACATTAATATTCCAAGAATAAAAGGATTTTGAGTATAATAATATTACCAAAACTGTACTGACATAGTATATCACAAAAGTTGTAGGAAATATTAAAAATCTGCAAGTAACAGGATTACTTCTATTATATTCCATGGTATATATTATTTTCCCCCTCTGGCTCTATTTTTGCTC